TGTCCTTGAATGATTTTCAATTAATATATATATACAGTATATAACCTAAAGATATTTTACTATAAATAATAATAACAATAATATAAATTATATTATTATTATTATTATTAAAAAGCTATGAAATTAAATTAACATACTGTAGTATATACTGTACAGTATATATAATATTATTTAAATAAAAATAGAAAATACAGTATTACTACTATTAAAAATAGTTTACTGTATAAATCTTTAATGTTTTTACAGTATAACACAATATTCTTATACAGTATTGAATGTAAAATTTATTTAACACAACATATGTACTGTATATACAGTTTTATGTTATACACTGTTTTTAGAACATTATATTTGACAGTTATATTTCAATGGCTAACAATATTTTTGACAAAACAATTAGTGAGATTACAATTGGGTAATAAATATGTTAAACACGTACAGTTAATGTGCATCTAATTAGTAAATAATCATTTTTTATTGTTTTCTAGTTTTTATTATTGTAATTATTATCATTTAATAGCCAAATGTATTAAAATGAAAGCTTTATGTTTTCATAAATATAAAAAATTGTTTATTAAGTGATTCTCATATTTCTAATAGTTATTTAAAGTAAACTTGCAAAGATGTATTTATTATATACTTTAAAATAAATTATATTTTTATTGACCATTATCAATGTATGGATCATAAACCTCATTAGAGCACTATAATTAAAGATAATTTTCAAAATATTGCAATAAAAATTATTGCCAATAAATCACAAAATGACAACTTTTTAAATAAATTATTCAATTTTATGCAAAAGAGAAGACAGACACTTATTAGTATTCATATTAAACATATTTAAAATATATTTATTTTATTTATTTAAAAATTATATATATTTGAGTATTAAAATTATGTTTTATACATAATTACTAATCAATTTGTAACAACACTATAAGTGTACAGTTAAGCAAAGTTTTATACTATTGTTTAAATAGCACTTATAATAATTTTATAAAATATTATAATTTCACAAAAAAATTGAAATCCAACTAATTAAACATTGCTTTTAACATTATTATAATTTTCAATGGTTATTATCTTATATTGTAGTGCCCATCAAAATATATATACTCTATGGAAACTTCACGATTCATCATAGATTGTTAATTATTTACTATATTTATATACAATTTAAATATTAATTATAAATAAAACAGTTAAAAGATAAATCATATAAATTGCAGAACAATATGATTAAGTATTAAACTCATAGTATTATGATTTATATTGTTATGAAAATGTATTTATTTTGTATAACAGCCTTCCTATTGATTGTTAATACAAATGGTATTTATTGATAATTTTAAATAAAATTACTAATAGTGATAAAATTATTTATTATTTAAAAAATTAGGTCAGTGTGACTGTCCGGAAGATTGGTTGGCTTATGGATCAAATTGTTATAAAATATTTACTCAAAAAACCACATATAGTGTGGCGGATCTGAAATGCAAGACTTTGAACGCTAACTTACCGACAGTAAAGACTACAAGAGAGTTGGAAATTATAAATTTGATAAAACAAAAGCTGAAACAAGTTGTGGACATATGGTTAGGCGCCAGAATGATAACTGACTCCGGTATGTCATTATAGATAATGTATTTTCAGGTATTGTAATATAACTTAGATTAAAGTACTCACGGAATTATAATATTGATTAAAGAAAAATGGATATGGACTGACTTTACTAGTTTTAAATGGACTAATTGGGCACCTGGTCAACCAAATTCAAACGGTCCCCAGGACTGTATGATAATGGTTAGGGGTTACATAAAACATTATCAATGGCCATCCGGCACCTGGAATGATGTGTCTTGCGATGAACAAAATGCATTCATATGTCAAATGTCAACATCAGTTAATTGTTTAAATGACACAACACTTAAACCCAAATCCAAACCGAAACAACAATTACCCGAATCCCACTTCAATCGACAATTCAATTTTAATATCAATATTTTATTGTCAATCATAATTATTATCATTATCTTAGCATTTGTTGTTTTTAACGTGTGTTATATGATTAACATTTATTATGACTTGGATTCAAAAGTCAGTTTTGAATCTTCAAATCAAAAGCTAGGTTTTGTGTCTAATGATTACATAATTAGCGAAAATAATGACAACAGGTTTGATAATTTTAATAATAAAGTTTATGATGTATTGGTTAAAAATCATAACAAAATATAAATTATTTTCAAATGTTATTACTTAATTTTTGTTAAATTATTGTTTTATTTTCTATTTATTTTAGTTTAAAACCGTAACTTTATTGTCAATAATTAGTAAAATCCGATTATTTTATTTGTGATAATCGTTTATTTTGATTTCTATTATTAAGACAAAGATCATCTAATGGAAGAGAAATATATGGTTAACTTATTATAATTTAAATATTTAAAAACTTAAAACAATTGTATCACTTCTTAAAATAATATTTAAAATGACTTTTTAAAAACTTTGAGCACATATTTTATATTTAAAAAGTATGTAATATTTCATAATATTTTAATTGATAAATGTATCCTAAATTACTGTTTCTTTATTTAGTGATAACTATCTAAGTATTCATAACTATCAAAGCTGTAGTTAGTTCTATGCATTAGTAGTTAATTATATTTAACTTTTTTTCAATGTACCCTCTGATGTGATATCAGCTCTAATAATAGATACCAAAATAATCGGTTATTATTAATAAAATTGTCTAATAAAAAGTCAATTATAAAATCTCCGTTTTGGACTAAAATAAGTATAACTATTAAACAATAATTTAAATAATAAAATATAAATTATTAAATAAATATTATAATTAAAATAAAAAGTAAAAATAAGATGAATTATACTGTATCTACTTAAATTTTATTGTATATGTAATTGTAATTGTTATTTATATATAATAAGCTATTTAAAGAATTAATTAAAAAATGACAAATTTGTATGTAAAAAACTAATTACAATATTTAACAATTAAAATAAACATATAAATATTTGTAACTTTTAAAATTGTAATTAATAAAAATCTCTATTAATATTTATATATAAATCAGTAAAAAATTAATGAGAAAAACTTTTTGGAGATTTTTTTGTAGCAATGAATACTCAATGGATAATAATTTGTTAATTGAAATTTATGATATAGTAATTTACATATTGTATAATACCGTATATTAATATTAGTTTATAATACTTTAAATTATAATTTATATTACATTCTTATGTTAACAATAGCGACAACTATTAACTTAAAATATAACTAAACTATTAATTTAAACACAAAATCTATTGTAGAGTATAATGATATCTCAAACTCAATATTAATTAAACAAAATTATTATTTTCAATTGATTATTATTTAATTATACATAAATTTTAAAAATAAATAAAATAAAGTAGATTATTTTTTTTTGTAATATAATGTATATAGTGCATAGTTCATTACATTCAATCAAATATGATATAAAAATAAAATATAAAATAACTTACACTTTATACAGTATTATATACATTACTAAATTTATATAACTATATAATTGTTTAATTTAGCTATTAATTGGCATCAATGTTAACTTTTAAATAAATGATTGACTTGTATATTCATACAATAAATGTGGCGTATTTGATTATAATGTAAAAATATTATTTTATCATTGAAAAAATTATATATTTTAATTTTTAATTTATTGTATGATACATAAATTTTATAACATACAGTATTATGACAAATATATTTTATTAATAATATCTACATTTTAAGTTATGTTTTTGTAAAAATCATTTTTGCAATAGAAATATAAAAATAATTTAATATTATTTATATACTGTATATAATAAAAATAATAATTTTCCTCATTTTTAATGAATCAACGATTTTTTAATGTTATCTATATATTAACACTCATGTGTACTACATATTATATAGTACAACAAACTTTTAAAAGCTACAGTCATTTTTAAAAATCATAATAAACTTTAGAAATTAATTTTAAAAATTATAAATGGTCATTTTTGTTTATTTAATTATGCTGTATTTATAATTATACATTTATACTATAAAATTAATTAAATATATTATTAAAATTTTATTATTATGTCAGTGGTATTACACAATTACACAAATAATTTATTGTCATAAAAATTATTATTAAATACATTAAAATTATTATAATTAGTTTGAATAATAATTTTTTGATGCAACTTTAATTGAATTAAAAAAATATTAAATAACATATTTACTACTACAGCATTCATGTGATGTTTTTAATTATTTTTTTTTTGTTTTATATTTAAAAATAGTTTTAGTAAAACATTCAAAGTCTTGTTTTAATAAATGAATGAATTTAAAAACAATTTTATATCAAATAATTATATATAAAAACGATATTTTAGTGAAGAGGTCTTTGCTCATGAGTGGACCGGTAGTTCAGTAGTGTGTATGTGTGTGTCTCATGAATCTGCCATTCCTGAGCTGTCAGTGCAAAGGCATAATACATGTACTGAGAGTTATTTTTTACTCTCGTCTCTCTCTCTCTCTCTCTCTCTCTCTCTCTAATTGATATTCTTAGTGTTGACTCCTAACTCCAGTATCTCTTAAGCTATCATTCCTCGTGAGCCCAACTGAGCCAACAAAATCACGTCATGTATTCGTCACCAAAACACGTTAAATATAAATAAAAGTCAAGTTATTTCGTCAGTAAGACTATCATCGACTCAAACATTATATTTATAACACATTTTTGTGTATATATACTGTATTTACAAAATAAAAATTGCCGGTGATTTTAATCGTTATATTTTATCGATTTTATCAATCATTTTTTTAATTGTGTTTTAATGATTTTTTTTATTAATCTCTTTGCGAAATGTGTTTCAATAAAAAGTAATAATTATTAATTAAATTAATATCGATTATTATTGTATATATATATATAAAAATACTTAATAAATAAATAAATAAAAATCAATAAAAATGCGAGATATTGGACCACTGGTTGGTGCTATAGACCAGGGAACCAGTTCGACCAGGTTTCTGGTATTTACCGCACAAACCGGTGAATTGGTAACCTATCATCAGATGGAAGTCAAACGTATTATGCCGATCGAGGGATGGGTAGAACAGGACCCGATCCAGATATATAACTCAGTGGTCGAGTGTATCGACATTGTGGCACATAAACTACAGGGACTGGACATTGATATTAAAGATATTAAATGTATTGGATTAACCAACCAAAGAGAGTCAACAATTATTTGGGATAAATATACAGGTATGTGTATATGTGTATGTATGTATACATATGTGTATGTATATGTATGTAAGTGTTTATAATATGTATATTATTTATTTATAATATTATTTTTATAAAATATAAATTATTATACTATAGTATATAATAATAGCATGATTTACAAATAAATAATAAACTAAACAATTTAACATTAGTAAATTAATAATTTGAATACAATAATTATATTATATTATATAATGATTGTACAGTAATAGACATTTTTATATTTTATGTTAAGAATCAGTGTTTATCTGTAAATTTATTATAACATTATTTTTAAAATAATAGCGCTTAACATATTTAAGATGTTTTTATCAATACATTAGATGTTGACTGACATTAATAAATTAATTATATACCGGAGTCTAATGTCTTATGTTATTATCAAATTGTTTATTTATAATATTACAACAAAAATCATTTGGCAATTATACAAACATTATTAAATATTGTATTTTCTAGTATTTATTATCAAATAAACAATTTTAATTCATAAAATTTGTTGAAAGTGTTAAATATATTAATATTTTACTTTATATTGATAAAGATTTCGATTTACATATTTTATTACAATAACATATATGTTGTTAATCAATATTATTTTTAATTTAAGCGAATAAATGAAACATATACTGTATTATTGAAAAATTACTTAAAATTCTGGTTAAATAGTAGTTTATTCCAACTAAAAAACTTAAAGTATAATAAATAATATCCACTTTAAACAAGTTTTTCAAGTAATTGAATTGAATAATAATTGTTTATCATTTAATTTAACATTTTTAAATTTATGTTATATAATTGTGATATATGATGTTTTAGTAGTTTCATCTATTTCAAATATATTAATTATCATAAATACTTATCAAAATTCTTTAAAACTTTAATTTAGGGATGATACTTAAAAACCGTTTAATATAAATTATTGATTAAATGATATAAAAATGTACAAAATATAATTTTATTTATTTAAACATTCATATATTGTTATAAATATGTTAAAGGTTATACAATAATTCAGTTTACTAATTTTAATCCAAATTAGTTTATATTTTACTTTAATTTTAATGGACGACCCATATGAATGGTTACTAAATTATATATTTTTAGTAAAAAACTTTTAAAATATTTTATTACTTATACTTAATAAGTTTAATAAATGAAAATTAATATAACCTGGACAACACTACTGTATAATCATGTTGCTGATACCGGTTTAAAGTAAAAAATATACAAATTTTTTTTTGTATAAAATATTGATTAATAGGGAATTCCCCATTATACAATATATTTATTAACAACTAGTTTAACATAATCTTTATTAATATAACTATTTTATTTTTAAAAATGACTAAAATTCAAACTTAAATATTATACAGTATATAGTTTTAATATTAATTTTTGTTATTAATTATAAGTCAGAAAATTAATTAAATTAATTAAGTATTTATAAGATTTTTTTCTAAAAAGTTATAAGATGTCATAACTTTTAAAATATTATTTATTATAAAATTGTAAAATATATTATTATTATATTCTCCTTTAATATGTAATTCATATATAAAATTAATAAATAAATCACTTTTACATTTAAAAAAAAAATAATTTACATTGTAAATAACAATATATAATATTACATATGACATATAATGTGTTAATAATGTACTATAAAATATTATTCTCATTAATTTTTTTAAATATTTGTTGGTTTTAAATATTTATAAAATAAATGTTTGACATTTGATTTATTTAGTAATGTAAAGGAAATTTAAATAAGTTTGTCATTGAGTACATGTAATATTATAATTTCGTATTCATTCAGAATCCATGTATTTTTGTTATTTTTGTTACAGTAAAGTACAATATATTAATGTATACTTTAAAATAAAAGTAATAATAAAATATTAAAGACAGTTTTAGTACCAGATTATAAGTAAATTATATATCAGATTATGTCAACACCTAATTTGATATTTTTTTGTAAATAAGTTATAAAAACATTTAATTTAATTTTACTTTTATCGAAGAAACGACAAAACATAGCAACTTATTTAAGTTAATTATAGATAAATTTTTGTTTATCTGTAATTAAATCTGTTTTAAATGAGACAAATGTATAAATAAATTTTCGAGTTTATATTATATTTTATTTTATTTTATTAATAATTAAAATAAATCTTGAATTAAAATTTATTTTTGAAATTTAAATTCACATTACTTATGATATTATAACTTATTTTATTAGTTAATTAATTAATAATTATTACTAAATATGTTATTGTAAATTTGACTTTTATTAAAATTTGATAAGATATACATTTATATTATAATAATAGTCAATAATAATATCTGATATATTATATCAAATATCTTTACTGAACTTTTTATTATATTCAAACAAATTGTTTAAAATTATAAAACTGAAAACTAATATAATTAAATTAAAGAATATTATTATATAAAATTTATTTTAATTACTTATAATATTGTATTATATCTACAATAATTTATTTTATGTTTATTAATATACAATTACCGATAATACATATATACTTTATAAATGTAATAATAAATATAACTCAAAATTTATAAAATGTTTAAATTTAATTTGATCTAATCTTTATTAGGCCACCCATTTTACAATTGCATTGTATGGTTGGACAATAGGACAAGTGAGTTGGTTGATATCATACTCGATCACATACCGGGTCGTGATTTAAATTGGTTTAAACCAAAGACAGGACTTCCTATATCAACATATTTTAGTGCATTGAAGCTCAAGTGGCTCATCGATAATATTCCTGGTATTAAAGCAGCTATTGTTGAGAAACGTTTATTGTTTGGGACGGTTGACTCGTGGCTCTTATGGAAGCTAACGGGTCAGCACCGGACAGATGTAACAAATGCCAGCCGAACACTACTTATGGATTTAGAGACACTTGAATGGGATCCATATTTATTGGACTTCTTTAAGATACCAAAATATATATTACCTGAAATCAAGGCCTCATCTGATTATTTTGGAGAAATTATTACCGGAGCTTTGACGGGAATTCCCATTACAGGTCAGCCATTAAAATGTTATCTTTTAATTAATTACTATTTTAGTAATTAATAATACTGTACTGTAAAATACTATATAATACTATAACTATATACTGTGCAATATTATTAATATATGATATTATATTTACAAAACCTTGATATGTTATAATAATATTTAGTTTTAATTTATTTGTTTAATATTTACATTTAAAGTAATGTGAAATATTGCGAAAATGTAACTAATATATTGATAATTAATAGTAACTGTCATAATTAATCCTTGAATTTTACAATGAATTTTAAATATTTATTATATTAATTTATTATATAATTATATTAATATTTTTTATCACAATTTTATTTTAGGAGTAATTGGTGATCAAAGTGGTGCACTGGTAGGCCAAAAGTGTTTTGAGATTGGTCAGGCAAAGGTAACCTATGGAACGGGATGTTTTCTTATTCAAAACATAGGTCCCGGTCCAATACACGGGGCACTCAAGGGTGTATCAAAAGATGCCATTCGCTCGTTGGTTACAACAGTTGCCTATAAAATAGGTTCAGAACCTGTCTGTTATGCATTGGAAGGTAGTGTTGCCATAGCAGGTGCTGCAGTCACTTGGCTTAGGGATAATCTGGAATTGATTCAAAGCTATAATGAAATTGAGAGCATTGCCAGTGAGGATCAATGTGCCGGCGGATTGTTTTTTGTGCCCGCATTTCAAGGTATAGTTTATCAAAATAAGCATTTGATGTAATTTATTATAATTATCTAATGTTATCTATAGGTCTATACGCTCCCTATTGGGACGCCAACGCCACGGGAACCATAATAGGAATTTCACAGTTTAGTCGAAAATGTCATTTAGTTCGGGCAACACTTGAAGGGGTGGCCTTTCAAACAAATGATATCCTTATGCTTATGCGTCCCGATAACAGTGGCATCAAAGTTGATGGCGGTATGAGTGCCAACAACTTATTGTGTCAAATCTTAGCCGACATCAGTGGTTTAGACATTGTAAGACCCAAGTTTACAGAAGCAACAGCACTGGGGGCTGCTATGATGGCCGGACACCATATGGGTCTCTGGAAGATAATTAAAGAAACGGATTCAGAAATTGATTCAGATCACGAAATGGAAAAAACTTTTATAAGAAATGGCAAATCGCATGACATAAAGCCCGCGAGCGGAATACCGGCCAACAAACGAAATGGACTGATTCGGTCAATAAGTCGACGGTTGTCTCAGTCGACTATCACCCGAAAACTTGAGCGAACCTTTTCGTTGGGTCGGGATATTAAGATATACGATAGAAATTTTGATGTATTCCGTCCCAAGTTGGCCGCACCCGTCAGACTTGACCGCATCAACACTTGGAAACTGGCGGTCAGTCGGTCTCGCAAATGGATTCGCGTCGATAAACAGGAACAGAAACGAACTGATTATAAGAGGTTGTCTTCCATACCATTCATGCTATACGTGTTGATGTCATTTGGCACTCATATATTGAGTCAAAGTTTGATCAAAAATTAATTTCAATTGTATAACACTATAATAATTAAATTTGAAAAAATAACAATAGATATAATGTTAATAATAATTAAATCTATAATATAGAAGAATATTCTGTGTATAGCACTTACGTAATAGTCATTTACTTTTCATCTCTTTATAAATATTAATCAAATTAATTGTTTGAGTGATTGAATAGTATTTAAAAATCAATATAAATATTAAATATATTTTAATATTAATACTTTATTTTTGTAAATAATTTATTAGTTCAGTTAGTTAGTACATAATGAGCTATTAGAAATCAAAACTAATTTGTATTTATTTAAAAAGTATTATAATTGTTGAGTGAATTTTTATAAATTGTTCATTTAATTTATAGATCATTGCATTTACAACTAATTATAACTTTATTATTCAAATATAACTTTTGACATTTAATAGCTCATATATGTTAATAATTACTTCAATCTAATAAGATTTTAAACTTTTATAACATATACAGTAATTTTAAATTATACTGTAATAATATAGTATTACATTTTTTTAAACATTTAGTTATGTAATTTATCCAATAGATATAATAATAACTTGTATAAATTAAACATTATTAAACCTCTATTACCGGTAATTGAGTGATATGATTGACATAAAAAATGTTGAATTATATTATAAAGCTTAAGACTTTGTTATTACTTTACTAATAATATTGAAAAAGTTTTATCACATATAACTGTGAAATGTGATAAAATAAATTGTGAAATATTAGTGTAATTTAGCATTTAATTCACAATATATCAATACTGCATAAATACAGTTAAAATGTTATGAAATTTTAAAACTAATACAAATAAATTTAAGTTTTTATTTTTTTTTGAGGTTATTGTCAATCTTATAATATTAAATTTATATAATTAAGGTTTTTATAGCATTTATAAGTTGTTATTTATTTAATAACAGTAATTCATTAATATAAGTATAATATATGTTTTGTAATTTTATTAATCTAATAGAACATTGATTTTATAATAGATTGTTTATTTACATAATATTAAATAAGGTTGTAAATAATTGTTTAATAAATAAATGTTATAAATTGTATAATACAATATACAATGTTGCTTATATTCAATTTTATTAATGTGTTAAAAACATTAGCAATAATAGATAATTATTGTTTTGTATTTTAATTAACATTTATCTCACTTTAGATTATAAGCTTAATTGTAAATTAGATGTACAATATTTAATAATAATTGCAATAAATATCAATATTATATATTATATTATGTATTTTATTTATAATTTACAACTATCATAATTCATTTATATTTGTCACTATTTTTGAAATAAAATATTATTTATATTTTTAATAATTATTGATAACTAAAATATTGGTAAAAATTGTAATTATTTTATAGTTATGTTGTTATTATTAAAACTCTTATATAAATAATTATATAAATATAAAAAAATTAATAATTGAGTAATATTTGTTGAAAATAAAAAAGTAATAAAATATCGATTACCGTTATTAACTTTATAATAAAACTATTTATTTTTAAAATAATCTTCATATAGATTAGCTAATTATAAATAAATAAATGAGTTAACAATGAGATTGAGATTTATGTCTTACAATCTTAACATTAATGACTGAATTAAACCCACTAATAAAGATTGTATTATTTTCTGACATAACTATTACTGTATATATCATGTTATCTTTTTTATGTGATAATTATATTCATATCTTTGATTTATATTTTGAGAACCGTCCGTATGGATCCAATCTAATCGCAGCTATAATTTTTTTAATAAACTAATATATTAATATAGTAATATAAATTATAAAAGTTTATACAGTATATCAATATTCATATTTTTTTTATTATAGCTCTCGATTTTAAAAAAAATTGGTTAAAAAATGTTGATTTCTATTATTATAAGTTTTTTTTATCATAAACACAAATAGAGCTCATGAGGTAAATATAAATATTTTTATTTTCTTGTATACAGAATATAAGATAATTATATAAACTTTTGTTAATTTACAATAACAATTGTAGATAATTTTGATGACAATTGTTTATTTTCTCAAAATAATCGATATCTCATTTTATAATAAATAGCAAGTGATTGACTAATATCACCAATATTTTTAAACTACAAAATAAACCATTTGACTAATACGGGTAATTTATTATCATAATTACGGTAGTGATAATAATCGTTATACAGTGTACACTATACCTACTTACAAGTTATACAGTAAATGCTTATCTTTAAATATAAATTAAATTAAATAACATTAATTAATAAATATTTGATGAATACATCTATTAATACATTAATTTATCAAATGTTAATATAAATTAATGATAAATTATATGACAGTAAATATGATTAAATAATAACAAAATGAAAGAAAACTTATGAAAAAGGTTTCTGTCGTTTCATTTGAAGACATTTCTTCATAAGAGGTGCAATCGTCACCTTCTTCTTATGATTTGTGGTCATCACATCATGTCTTGCAATCGATATTTTTGCCATCGACTGTGTTTCACATACTTTGGTTGTCTTTCTAGTAGTTTTCAAAGACGCTGTTTTGTCTTTAATACTAGTCGTGAGTTCTTCAAGTTTGCGTTTGCGATCACTCATTACTCGCCAATAAAACTGACGCCACGACTCACTCGACATCTTGTTTGGGATCCCATTGCTGTGCTGACTGTCCTTACCATCGGTGACGACAAAGTAGAAGTCGTTGCGACACAATTGATGCCATAAGCGTTCCGTCTGTGATGTTAACCAAGGATTCAATTCTTCAATACGTTTCAAGTCGTGTGATTCACATCTCTCGAGAAGTGGTTGAATGATATCGTAATTAATCGACTGATTGATTACCAATTTGTCAAAATGTTGGCTAAGCTTTTCGAGACATAACATCTTCAATGGACTGACAGTCCGCACAGTCTTAGAGTAACCTATTTATTGGTAAACGAAAGAAAATATTAATTTTATAACAAATAAGTTAATTCAATGATAATACCGGAGAAGACGTTTGTTTTGTTGGTTTTCCTTTCAAGTCCTCCATTATCTCCTGAGTTAGACAGTCGTCGTCGCAATCGTTTCTTCGACAGACTGGCCATCGCTGGTCTTTCATCGATAACTAAAAGACTCATTTTGTGTCTTCACTTCAATCAACAAACAAAATGACAGAATTTAATGGATCAGCTAATCATTGGATGTGTTGTCAACTTTATAGCGATTGTCATCTGAGATGTCTTTTTCAAAAGTCATTGAAATTCAATACAATCGGCGCTTAAATGCAATTCACAAACAAATCAAACGTGTGGTACAAACACGTGTTCATCAATTACGTCTATATCTCTAGTTTTTTACAGGTATTGTATAATTTAGTCCACAATTAGTTATAATTTAAATATAATCTATAAATTTATATATATATTAATTATGAATAAAAAAAAGTAATTAAGGTATAATTAAAATTATTTTTAAAATTCATTAAAATGTCTATAAGTTTATTTAATTTAATTAAACATACTGTACATACAAAATATCATTGAAACAATATTAAATAATCTTAAAGTTATATTTATTTTACAGTATTAATATTTATATTAATAATTTAAAGACTAGAAATCAAATCGATATACTGTACAATAAAACTAAATATATATATATTAATAATATTTTTAATTGACAAAATATCTATTGGAAATTATCTTAATTACCGGTAATACAAAATTAATTATTTATTAAACTATTATATACAGTATTATAGTAATAAAGTATTTTTTTTAATTAATTTCAAAAATGCAATTCAAAAACATATGATTGAATCGATACGAGACATGCGCTTCATATATGTTTTGATAATTATTAATAAATTTATTTTATGGATTTTAAATGCAAAAACATTGCTATATTTTTTAATACAACTTAAAGATATGATTTGTATAACAGTTTAAATGTTTATATTAATTAGCATTGATTGCTGTCCTTAATATTGTTTACTTATAATAATGATTACTAATTGTATTACTAATGTTTTATAGCATTTTGTAATCACCAATAATAAACATGTGATTGTATGTAATAAAATATCTAATGTATAATAAAATAAAGTAAATTATGAAATATTTAACTTTTTTAATAATGCCTGTTCATAGACTATTAATTATTTAATAAATACTATATCATTTAACATCTAATACAATAGTAATATCATATACAGTATAAACATTTTATTTCCTTATTAATAAATACAGTATTTTATTAGATATTTTATAACTGTATAAACGGTAGGATTTCATTAACATTTTATTTAAATTATCATTTTTAAAATTATTACAAATTACATTGTTATTTAATAATTTAATTTAAAAAATTTAATTATATTTTATTATATTATATTTTTAAGTCAGATAATGTCGATAAACTCATGTACTGATGATTATCGGGTGCTATCCATTCAAAGTCATGTGGTGTCGGGATATGTCGGCAATAAAAGTGCAGTTTTCCCGTTGCAAGTAATTATATGCCATTTATTATGAATATCTTATTTGTCATTATTTGAATAACATTTAAAATATRATAATTGTTGGACAGGTATTGGGCTTTGAAGTGGACGCCATAAACTCCGTACAATTCTCTACACATACCGGTTATGAGCACTGGAAGGGACAGGTGTTGGACTCAAGAGACTTGTTGACAGTGTTTGATGGGTTAGTCAAAAATGATTTACACAAACAATATACACATATACTGACCGGTTATGCAAAGAATGAATCGTTTCTTGAGTCGGTGCTTGAAGTGGTCAATACTGTCAAACAGGCCAATCCCGGTGCTATATATCGTACGGTTATAAACAATTACATAATTATATTTTAATAATAATAATTTTAGATTATTATTTTTTCAACATAAAATTGTTTTATATTTATTTTACTAAATTAATTATCCAAGGTTATTTTTTATTGTTATAAATCATTTATTGATTACAATTTTTGTGCAAAAATACATAACATTTAATTTGTTTTTATCGACAGTATGTGATCCAGTTATGGGAGATAATGGACAAATGGTTTGTCATTAGATTTATTAATACTTTAACTGCAAATTTATTATTAATTATGATATACTGTATAACTTAAGTATGTGCCACAAGAGTTGCTACCCGTCTATAAGGATAAGATCATATTGATAGCCGATATACTGACTCCCAATCAATTTGAAGCCGAGTATGTATTGCCTATAGCTATAAATTTTTGGTTGTCTATTGATTATCTATTGATAATTATTTTTGTTTGTTTGTTAAGGTTATTGACTGGTATTAAGATTAACAACGATTCAGATGCCATCCAAGCTATCGATGCTCTTCACGACTTAGGCATTCCTACGGTAGTCATATCCAGTAGTAATTTGTCTCAAAATAGTAGTCATATGGTAGCCATTGGCAGCAGTCGGGCCAACGGCCATAAAGAGAGAATCAAACTGTCATTTCCTAAATTGAACGCTACTTTTACGGGAACGGGTGATCTGTTTGCCGCTTTATTCTTGGCCTGGTTTACAAAAACTAATAAAGATTTGAAGACTACCTGCGAGAATGTCATTTCCACATTACAGGCTATACTTAAGTCAACCTACGATTATGCTGTCCAACAGCCCGGCGGCGCTAAATCAGTAAAGAATACTGAACTCAGACTAATTCAAAGTCGGGCACAACTCGAGAGTCCGCAAAACAACATTAAAGCCATTGAATTGGTTTAAAAGGCAATAATATATTGACAATTAAGACTAAGGTAAACATTACCAGTACTACAATATGTGTCAAAATGTTATAAATTTTGATCTCATATGTTATTAATTAGATACTTATTTTATAGTTTTTTAAGTTAATTATTATAGAATTTATTCTTTTAGATAGATTTATAATACAGATTTATTTATATGATATATATACAGAAAAATTTTTAATTAATTAATTTGTGCCTCAATTAAGGTCTTCCATTATAGCATGTGATTAAAATTATGATTCAAAATTATCCATTTGTAACTATTATTAATTTTTTTAATAATTAAATCATTATTGATAATATTTGCTTAAACTAAAATATTATAATAATTATTTTATAGATACTAAGAGTAGTCTAAGTAGACTAAAAACTATTAAAATTAGTTTCTAATCCTATATTACCATGACAATATTTGAAATTGATAGTAATTGGTACATTATCTAATAATTAAAAAATACATAAATTTAAATTAGATTTTTGTAGCCTTTAATTAAATTAAATTATTACTTTTAATATAAATCACTATTATAATAGAGGCTATAATACTTAAAAAGATAATCAATTTTATAAAAATATTATTCATATATTGAACGTTACAAAAGACTGAATTGTTTTTGAAAAAATTCCAGAGAAAAGTCATTTTTTGAGATGTAATACACGGATAGATAATGGCTGTAGAGTACAGATCACAGACATGTAGACAACCATCTGATTGTATAAGTGTTGTGTCATATCTACTAATACCAGTTTTCTCGGCAATAACTCCGGTGATGAACAAGTCATCGATATCCAGTATGTGATCATTATATTGATCAATGGTATGCAACAAACTAATAACAGCACTGTATGTCATGATATATGCCGGCCCATTCATATATGATGGCAATTGATTTGATGGATAAACTGATTGTGAAATAAACCATTTGTGACCAATATTTCTTTGAGGACCAATATGTCTTAAAACTGAACCATAAATTGCTGTTTTATCAAATTTGTTCAGATTTTGCAATAATATTTCAATATTAACGACTACATCGTCGTCAACCTTAAGAATTAGCTGATGTTTTGGACAATTCTTGCAAATCCATCGAAGTATTGCAATAGCTTTTAGCGTTAGATTATAATAGCTTTCGTGAAATGGAAACTGAATTATATCAGAATATTCTTGCGATTCCTTCATTAAATCTCTATTTACGGTGTCGTTAGTATTCAATGCAATAACAAAATAGACACTAATATTATATCTTTTGACATCCGATACCCATGTTTTTCGTAACACTTGACGTTTTTCATAATATTTTCCAGTCGACTGTCCACTTGAATGAATAAATATAACAATTGGGTGATTGTAAAAGCATTGGCGATGTTTGGGCTCTAATATAATGTTTTTAGTCAATTCTAATTCACGTTTGGTGTGAATATAATTTCTTTTAAAGTTATTATAATCATTAGGTTTCAGAGAATTGATATCAAAATAATCATAATTTGTATAATAAGTCCAATTTAGCAGTTCATATGATATATAGACAGTTACTAATATACAGAAAACTGCTAACAGTATGAATCGCTGTTGATTAATGGCAACCATTACAGAGATAATGAATATATTTTTATGAGTATCAATGAATATTTTAGGCAAATTAAATAACACTATTTAAAATATTCATATTAATACTTTATATAAAGTGGCCACAAATGATTGAAAATTTGAATAATTTGATAGATTAATGGATTGTAGAGACCATTAAAAAAACTCAATGCAATTTAAATGATCAAATTACATATAACAGCATTAACTACAGTAATGTAAAAATTTATGATTAACTAATTTACGGTGTTTTATATACTAAATTGATGGTTTGATGTTAAACTAAACTAGTAAAACTAAATAAATTATTAATATGATTTATTTAGTATCAATAAATACCGTAAATAAATTAAAAGTTATATATATATTGTAGTTTAACAAACAGGGTAATAATTTTTTATATTCTAGTATTATATACTAAAATTATAATTACCTGTAGATAATACATAAAAATACTGTATCTATGAAACAAAATTTTATGCATTGAAAAAAATGTTTGCTAAGTACTTGTTGTATACTTAATTAATTAAGTTAATTTACCGGAAATAAAAGTCATTATTATTTATTGACGATTATTGATGATAATACAAAAATATTACATCATTGCCATAAGGGTTAAGACTGATTTTTGCTAAATATCTCAATAACTATTTGAGCTAGATGAAATTAAAGTTTATGAGAAACATGGATTTATGGAACGTATACTTTAATATTATAAATTTTGCATCAATAAGCTTATGTAGCCGAGCACCGGTATTTTATAATTTCAGTTTAATAAATATTAAATACTAATTTCATTATATTATGACAAAAAACGTTTTTCAGGATTAACAGATGATATTTTCAATTTAATAAAATAGACAAATTTTCAATATTAATATTAATAATTGAAATAATAATATTAATATATTAATTTCAATATTATAAAAATTTCAATTTTATAAAACAAACATTGCTTTACAAAATACCTACACTTTTAAACTAAAGTATTTCAAAATTTTATATTTTAGACATATTTGTATCTAAATTAACATATTTTTATGTTTTGATATCACTTATAGTTTGAGATATTTAGCAAAAATCAGTCAACACTTATTGCAATGATTTTATATGCTTTTTAAAATACTGTATTAAATTTAACAATAATTAATAATAACTTATAAGTAATAATAATTTAAAATTTGTTTTAAGCAATATTTAAATCAGTATATAAAACAATTCATTAAACAATATTATATTATATTAATTATTTATTTGTCAGGAATTTCGACGCCTTTGATGGCCAATACTTGTCTCAATTGTTGTTCAATGGCCTCATTAGTGCCGATCATACCTACTATCACACGAGACGCCCACTCAAAGTACTCTTGAATGCGTGTTTCAGTCCACCCGACGGGTGGGTTAGTCAAGAGGTCATTCAAATTGTATAATTTGTCCGACAATTTGACTAATTTGGCCGCAAAGCTCAAGTGCGGTGAATGCTTTTCTTGAAGACGTTTGCGTTTCTCTCGCGTCAGTGACTTATCATCGGTTACTTCGGCAACAATTGAGGCTATTTCTGGTCCAAACTCGCGAGAGATGTCATCAATAGTAGTGTCTGTGTCTTCTACAGTGTCGTGAAGAACAGCGCCACACAAGACATTAATATCGTGACAGTTGGCCGTCTGGACCAACGTATTCATGACACCAATCGGATGATTAATATACGGAGTTTTGTTGTCTTTTCTCAGTTGATTCCTGTGAGCAATGGCTGCATAATTGATGGCTTTGACTAATACACTCATGTTTTCACTATTTTCTGTCATTTTTCATTGATGTCAACAATTGTTTGTCAAACTCGAGACCTAATAGTAAAATAATTATATGAATGTATATATCTGTGATATGTTGAAGAATTGGCACTTTTGGTGATCAGTTGATAATTATTCAGAAATATATCAAATATATATATGACTGATGAAAATGTTTTATTAAAACTATTTCAATACAAACAGCTGTTTGTATGATAATAATGAATGACTCGTAAATTCTGTGACAATAATGATGACAATCAATGGTTAAAATCATTTGAAATTACAATTTAATTCATTTTCATAAATATCAGATAAAATACATGATATTTATGAAAATGAATTAAATTGTAATTTCAAATGATTTTAACCATTGATTGTCATCATTATTGTCACCATTTTTTTCGTCTATTCAGAGACTAAATAATTATTTTTAATACAAACTTATCGTATAAATTAAAATTTAATTTGAAAATATTTATTACAATAAAAATATCAAATCATAAACTTTTTAAGTCATTTACCTAATAATTAACATTAATTTAAAAATTATATATTAATAACAAATATGATAATTGAATTGTCATTAACATTGTTTTGTATGACTGGAGACACCAATTAACCAAATGATCATTTGTGACACTTGTATGTGTATTCCAGTGCTGAAGACACAGTTCTCATGTCGTGTTCAATAGCTTTGGCCCAATTCTGGACGTCACCCAACTCTTTGACCGCTTTGTTAAAGTTGTTCATCAAATGCAGCCATTGATTAACCGATCGCTCAAATTGTGTCACATTTTGTACCAATTGTTTGGACTCCGAGTCCAATCGTCTTTGATTTATATAAGTCTGAGCCACTCTTAAGCCAACAAATAATAGGAAACATATCGTATATGATATCAAATGTCAACTATAACTAAGTCAATGATAATACCCATCATTCAAATGGTTGACCAGATTTGCCGTCAAATCGACACAACTGTTGATGGCTTCTGACCTTTTGGTGTCTAAAATAATATAATAATTGATCACTAATTATATGATTACAATGAATGCAATTATTTGATACTAAATACCGATTTCTTGTCGTTTCTTGTTTTGTCTGATCTGATGATCGCAAAGCATTTGAGACAACATTTTGTGACACAATTTAGACAATTATTTCAAATTATATTCAAATTATCAAAATATTGTATCAAATATAATGTCAACTAATGTTCTAAATATTGTTGTCATTAATAAAGGGCTTAAAGCATATAATCGATGAACAATGAGTTAGGCCTTAAGTTTTATGATATTATTTTATAATTAGCGCATAATTCAAAATTTAACAAAAATTTAATGATTTTTAATGCAATAACTTTGTTATTAATTTTTATTTAAAATTATAATCAATTATAACATATTAATATACAATTAAACTATTATATAATATTATAGATACAGAATTATAATTTTGTTAAGATCTTTATTTTAAATATACATTAATAAAAACTTTTTATATATCAAAGTATTAATTAGAATTTATATCAATAATTAATATTAATTACCGTATTATACACTTAGAGTATAGTAATACAGACTTTATGTGTCAAACAATTTATTAGTTATATATTTTATATTATAATTGACTTAATTGTGATTGTTATACAATTTATCAAAACTAATAGTTGGTGTTGTAATCACTGATTGTGTATATCCATAGCTTATATCAGTTGATGTCGGAAGTGTTGGTGTTGTAGTTATTGATTGTGTAATGCAATGGTTTGTATCACTTGCCGACTGTTCCCTTAAGTTATTTCTATTGATTGTTTTATCATTGATATATGTGGCAAATATTTCCAATAATGCCATTTGTATTGATGTATATTTGATGTCATAGTCAAAGACGGAAATAGTAGTCAATTGACAAAAGTTGTTGTGTTTTATCATATTATTGACGAAATCATTGACTTGAAGTGATGGCCGAAACCATAAATTGATTATATATTTGGACTCAGATTTTGATAAAATATTTATTAATTCTTTGAAATAAACTTTAAAATAACTATTTAAAAAAATATTAATAATTTACTAAAATTATATAAATTATAATTGAATTACCAAACAATTTGCGATAAGTCAACACTTATTTGTTTGTGTAGATTGTGTGCGATATTAGCCATCAATTTATTTTCTAATGACTTAATTTTGTCAGTTTTTGATTTCAATTCATTGAAATAAGTAATTATATCTTCGGCTATGTTGTCATCGCTGCAAATACTATAAGATGTTCGCATCATTTCATTGACATACAAACGGAAGACTAAAAGACTTATTGTTTTGTTCACATATTTTTCTAAACCATAATTCAAAAGATTACGCAATTCTTTCTCATATTTGCTAATAAATTAAATAATTGAAATCATTTTAATAAATATTAAATTATAATTAATATATATTTTTTAGAAATACCGGCAAAAACTTTTATGTAATTCATTAACAGATTTTGGATATATTGTGTGAGAATCGGTATTAAAAAAGTTATGTTCAATACTTGTGAAGTTAAATGGATGGCATCCCATAAAATTAATTATGGATATAATAACTGTAATAATAAACAGTAGTTTAATATTATTAACAATTTTCAATTACTGGTTGTACTAAATTTTTAGTTTGAAAAAGTTTGATAGGCAAGCAATTTAATGCTAATTAAATATAATAATAATACTTACATAATATGCAAAATATTAATTTTATCATATTTTTGATTTGTTATATTTGAATAAAATAAAAACATTGATTTAAATTTATTATTTATGAATAGTTTTTAATAATAAATAAATAAATAAATAAGTAAAATGTTTTTAGGAAATATATTTTGTTAAAATTTTAATTGAATTATTTTAATTATTAATAACTAAAGTATTGATTATTAGTTATTTAAACTGTATTAAATAGTTGTATATAGTTGCCAAAAAAGCCAAATAGTTATTGAAATAGTTATTTATTAAATTTTTTAGTTGGAAATCAAGACACTATTAATAACCCATAAATGTACTGTAAATATAATTTCATAATTTTTAATACAACATACAAATTGTTGGCAAAAAAATAAATTTCTAAAATAATAGAGAAATTTCTAGAATGTTTCTAAAAGAAATTTCTGTCTATGGGATTCACATATTAATTTTGTTTTTGTAACAATACATTATAATTATAAATAATAACTAATTATACTTATTTTAATTAATATTCAAATTAAATAAAATGAATCTATTTAATTATATTAAATTGTAATGTAAATAATATAAAGTAAAATTTGTACAGAAATTATTTTTTGATTTTTTTAGTGAAATTTATTAGAAATTTCTATACATATCTATACATATTATTTATGGTATTTGTAGAGTATTAAATTACCAATAAGCTTTTTTGCGATATATTACTAATTAAATAAATTTCAAAAATATACTGTATTTATAATAATTTTTTTAAATCATAAGTTTTATGTAACTATTTGTTTTAAAAAAATATTTCTTTTAAACTTACGTTAAACATTAAAATTATCAACAACAAAATAAATTTGAATATGATAATAATTAAAAATTTATCTGATTTATTATATATAAATAATAATATAAATTTGATTAATTTAGTTTTGTTGATAATATAAGATTTGTATATTTAGATAAAATTATAGTTCAAAAAATCTTTAAAAATCTTTAGGGTTCTAATGGATGCCTAAATTTCACTCTATTTTAAAGTCATATTATTTTCAATTTTGTCAAAATGTCTGGGAATGTAAAATCACAAAATCTTGGTCTCAGAGGGGCTAAGATAGCCATACTTCACCCTACCATCCATTTGCTTAACCCTCATATATATATATATATGTTAGGTTTATATATACAATATATGCTTATATAATAAAATATAAAAATAATAATATTGTGATAATTACAATTTAGTTTAAAAGAGCTATTTATCACTTATGTACAGTAGATCACCAATGAATTCATTYTATTTATTAATTTAATTTTAAAAAACATTTTATAAATTTGTCAAAATTGTCTAATAAATATTTAGTTCTATAATTTCAAAAACAGATACTAATATTTAAAAAATTATTATAAATTATTGGCGATTATATACAATATTTACTCGATATATATCCATAAAATAAATAAATAATATTATATATTGAGTTTACATTCAAGTTTCTAATTGAATCGTAGTTGTGAAATGAAAGTATACTTAATTTACTTTATTATTATTATTTATATACTTTATTTTAGATAATAAATAAGCAATTAATATAAATTATCATTTTCTACTGATAATACAGTAGTTGAATATATTATTGATATTTTCATTTCACAATTACGATTCGTATTCACAATTCTAACGTTTTTAACAACATAAAGTCACTTTCATAACCCCTTTAACTAGTTTTTTACTAATAACTCAAAAACTAATTTAGATAGTTAAACCAAAATTTTATGAGAAACATGGATTTCTGGAACGTACAGTTTGATACAATAATTTTAATAATTAATTGCACAGGTAGGCTAGCTCAGGGAGGTGTGATATCTCAAAAACTATAAAAGATATAGAAAAATTATAAAATGAATAATATACTAAGTTTTTGAGTTATTAGTAAAAAACTAGTTAAAGGGGTTATGAAAGTGACTTTATATACATAATAAACATGTAATAAATAATAATAAAATTAAAGTGATTTAAATTTTATTATAAATATATATATAAGTTAAATATCATTTGATAGATAAATTTACAGTATATATTTGTATTATTTACTCATTATACAGTATTTAAACAGTGTTTACAGTAAATAAAGTTTATTAATTATATATTTTAAAACATAAGTTAATTTCAATGAATTAATTTTTTATATCACTAACAATTAGTGACAAAAAATTATGAAAAATTAATTATTAATAATCTATTAGTAAGAAATGTCAATTTTTGATAAAACTACAAAAATTGTCACTTATTTGATTATATTATTACTTGTTTGGGCTCTTTGCTGGAGTATAATTGGTGAAGAAGCTGATCCACCAAATGGATCATTATTTCAATTGTTATTTCTGTTTGTTTTGGCCTATATTTGTGGACAGTTATTATCAGTGATTCATTTGCCTCCACTATTAGGAATGCTTATCATTGGATTTATAAGTGGGAATGTGTTTGACTTAAATCTTAATGAAAAGTTGTCGTCAACTTTCAGATCTATAGCTTTGGTTATAATACTATTGAGAGCGGGTCTCGGGTTAGACCCTAATGTCATTAAAAAACTAAGCGGTATTTGTATCAGACTATCATTGATTCCATGTATTGGCGAAGCTTTCACTATATCTGTGGTCACATATCTACTAATGGACTTACCATTTGTCTGGGGAATCCTTTTGGGGTTTATACTGTCGGGTGTTTCTTCAGCGATAGTCATTCCCGATATGATAGTATTACAAGAGGAACAGTTAGGAACAAACAAAGGCATACCAACACTGCTGATGGCATCTGCAAGTGTTGATAATGTGGTGGCCATCACAGGATTCGGTGTTTGTTTGAGTTTTGTATTTGATAACAACTCATCTCTTGTATGGAATATATTCAAAGCTCCGGTCACTGTCGTCGCCGGCATTGTTGGCGGTGTTGTGTTTGGACTGATATTGTGGTTAATCCCAATCAAATGTTGTCCTCAAGAAGAGCAACAAAATGATTTCAAACTATTAAGACTTTGTTTATTGCTATTGATTGGTATGTTCTTAGTGTTTGTCAGCAAAAAAGTTGGTTTTGATGGTAGCGGACCTCTTGGATGTCTTATATTTTCATTCATAACATCACTTAAGTGGAGAAGCTCTCCTTTTTACGAACAACTAAGAAATTATTTATGCTATCTATGGCTTATATTCGAAGTCTCTTTATTTGTCTTAATTGGATCCGAAGTCAAGATATCTGATCTGAACAACAGTTCCATAGGATTTGCTGTTATTTCACTTTTCATTGGATTACTTATGCGATCGATAATTACAGTAATGGTTACATTTGGTGCTAATTTTAAATACAAAGAAAAACTATTTATAACACTTTCATGGATACCAAAAGCTACGGTTCAGGCGGCCATCGGACCAATTGCTTTGGATTTAGCCAGAGATAGGAATGATTTGCAACTTATAAACTATGCTAAACTAGTGTTAACATTAGCCGTACTATCCATTATAATTACTGCCCCTTTAGGATCAATTGGCATTTCATTATCTGCTAAAAAGTGTCTACAATATGCTAAACGACTTGATTATAGTACTGAAATTTGATTTAGAAATCAATAGTTGGCATAATTTTTCAATATTTTTTATAAAACAATATCAATGTATTTTATTTATAAATTTTATAACTATTATTTACAATAATTTGATTTTTCAAAGAAATGTTTCAAATATATTACAAATATTTATTGTATTAAAAGTTTTTGTAAATTTTAGTTTTAGTTAAGAAACTCTAATACTCTTATAAATCAATTATTGTAATTCAAATCAGATTTGATTTAAAGAGTTGCAAGAGTTTCGTTGAAAGGCAATGCAATTAAAGGTTAACTACATTTATAACTAAAGCACATATTATTGTAATATAATGTAATGTTATCTCAATTTATACAATAATACATAATATAATAAATTGATATTCAAGTTCAAAATTCAAATAAAATTTCAAATGTAGTAATTTTCAATAACAATTAAAGATAATAAATATTAAGTTCATATAATACATAATTATAATGTATATTCAACTATAGATTTAAATTCTCAAACAATTAATTTACAAAAAAATGAAATAATATTTTGATACATATTGTATATTTGTTTTATAAATTGTTAATTTGTGTAATGAGATATATATATAATATATATTTATAATTGTGCTGATTTTAGTTAATTGTTATCATAATTAACAATATGTTTAATAATAAATTTATGAGATAGAAATTAGAGTATTATTAAACCTCATAAATTAATCGAGAATTTGTATAATTTTGTTAACATAATTAAATGATATAAAGTTATCCACTAAATAGAATTTAATGTAATTTCATGAAATAAAATAAAAATAATATTTGACAATAAAATTTAACAACAAAAAATCAAAACGATATGTACAAAATAAAAATTAGCTAATATTAAGTAAACATTTATAAAATGTTTATCCACTCACTCGTGTATTTGGCAGTTAAAAGTCAATTAAAAATTTTGTGACATTATTAATCCAAGTGTATATTGTAAACGATGACAATGACAGCAATAAAATCAATTAATTTTTTGAAATGTTTTGAAAACAATACAAATAATTATCTACATTCATGTACAGTATATGCATATTATACGCTATATTAAACATTAGCCTATTTATTAAAAAAAACAATCTTTAACTTTAATTGATTTGATGATTTTAACTTTAATGGTTAAAATATATTTTTAATAATATGCAAACAACAAATAATTTAGACTAAAGTGCCATTTATGGCAAATATTTTCACACAAATGAGTGGATTTTTATAATGTTAATGAATTGAATTTAAAGTGAAAATGATTAACAGCTATAAATTATATTTAGCGATAAATATATGCAATTATTTATCAAAAATATATACAATATATTTATAATTTTCTTCATTTTTTTGTATTACCGGTACTTTTTATCGATAATATTAAGCTATACTTTGCATTCAATCATACTTTCCCTCCAATACTTCATTCTTTAATAAAATAAGCTCTTCACCAGAATATGACCTCTTTATACCTCTGGGCAAACCACGACATGATTGGAGATCCAATGACTCTAATTTAGGACAACTTTTAAACAGAATTTTTATGCATTCATAAGAAACGGCTGATCCTCTGAGTTGAAGTGTTCGCAGCTGTGATTCTTCTTTGCCCACTTCACACAACAATTTAATACAAGAGGTCACACTATCTTCACTGGTATTCCACGACAAGTCAACGTCTATTAATGACCGGTTCCACTGTTGATCAAAAAATAAAATGAATGAATTGATAACAATAATTATATTTTTATACGCATACCTTAGTAAAGACCATCTCGAGCTGATCCGTATTAAGTTTTGGACAATTGCTAATTGACAGATGCTGTATATTCCAGGCGGGAATTTTGACCAGAGCTCTGTGCGATAGATACCGTGCGCCACGAATATCCAATAGTTTAAGATTTTCGGCATTTTTGGTCAATTGTTCCAAAACATTATCTGTGTGTGCGTTTTGCATGATTGCTGTCGAAAAGTCTGATTTTGATGGTATACTCAGTTCTTCTAGTGCTTTAAAACCGTCCGTTTGTGATCCAGACGTCGATACCGTAAACGCAATGTTTGCGGCACGAAATATACGTAAGTTAGGACATGAAGTTTGTATTTTCTCTACGGGTATGGACGCTGTCTTTGTTAGCGATTCCACATTTGATATGTCCAATAATTGCAAATTTGGACAAAAATCCTATCATATTTTCTTTATTATTAAAACTAATTTATTATTATTAGAAAACAACAATTAGTATACCATTATCGATGTAATACATCCATGAAATGAAGGCATAGTATTCTCAGAAATGTTTAATGAAATCAAATTATTGCCACATTTTTCCAGATATGGCCGAAACACTGTCGTTGCAAAAGGACTTTGACTGTTCTGGTGTGAGGCGGCCTTCCATTTGAATTGCAATTTACGATACAATGGTCGATAGGGACCGGAAAGTAAATACTAATTAAAATTTTATACAATTTATGGTTACTTTTGATAATCTAAATTTAAATGTTAGCGATAATAATATTAATAATATATTATATATTACTATAAATTAATAGAAAATAACTTTAAGATTATATAAATACCGTAATGGCAGAGATGTCAAGTATAATAATATTAGGACAGTATGTACTGAGTGTTGTGAGGAATTGTGACGATATATTCTTGCAATTCTTAAGTGTCAATTCATTGAGACGATCGGCACATCTGACAGCAATCTCATCCAATACCCGTTCAGCGTTAGACCCGTTCCATGAGCTCAGGTTCAGTGCCTTCAAGTGGTCGAACAATTCATTTTCATTTAAAATAGCAAATAAGTCATTGTAGGCAAAGTCCACTTCACTGAATGTCTGCAAATCAAGACTTTTCCATAGAAGTGGTGTCGTTGTGATTAAATTGCGCCAACTTTCGCACACCTGAGACAAACTGAATCACACAAACGGTTCAATTGTTTATTAATAATCATTTATTTATTATTAATAGTATTTACTTAATCATAGATTGTGTCCGGTTTTTGTCGTCAACCAAGACATAGTCGAAGATTCTGATGAGTATCTCTTTTGGTAATTTCTGCTCAAAGTCGTGATCCACTTCTTTGAGAAGACAAGTAAACCTCCAATTAGTGACCAATTTTTTCGACTTATTTTCGCTCTCATCGACAATACATTTGTGTTTATAATCTTTTTCCAATTGTTTTCTATCATTAGACATATTCTTTCTCTGTGTATATCAATTAAAACCAAAAAAAATGTAATCAAATAACTATCGATTATAAGACTAATTGTTTTTGTTTTTAGTAATTGAACTCTAAATTAAACCAAATCTTAAAATGCATCTAAAAAGTCATTTATTGTATTAATAATAATATCACAGATAAAGTTAGACAAACCTTTTTATTTGATTTGTCAGCTGAACTGGTCGGTCGGCCGCCGTATCCGTTAACAAATTTGGTTCCCGGCTTTCGGCCCCTCTTTTTGGGCGCTAAAACAGCACCATTGGTGTTATCATTGGCGCCGTTATCTTTGTTGCCATTGCTCTGGCAATCGGTGGGTACAGTGTCGCCAACAATTGACCACTTCTTGCTATTTTTCCTTTTATTTTTCAATATTTTAATAGTTGGTATCACACGATCACCACTAACACCATTATTGGCCAAAACTGATTGATTCAGTAGATCTGTCCTATTACTGCTGCCTGAGTTAGTTTGCATACTGTCGTCACGTATGGGCGATGCAAGTGACTGATCACTAGTTAACTCATCGTTGGGCACGTAATCCATGTCCTCTTCGGAGTCCTCCTCAGGCCATAACTGTTTGCTCTGATAGTCAAACAGCACTTTCTGGTGATGCGTTGATTTACTTTGATTGTGATTATCCTCCTTAACACTCGTTTGATTAATAATGTTCATCATTTAATGATCACCACAACTGGTCCATTACACCAATCATCTGATTAACCAAACTTATCGGTTAAATATAATTACAATTTTCACGGATTTCTTGTCACAAATCATGCAATCGTTTAGCGATTAGTCTTCAGAGTAGTGACCAAAAGCAGTGCACAGATATTGATGTGTAAAATGTGTGACCAAATCAAGTGATAGTTGTTTATGTATTTCAAGTAATAAACAAAAATCATATGAAAAATGTTTGACTGTTTTGAAAAACTAATGAAGTTTTCTCTCCTCTCATAATAACATAATAGTATCGATCGTTCAAACAGTCAGACACTCGATGTTTAAGCGCTAATTCAATGCTCAGTCAATACAAACATATAAACTGTAATATTATTAATGGCTTTTAATTAGTTTGAAAAACAATATTAAAAACTGTCAAACAATTAATTAATTGAAGTAAAAGTATGAATAAAAGTAACCATTTGTTTAGTTATTGATCGTTAAGTCGACACAATCGACAATCGGTCTATTAGTACACTGTTTTACATTGATTTCAGTGCTGAATGGCTTAGCGATAGTATAGTCTATACTCTATAGACTATAGCTATGCCAATGATAATTGACTATACATTAGGTCTCCATTTATGTTGCATTTCATGTCAAATGTTTGCAATGTTTGCAATGTTTTGCCAATATTCAGGTCATTCACTGCTTTTGCAAATATCAAACCATCAATAGATGGCACTCATTGTGTCATTCAATACAATACATGTATTAAATGATAAGTGCTTTCAATCAATTGATTTTCAATTCTATACAATCTATACATCAAAAAGCAAATCAAATCTTTTTTTTATTCATTTTGTCAAACAATTCAATACATTTACAAAGTTATACAAACTCTCAAATTCACAACAGTTTACAGTTTAGTACACTTTATGTTTATTTCAGTACTTTTATTATACAATAATTATGTAGTAATAATTAAAAACATAGTTATGATATATAAATAATCATTTTTTTCAATCAATAAATTAGAAAATACATTATATTTTTATAATAATCTTATTTTTTATTTGTTAAATGCATAACAATTATAATTGAATTTAATAATCAAATGTGAGAATCGTTGTAAACTAACAGTTATTTTAATGACATAATCGATGGTCTGTTTGTAATGTTTGACACTTTATGTCCGAATCGATACTCTTTTGATTGTTTTTATTGCTTTCATACGTTTCAGTCGACAATCTGTTGAAACAACTGTCCATTTGGTGTCTCATCGGATCGTAATCTCATAAATTTTGTCCGATTTTTGTAATACAAATGTTATGTATTGTAACAAACAAACATCAAATATTAAAAATAGTTTTATTTAAATGTAATCATTATATATAATCTAATCATTGATTTTATCAATTATTTAATTATGTATTAATTGTCTATTTGTTAATCAATGGTCTGATTATTGATAGAGTATATGAAAAAATATAATTACTATAAATAAATAATTATTAAATAATGGTTTAAATTATATTTAAAAATGTACTAAAATGTGTTGAGAGGGGTATTATGGGGTAGAGAGGGGTTGTTTGAATTGTTTGAAAGTATACCCACTTTTAACTAAAGTTTTTTCAACAATATTTTACTTTACATTTTGCGCTCAATTTGATTGAATACAACTATTGGTAACTATTGGTTACACAAAAAGTAATTCATAAAAATATGTTAACTGTAGACAAACATTGATTCGATTGATTACATTGATTACACTGTCAAACAAGTGTTAAGAGACACAACAGTTAACACAATTCAAAATCAATTGCTTTGAATCAATGCATTGACTGTAAACACGCTTTTATAGTATAAGTATTATTATTATTATTATTATATATTACAGTATATTATATTAATAAAGCAATGAAATGAATGAATCAATAGATTTGTAATAAACAGTGAAAAAGCAGTTTTTGAACGACAACTGACTGTCTCTTACTCTTTGATTACCATTTGGTCCACAATTGCCATCATTTTTGATGCATTTATCTTGAAATCACTGATTATAGCACACATTGTGTATCGTTTCATAAATTGATCACCAAATTGGTTACAGACAACTACTTGTCGATCACCGGCAGGTTTATCGGGTGTAAGAAGTGTTTGGTCTGTGTCTGCCATCGTTTTTTGATTAACTTCTTGGGTCTTGTGTTTATCAATGGCTCAATATATCACTGACGACAGCGGCAAATATATAGCGTCTTCTCAAAGACCAGACGGCACGTGGAGAAAGCAAAGGAGGGTTAAAGATGGATATGTGCCTCAAGAAGAAGTACCACTTTATATGTCAAAAGGCAAGCAATGGCAACAAGAAAGAGAAAGGGAACCAATTCCTGGACTTACAAAACACGTGATTACTAATCGGGTAATACATTTAAGTCTTCATTTGTATTGCTTTTTCATAACATGTGTTGACTTATAGGATAACAAAGTTCGAGCCGAAGGATTGTTGGTAAGCCCTCCGGTGACACATAAGTTGGCCACAGGATTGACTGTTGATGGAGAGTGGACTACAGTTTCTAACAGTAAAAAGAAGAAATCTAAGGCCAAACTTGAATCAGAAGCTCAAGAATTAACCAAAACAATGAATTCTGTATCAATTGATGACAGAAATAATGAGAAGAGTGGACCAAACCATAACAATAGCCACAATGTTGTACGCAATGAGTTTGGACAACCATTGACCACCGATCCCGCCAAACGGTTACGTAATTTAAAGAAAAAATTAAAAGAAATCGAGGCTTTAAAAAGTAAACAAAAGGACTCATTAGAGAGGGAACAGTTGGATAAGATATCGAGAGAAGAAGAAATTGTTCAACAAATCAATGAATTGCAACAATTAATCGATTGATTTGATTATTGCTTTTTCAATTGAAACAAAACAAATCACTACAGAATGAGTCGCTTTTCTACACATTTTTATTACTATTAATATAAATAATTGTTTGTGTTTTGCATGTTATCTATCAAAAGATCATTTGTTTTTTAATTTAATGTTTAAACTACAGTACAGTACTAGTGATAACAAGAAATATTACGGTACGGGACCTGTAATTGCAGGATAACAGTAAATAATAATACTGTTTATTAATAAATACCATCTCATATTATACATACATTTATGTATACAGTAGTCATTATATTAGTACTGGTATAAAAATATACTGTATTATAATTTATAATAGAAATATTTTTAAATATATTATACAAAAAAAATAACGAGAAAATATCATAAATGAGAAAAAAGGGTTTAATTTTGTTGAATATTTAAAGCAGAAAATCTATTATTTAAACCTTTGTTGACTTTCTTTTTTGAATTCCTAGTCTTGAGTTTTTGACTTTGAAGATGTGTCTTCCTATTGGTGACATCAAGACATCGAATAAATTTGTTATCCATAACATCATCACATATAGTACTCAACAATTTAGTAAATAAAGTGGTAACCAATGATTGGCGACCAAATAATTGCATTAAGTAAAGCACTGGGTCTTTACGTGACGACAATTCAACGGTCAGATTATAAATGAATGGACCGTTTAAACAAAAATATGGTTTTCCTATTTCAATAGGTTTACCGAATAAATTATTAATAGATTTGATATCTTTTAGACATAACTGGAATTCATTGAAAAAGTGTACAATTCGTGGCTGAAATAGTTTGGCCCCGTTATGGTGTGGTTTGCTATTGAATTGTCGTATACCACCAAATAATTGGGTTTTATCTAAAGTGATAAATCTAATCTTATTATATGAACCAATGTGTCCACAAAATATAATAGCTGTTAACAATGAGTAAATAAATTCAATCCATATTTGATGATAACTTTTGCTAATCCAGTACTTAATGACAGTTAACATAAATACGGCTCCATTGATGTCATTACTAGTCATGTTATCGCCGGCATTCAAATGACATACAAATAACTCTTTAAAAACTTTCAATGATTTGGTATCAATTGATATAATATCTAAAAACAATTCTCTTCTTTCATCAAATGATAAACTTCTCAAATCAGTCAGTTTTGGCAAATCATTTAATTTTCGAGTCTTTAATTTTGGTTCCGTTTTAATGATAGACATTTGAGAACCGATTCTTTCGTAAACATTTATGGATTGATTGTCGTTGTCATCTAATCTTAACAATGAATACAAATATTGTCTTAATTCGTCAACACATTTATAAGACGCCTGAAGTGCAAAGTCTTCAACACAAGGCGTACGGATATCACATTTGAGTTTAATTACTGTCATAAACATTGAATCCAATTGTGATTTATGAAACTCATTGCTAAACCATAGAGGAAGTGTTAGATCATCTTTGGGTAAAAATGATGACATGTCTGAAAAATCAATGTTTTTCAAATCATTAGTTATAACACCGTTTGCATAGTTTTCAAGTGATATCTGAAGCAAATCCATAGCTTTATTTCTTGAACTTTTTTTTAAGAAATTAATAAGAAAAGTGACGGAATCGTCAACTGTTTTCTCTCTTAACCAACTCAAGAGTTTAACCATTCTTTGATGACGTTTTCCGACGTGTAATGATTTTCTCTTATTTCGAGACAATGTCTCCACATTAGGTATAATACTGAATATGTTGTCGAAGACATTACAATCGACCCAATCGTTGCCCATAAGTGTACTAAATAATGGAAGACATTCTCGTTTAAGTCCTGGAAAGTAATCAATCAAATTATCAATTAAATAGATATCACAATCCAAGTAGTTATAAGTCTTTGTATTATCGATTATATTATAACCAATTCTCTCCAATTTATAAGAACTAAGCAGACAATCGACTGAAATAACACCAAACTTTAGATCAAATACAAAGAAGTCGCTGTCATTTGATAGGACCGGACATTTCAATTGGTTTGCAATACAAGCGATCAAAGAGTCGGCTTCATATAAGGCTTGAATGAGATGGACGTCTAAATCAGTCATCACTGTATGCATGACTTGACGACAAAGTATTGGTAATATTCGGTCACCGATAAGATTGCCCTTTGAAATACACTTAGCGGTGTCTAAACGACATTTGAATCGTTTTACAACTGTCTTCATCTTTTGCTGTGAGGGATCAATACCGCCGTCAAAAACAACAACTGCTTGGATCCGACAGCGTTGTAATGACTTAAAGAATTGGTGACAACAGTCCGCGAAACGGCCGTAATCTCCGCCATAGATGTAGTCTTTTGAATCAACACTACAACTGGTATACAAAGCATTGAAGAGATTACTGCCATCGATGACAAGCCATGTGTCGTGTAATTCATATCCTGATAACAAATCTTTGTTATTCTCAATGAAACTCTTGAGTCCTCTGATTCCCATCACATCCCAGTTCAACACTATTGAGTATTTCATTTAATTATCAAATCATTTCAATTAAAACAATTAATAAAAATACTTTTCGTATATTTGGTTACCTTTTGATTGACTTGTATTTAGTTTACAATAATTACTAATAAATTGTAAAAATCTTTTAAACTTTAATAAACTGATAATAATTTAAGTTTAGTAATGGTTTTAATAAATATATTTAAAATTTATTTACAGTTTATTTGACATCAGTTTCTAATGAGAGGCGCTTTAAATGGCATTTCATTCAAACAGTGTATGCATTGAAAGCACGTGTTGTTTGGCGTAAACATTGAATGACAACAACTGTTTGATCGCAATATTGAAATCAATGGGTAAACGAAAGCACAAGACATCCGATACGATCATAGAGACCATCGAAGACAAAGTATTGAATAAATATCACAAATACAAGAAAGATAACCATTTGGATGTTAAAGACAACGAACAGACCAATGATGAACACAAGTTAGATGAGACACAAACTCACGATAATATCACTCAAACAGACATCAATAGTGCTGAAGATATATTCAAGAAATGCAAGAAAATCAAAGATGAAGCAACTAAAGAGGCCATCAAATTGAGGAAAAAGGCAAAGAAGTTGGCGAAACAACAGCCAACAAGTGATAGTTGTGTCGATCAAAACAACAGTTCCGAAGACAATAGCAAAACTGGTAAATGTCTTACTTCTGTCCAATATTTGAAAGATTGGAAGTATAGACCAGACTTTTGGAAGTTTAAGAAAAATTTACAGATTTGGCTCTTAAAGAATTGGAAGTATAACCAAAAATTAAGTGACAAAGACTTTGATTTGTTTTTAGAGTATATATTTTCAGCTAATAGTCATTCATTAGCTAAGAAACGGCTTGAAGAAGAGGCTAAGGCTATCGTCGACAAAGAGAGTGTCACTGAAGAAACAGTCGATAAGGAAAAGGTGGTCAGTAGTGACACAACTGTAGATGAAATCATTGTCGATAGGGCTCGTCGTGTACTTCAGTGTCTATAAGTTGTAAATTAAGATATTATGGACACAATTGAAGAACAAGACATTTGGAGATTTGATTGTTGCTCTCGATTTGATTTTGGAGATCCAGTGGTCAATTGGTTTGTCATTGTTTTTCTTGTTATTTGTTTAGTAATTGTTAAGTATTTTGAGAAAAGGAGTTACCATAAGTCAAATTATGATAAACTTTAATTTATCGATACATTATTTATTTGACCAAAATATACACTTTTTTAAATTATACCAATTTTTATATGTATTTCATAATAAAAAATAATTATAATTATAATAACATTGTTTGTTATGTGAAATACAATACATTAAACTGTATATTATAGTAATTTTTTATCTTTTACTTATGTAACTTAGTTTAGTGTAAGTAAAAAATGAAATCTTCATATCTTAAATTGACTCTTAGTATAAAGTTTTGATTACAATTTAATTATCATATAATTTATTGAGACAATCAATTTATATTCTGATAAATATGTTAATAAATTTAAATAATAATGTATTTTTAATAATAAATACTTTACTAATACATAATTACATGTTATTGTTTGAATATTTTTATTTTATTTATAAACAAATTATCAAATAATTGTTTAAATGACATTGATTTAACAATTACCGGTAATCTATTATTTTCTAAAACATCATAATTTATAATTCATTTAATTTGAGTTTGTATTTAAATAATAGTAAATACTAATAGAAAATAATTAATGATTTCAGTTTAAAATTCAATATAAAATATAATTAATCAGTTTATTGAATTAATTTTAAAAAGTGATTTTGTAGCTAATGTTTTGGATAAATGATTTTGGACTAAATGAGTTTTGTAATTAAAAAAAAATATTTTTCAAATAAATACTTAATTGAATGCCATTATTACAAATACTTTAGTGTTAAAAGTGTGAATTGTTTAAAAACATTCATAAATACATTATTATATATAAAAATAAATATTAAATAATTTATATCAGTTTTATTTTACAAATACTTATCATAAAAATTTTAATATAAAATGAGTATAAGATTAATAGTTTTTAATTTATTAATTGAAATATTGATAACATTGTTCACTAACACGTCTGAGGAGTGCTTATGTAATACAAGACTTAATGGCGAGTATTGTGGGTCTGAATTGAATCGCAGAAACGGTAATAACGATTGCGAAACAAATATTTATTATTGCGGACGAAGTAATCGAAACAAAACGGCAATACTTTTGGCCAAATGTGTCCATCAATTGCAATGCAATCAAAACACATTTCGCCGCTCATCTCGAGTCAGAAGACGTATGATATTTAAGTTAAAATAATTTAAAAATATTGAATAAATTTTACCTTAACTTAATAGGTAATCAATGTATGCGTCAATTTAAATGTCAATGTCCTCAACAAATAGGTAGGGGTCCACATTGTGGTAGTAAACTAATCGGCGACGACTGTCCATCAAATATATTGTTTACTTGTCGCTATGTTAGCGATAATGTCAGTGCAAGGGATGCCTGTCCTGAGGGCTGTCTCGACGACAAATGTATTCATTCAATTGATGGAGATATTGAAGATATTGACAATAATCGGATGGAAAGTAATAGAGAATCGAGTGATGAGTCCGATACTGAACCTTAAATAAAAAAAAAATTATTACAATATTATTTAATTTAGAATTATTCTTGAAATAAAAATAAAATATATATTTCAAAAATGATTATTCATTAGTATAGGAAATATTACTCATAATTTAGAATAATTTTAAAAATATTATAATAAAATTTTTACTATTAATATAACTTAAATTAAAAAATTATATTTAAAAGTTTTGAAATTGAATTTATTATTTTGATACATTTATTTACATACATACAGGTATTTGTTTATTTGTTTTTATTATATCATTTTATTTTTTATAAATTTAATTATTACTATAACAAAATAATTGTATACTAATAAATTTAAAAAATTTGTATTTAGACTTTACATTTTTAAAAACATATAATTATTTGATTTAACATAATTTATTTTTAATATAGAATGATATAAACTGTGATAAAAAATATTAGAAATATTTATAAATAAATGTTTGGTATTTACTTCATATAATATTAATAATAACATTATATTTATATAAATATTTTTTAAAAGCAAACGACGGGATCCCGTTTTATGGTTTGTCTTTGAGAAACATTTCGGGTTTAAACACTTCTGGATTGTCCCATAAGTTTCGACGGTTAAAGAAATGGCCCAATATTTGTAACAGAAATTATTTTATAATTAAAAACAATACATAAATTTTAATCAAATTATAGAGTGAGTATAAATGCAAACAAATACCTAAATTTAATATTGAATAAAATTTTGCCTCAATTTATATCTTACGGCAATGTTTTTGGATTTAAATAACAATAATTTCAACAATTTCAATAACAATTTCAATAACAATTTCAATAACAATTTCAATTTTAAAATTTAGTCGCTCTTAAAATTTTTTTTAACATTTAATAATTTTATTTTATTTCAAAAAATAATATAAAATCTTACAAATTGTAAATAAAATGTGTTGAAATATTGTATTTATATTACCGTATCTATCATTACTTTATAGACATTCAAAAAACTTCAATATTGGGACTAATTTGACAACTCATTAACCAATGATTTGAAATGGGGGTAGAAATTCACATTTTAACATAGTTTTTACATTTAATTCCTGGACCTAATTTATATGCGCTTACGTACGGCTAATATATTTTATTTATTACAGTATAATATTATAGGGTATGAAATATATGTTAAATTAGCAAATATTTGTCTCTTTAATGGGTGTATTATTAATAATTCTAGTCCACCCAAATTTTGTTAAATCAATTGTTTTATATTTATTATTTTCAATTAACTCTGTTATAGCTCTGCCAACTGCGGGTGCCATTTGTAGGCCGTGTCCACTAAAGCCGGCGCACCAATAGATGTTTGAATAGTAGGGATCCCTTCCGATGACAGCATTTTGATCTAATGTATTGAACTCATAAAATCCGGACCAACTGTTTGTTACTTTTAGTGATTCAAATGCTTTAACTCTTTGAGCTAAAAACGTCCAAATATTAGACTCAAAGAATGAATGATCGACACAAAGATTATCAACATCTGGTTCGTCATTCTTTTAAGAAATACTTTTATAATATACAGTATATATATATATATATATATCAGGGTTAAGAAAAGTTTTTAATTTTAGGGGGGGGGGGGTAGGCTGGAGTGAAATTTACAAAATTCTCGAAAAATCTTGGGGGGGGGGGGGGGGGGGTCTAGGATAGGTTATAGACTTTTATTGCATTTTTAAACAGCAATTTTTTCAAAAATCCAAAATCAAGAAGGTGTCAAGAGAAAATTCCCTAAAAATTCCTTAAATTTCCGAATATTCCCATGTAAATTATTATTAAAAATTATTAATAAAACTTTATATTAAAAGTATTTGTTTTACTAACTTTATTTATCTTAAATTTCCTTTTAAATTGTAATATGATTACTTTTTTGACAAATAGATCATTTTAATTTTTTAGTTGAATATTTTAATTAAAATAATGTTATTTTTAGATGAGTTTTAACGTGATTTTAAATATTTTACTTATTTTTAAATTAATAATTAGATTTATAAATTTTAAAAACAATAACATTTACTAAAATAGTATCAATTAAAAATAAAATTTTTATAAACTTCAAAAAAATTTCGGCTACTTGTGCGCCGAAATTTTAGGTGGGTCATTTCTCCATGTTTTTAAGCGACAATTTTTCCAATTTGGTCAAAAAGTCTGGGGGGGGGTAAATCGCAAAATCTCGATCTTATGGGGGTGTTTTGGCTTTACCCCCTACCCCTTACTTAACCCTGATAAATATATATATATATATACTTAATCAAGTTTTTTGGGTCTGGAGGGATATTGTGGGGTCAACTGATAAAAATCTCGAAAAATCAGGGACTGACAAGAGATTGTGAGTCAGATTTTTATACTGCAATTTTTTCCTTTCGGCCAAACCCCCCCCACCCCTAGCGCTTAACCCTGATAGCTATATATATATATACTGTATATTATACCTCGTGTGGTGATCGGCCACATATATAGTTTCCTCCATTTCCTTCGGGTCTAAAATAAGTCATAGATGTGTCAAATAGAAGAGGACTGTCAGGTTTGGGACCAGTCTTGCAATTGATTACATAAACAAATCGCTTTCTAAAATATAATTTGATTATTAAACTTACGATATATTGTTTATATGAATGTTTTAGACAATTGAAAAATATAAGTTTACTGTATATTGATGTATATACATACCTGGGTTCAATAGGTAACTGTACGGCACGTATTCCACTATTATGTGATCCAAATCCTAAATATTTAGCAATTTGTGCGGAGAAAGCACCGCAACAAACAATTGCTGAACCAAATGACAATTGTTTAACATTTCCGTCCGATTGTCTGACAATTAATTGATTACAAGTCTGCACTCGACTACCATTACTATCAATTTGATCGCTATTACTAATATTAGCACCGATTACATCCAGATTCAAATAGTTTACACCAAGTGATTGAGCTTTATATTTAAAAGCCATAAGTAGAGACCAGGGATCAAACCATCCCTCATTGTGTTTACCGAAAGAGGCCAAAGCAACGCCGTCGGTACTAATCCACGGAAATTTGTTTTTTAATTGCTTTATAGACAACAGCTCTATATCTGCTCCCAAATCTCGTTGCAGTTTATGATTTTGTATGAGTTGTTGGGCACCGGAATCAGTGGCCAATAATAGATAACCGTTAAGTTTTAAGTTGATATCTGGTAAGTCTTTATTGGGAACCGTAAGGTATTTATGAATATTCTGCAAAAATTCAGAACTAAATAGTGATAATTGGATGTTCTCTGACAATGAAAACTGTTGACGAATACCACCGGCAGATAAAGTGGTTGAGCAGTACTTATACTTTCATAAACAATGTATTTATTAATAAAATAAAATTTTATTTTATTAGACAATTCTCTCTTACTGTTGGATCTCTTTCTATGACATTACAAGTTATTTGATTACCAAACGTGTGTTTCAGCCAATACGCAACTGAAGAACCTATAATACCGCCTCCGATGACAACAATATCAGTGAAATCATTGACCAAATCTGAAGAATTGGATTTATGGTATGTCTTAGCATTGATTTGATTACAATGTTTTAACACTAAGTTTTCTTTAAATGTTTTATTTATTGAATTTCCAAAATGATATCTTCTATATAATTGTAGATCAGATGTCTTAATAAGTGAAATCAATTTATATTTTGTTAAATTGATATATGATTTAAATAACATTTTAACATTAATTAGACACAGTTTATAACTTTTTTACTTTATTTGAAAAATAAAAAAAAATTATATTAAAAATAATTATTTATTAGATACAGTATATGGCGTCCTTCATATTAAATGATAATACTTTCTATAGTAATCCAAATTATTAGATAAAAATACTATTTATTAATTAAAACGATAATCATTTTATAATTTACCGTATAGACCCGCATATAGCCCCCTGGCCATCAGGGGCTATGTGAAAATATGGGGCAATAAGTGAGATATAACCCCCTACCAAATGTTGATTTTAATGAATTATCAAATACCCCCACTATTAAAATAATTGAAGTTTTTTGAATGTCTGTAATTACCCCTTAAAAATTGTAATCTATTGACCGGTCTATTTAATGCCAAATAATGGGTAATTTTCAATTTAATCACCGATCGGAAGCTGATTGTGTTAATTATTATTTTTATCATTACTGTATTATCATATAATTAATTTTAACTATTTTAAAATTAACAAATTGCTATTAACTGGCCTTTAATGGTTTCTGATTGCAATAACCGATATTACATATAACCCTATCCCCAATCACTCCTTACCCCCACGACTAAACATATAGCCCCAGTAGGGGGTATTTGTGAGATATAGCCCCATACCGTCATTTTTTAATTTAAAAAATTTGTCAGGGGGCTATATGCGGGTTTATGCGGTAAATAAAAAAATAACATTTATGAAAATCAATAAAGTATAAAACAAATTTATAATTAAAAATCACATTTTAATTAATTTTATTTATTAACAATTAAATGAAATATTATACATTTAATAATATGTTTATGTATTTTAAATGCAATTAAATAAAGAAAAATATTATGAAAAATGACATGAAATTAATTCAAAAATTAATATTTTATATATTAAACAAAAACATTTCAATTATTAACTGACAATTAATTACAATTAATAATAATAATAATAACTTCAATAAATGTATCAAATATTACAATCCTTTCTTTCAAAAAACATTTTAGTAAAAAACAAAACTCAACTCATATTTATAAACAATATTACATATATTCAACTTATTTAATATTATTATAATCACTTAATGTATTAATTCAATTCAACATTTTTCTATACCATTATATCAATTGTTATAACTCATCATATAATAAACATTTCAATATTAATCAATTAATTACATAAACTCACTCAATATCTTACAATTGCTTCTCAAATATTTAAACAATTATTGTAATTTGTTTTACAAAATAATGATAATTTGTAGAAATCAAATCATACTTTATATATCAATAATACATTAAAAATCTTAAAAATAGACTACATATGATTTTATCAAAAACTAAACAAAACAAAAATTAATACCTTTTAATAATATATTATTTATTAATAAGCCATTAAAGCAAATGAATTTATCAATTGATAGACATATGTTTTCAAACATTTTTCAAAATTTTAAACTTTACAAACATTACTCTCAAATATATATTCTTTTAGACAATTTTATACATTTACAAAAATATTGATTCTTAGTTTAATACATTTTTATATTTCATAATTAATATATTTTTATATTTATTTAATACAAAACTACATTTAAATGCCTTATATATATTTAATATTTATATAATACTAATAATATCAGAGAATAAAATTATAAACATATATATATTTACTTTTATTTATAACGATATAAATCAAATTTATAGTAAATTAAAATTATATAATAATCGTTTCCTTTTAATAAGTTCTATGCATAACTTCAAGCAAATAATTTCATATCAAATACCAATATAACAAAAACTTAATTAACATATTAGGTATACTTTTTTAATGCAATATATTAAATAACTTTGATTTACCAAAATTTAAATATCAATCGCACAAAATTTCTCAATGTCTATTATCATTTAGTCAAATAAATATAGTACCGGTAAATAAAATAATTTTTTCATAATTTTTACAATATTTAAATACAATATCATTATATTAAACTTTATAATCTATAGTTATATTAAAATATTTATTTCACTAATATAATGTTTTTACTATACTAGTGCTCCTAACATAACAATATATAGTCAATATATTTCAACACATTTGATTTTTTGTTGTTGTAAATACTGTACTTTTATAGGTAAATATATAATAGTCTATAAATTTGATATAAGTTAATATTAATTAAAAATTTTTGCAAAAATATATAAACTTTTTCATTATTTAAAACCAATGTTTCATAACTTTTATTCTCTGATTCTTTAAGTGATATTCTATAATATAATTGATATATAATTGAATGATAATTATATATAAATATAGTTAAGATGTAAATAAATAATAAAATTTTAAAATGCATTGCTTAGTCATTATACAGTATATGAAATCAACATAAATTATTACAATGTAATGCCAAATGATATACTGTATATAATAATAGTTATACTGTATATAAGATTTATGTATTCAAACTCATGTGCGCTTCTATTATATGAAAATATATATAAAAATTCAATCGGATTTTGATTACAGTATTATAATTGAGAAATCAATTTAATTCTCATCACTTTTTTCTTTAACAGTTTGGTACATATATTTTTAGGGACAGCATCTGATTGGGCATAACTGTAATCATTGTGCCATAAATAGACATCAATAATATTTAGTTAAAACATACTTATCATTACAATAATTATGTATTTAATATTTTTAGTGTATATATCAGTTAGCAATTGATATAAATTATAAGTTTTGTCGATAATGTTTATGACATAACAAATATCTTCTGACTATAGGTTTGATGTCTGTATTATTGGTCTGTAGTTAATAAGATACTGATTGTAATGGGAAATATGTGTCAATAGTTGTATAGGTCATCCATTAATGATCCGGGTATTGCATAATTGCATAGGGAAAGTGATGACTAAACACACACATGTTTATTGATTTCCTTTAATAATTAATTGCATTAATTGCATATCATTTATCATTTATTTGGGAATTTTGTTAGTTTGTTAAATCTTTGTTCAAAATGATTTGCAATTGTTTTCATAAAATACTTTAAATACGATATTAAGATGTTATGTTACATTATGTTATATTAAATTTAAATTGATGCAACAAAAATTTTGATTTAATAAATTTCTAATCAAAAAATATTTTTTATATTTGTATAGACAATGGGTGCACTTTTAAATGATTTAAAAAAGACTAGTGATTAAAAAAATATAATAACTAATTAATATATATATAACCTATAATGTATATATATATTATTAAGTATATAATCATTTTTTTTTAAATTTAATAATTAAAAGAACTAAATAAAATAAATTCTAAGTATTATTGCCGTTAAAAATGTAAAATTGCAATAAAATATTATAAGCATAGAAAACTAGTGAACTTTTAAAACTAAATGAATGTAATTGTGAATTAAATTAATTAAATTTTGGTATTATTTTTAAATAATTATGAAATTCAATAACACATGTGACAAATATTATATCAATATATATAAATATATATATTTATTATGATATTTCATCACTTTTTTAATAGTTATATTGGCGTAAAATAATAAATCATGTTTAAGCTGCCAATGTTTTTGTAAAGTTTAGTGTTTTTATCTAAAATATTGTAGAAATGAATTAATGTTTTATTTATAATGTTTTGATGAATTAACAGATCTTTAAAATTACTTCACAAAATAGACGGTATATATATGTAATCATATCTTTAAAACTTAATTTCTAAATATTTACTCATTTTCGACGTTAGATTTTTGTAATTGAATTGAAGTTGTTTTTTGGATTTTTTCAGATTTGTAGTCATCTTTTGTTTCGTGTTTATCTTTGACAGGAACAGCGGTATCCATATCTATACGACCTGTTAATGCATCATAACTACCGGCCAAATAGTATATGTTTGGCGGATCATCCGATACCATAAGCGACGGATTCTCAAGACGTCTCTCTTGTAATTCAGTCCATGAAATCACTTGACATTTATGTGATATGGTTTGCACGTCATTGACATCGAAATGTGACGATTCAAACAATGCACCCTTTGATAAGTGATTATCAAAATAGTTATTATAATATTAATTAAATAAAATAATTAATTATAAACATACTCTGTTATCGATAAGAGGCACTGGATCTCCTTTAGTTTCTTCGGGGTGGTAAAACCATCGCACCTTCACTATCATAGTGCCACTACCTGTTTGCCACATTGAATCAATACGACCAATATATGGCAAATGTGGTCGACCTATAATAACGGATAAGTTATGAATTGATGATAAAAGTGTATGGAGTGATAGCATACCGGTGGACAAGAAGACGGCACAGTCATCAATACGTATGTGTTCTCTTCCCCTTTCAATTGATTTATAATATATTTTCCTATTTCTCGAACCTTTATTACCGGTGCGTTTGATGTATTTGCCAGACCAGTGCCATAATTGTCTATCGGGAAGAAAGGCTGCAATTTTGCTTTTCTCTGCAGACGAAGGCATACGTTCTCTCTTTTTAGGTTTTGTTATGATATCTGTGTTAACATTTGGTGTTTTATTTGTGGTGTCATTAGGATTAGTTCGCTTCCGAATTGGACTCAATAATGTGCACATCTTTTCACTTAAGTCTGTTCGCAATAGATTTAAAGCTCGTTCTTTGGCTGTCTTTTTGATAACACTTCTAAAGGCTATCTTAGGTCTGTATTCATCACTTTTGTTGATCTCATTGCCAGTGCTCTCAACCTTCTGTGCGTTTAACACATTGGCTTTTTGGTCATCTTTTATCTCTTTAATAGCACTGTTACCAAACTTATGAGTCATTTGTTTAGTACTTTTGCTACTAATGTGTTCATTATTTGTTTCACTATTGATATTATAGACATCATTGTTGTTATTATTGTTGAAAGCTTTCGTATCTTTTAATTTTTTATGTTTTTTACATTTTTTGTGATGGCTATTATATATTTAAAAAAATTATAATAAAAAATTTGTTAAATAGACTATAATTGAAAAATATAATAATACTGACCGACAGTGATGATGCTTATGGTTGTGATGGTGTCTGTGATGTCGATCATCTTTGTTATGTTTTTTCTTCTTTCTCTTTAATAACAAACTATTAAATACAGTATTTGTTGAGCTATTCTTAGATTTCATTTTTAAATTATCCTTTTTCTGTTTCATTTCATCATTGGATTTAATTTTTGTAAAAATGGATTTAACAACACTTTCATTATTTGATTTTTTATTGTCAATTGTTTCGTTAATGTATTTTGAATGTCGACTGTCTTTACCACAAGAGCTCATTCGTCTTTTTCGCTCTAAGTTTTTGAGTGGATCCGCATTAATCTTCATCTGTGGATAATCTTGAGGTAGAAGTCTTATATCTTCAATAGGTATGCGTCCATTATCTCCATCATCAAACTCGACAAACACTAATGTTGGATGCGGTGATGATGTGCGCACATAACCGGGATATAAATGTCTGTATTGGGTCGACCAAAACGCACATACTCTCTGTCCAACAGTTAAATCATCAATTGATGGCTTCACTTCACGAATGGCTTCATTAAGCATATCTTCTTGAGAATATATAATAGGTCTGTGCTGTCTTTCGCCGTGAAGTACTATACCATATATATCTGGTGGTTGTATGGGACAGATCTCACCAATAAATAATAGCCCATCGACTAACATAATCACATTAAGTTTTAAATCCAAATCACTTTCAGATAGTTTAAGGTTTAGCAGTGGAAGTGATGACTGACTGGAATCAGATGCTGAAGAGGCTGAGGAAGACGTAGATGACTCAATGGAACAGTTGGATATCTGTTTGACAAACGACTTTGGTTTGGGAGTCTCTATAGTTTTTAATGACTCTTCTGTTATCTTGGAATCATTTGTTGTGGATGTCATCACTTGAGACACTTTTTCATCGTTTTCAGTAACAACTATGTCATCATTACCGTTAAGTTCGTTATTCGACTCTTGCAAATGTTTGGCAATTACTTCATCAATGGTCTCGTCTAACAATTTCATTCTCTTTTCGTCATACAATTCAAATGATGGATCACTAATGAGTTTCTTCTTTCTATTTTCATCTTTAAATTCAATATTTAGTGAATCTTTATGGTTGTCAGCAATAAGTTTCGATGCTTTAGGTGAAGGTTTGTCCTCTAATTCGCTGTCAATTTGGTCTTTTTGAGTAACTTTTCTTATAATACTTTCTATACTTTCATCGATTTGTTTGTTGTGATCCGTTTTAATTTTCTTCTTGAGTTGCGTTTCTTTACTCAAAAACTTCTTTCTTTTTTTATCTTTTTTATTACCATTAATGGCCATTAAAGAGGTGCTACTAATAGAGGTATTAAATGTCGACAAAATTTGTGGAATTTTCTTCTTTTTCTTCTTGATTTTTTGTTGATCATTAAATTTACATTTTTTAAAATCATTTATATTATTATTATTAGTTTTTTGTTTATTGTTATCACAGTTAAGGTGCTTATCATTATTTTTTGTTTTATGGATACTATTGTCGATAAATTTATTTTGATTACCATTTAAGTGGTCAGTTTTGGTGCCGACAAACACATAATGCGGTTTCTCATTGGCTTTGATAGAATCGACGCCATTTGATACAACATTCCTCTCGTTGTTACTAACTTTATAGGCATTGATATTATTTATAGGAGAAGTACTCTTTAAATTGATATTATCTTTAGGTTTGTTAAACTTTTGATTAGAGTTTAACACATTCTTATCTTTATTGTCATCTTCACAACCATTATTGACATCTTTAACTGTGGAAACTAAAGAATCTTTTTTGAATATATTTTCATTTTTTCTAAAACACGCAAAACTAGTGTCTCTTTTGTTGACAACATCTGTTTGTGAGCCCGATGTCTTCATAACCTTTTTAAGATCTGCCAATGAATTGTCACTTTCATTATATCTAATAGAATTTGATGTAAAACAAGACTCAGATCTTTGTCTTTTCTTTAATGGTTTTACTAAAATTTTTGTTGGATTATCATTATTACTATTGAGACCATTGCTAATAATACTGGAATCTACTGAATGTCTTCTCATAGCACCAGTATCTGTACTCAACATTTCCTCACGAGATCTTTGTTCAGCTAAAGTGCTTAAAAGTTGAAGACCATTGACTGGTAAGTCAGTGTTGGGTGTAGTTGTCTCTTGTCTGGCAGCAAACTCTTCAATGGAATCAACCAACAAATCTAATCCGTGGTGATCTATAAATTGCATAACAGGTGCAGACTTAACAGGAAGTTGTGGCGGTTCGTCAGTGGCCAACATTTCGTCGACTATTTGTAATTGAATTGAGTCACGACTCGACTCATCGTCCGATTCATTGGTATCGACTTGACTTTGATTTTGTTTTGTTTCATTAAATAAATTCAATTTAAATTGTTTGCCATCGTTGTCATCATCGTCTTCTGATGAATGAATACAATCCATGTCCACCTAAACAATATGTTTCAAATTTAATTCAATTTATTATTTCTAATTTCAATAAATTACTGTTTATATCATAAGATTATACATACGATTATATAAATTGTTATATTTTTATTTTTTGTAAATTAAAAAATTATAACTAATCATTGAATTCAAATTTGTAAATTTATAGTCTATGTTTTGATATAAAGATAATAAATATACTTTACAAATAGTATTGATTCCAAGTATTAGTAAATTACTAATTATATAAAAATGTGTTACTTTTAGCATAGTTTCATCATTATATAACCTAACTTTGTTTTTTATTGTATAATAATAAAATAAAATTACTCTACACATGAAATATATTTTTTTTCATTTATATGTTTATAACGATAGACTATAACGATATTTTAATGCTAGTCATGTTTTCTATTAGTATATAAAATAAATTGTATAAACTAACTAACATTAACTTATATTAATAGAATTGAAGTGTGAAAAATTTTTAAATTACATTATCTTTAAAATAATAAAATATCTAAATCTAAAAATTATCTAAAAGCAACTTTATATTATAATATCTGTATTTAAACGTCTTTTATTACCGTAAATATTTGCAATGCATTTCTAATCATGAATCATACATTAAGCACAAATAATATGATATAAATAATTGTAATATAAATATCTTCTATTTAATAAAAAAAATTCTAAACTTTACTTTTTTCTATACATCTCAAAAAAAAAACATTTTAATTAAAATCAAAAGTAAAACTAGTTTTATTTGAAAGTATTTGATATCAAGAATATTAATCAAAAGTCGAGTAAATGTTGATTTGTAATCTAAACGACACTTTCATATACATACTGTACTTAGAAATACAAATTGTTAAATAGCAACATAAAAATGCAAATATTTAAAGGAAAAAATTTCATAATTTGTATTAGCGGTACATGTATTGCATAAATGTGTAAAACTATAAATTAAATAATAATTATTACAGACCTGAGTGGCCGTTGTCTTAATGTTATCACATGAAAACTCTTCATCACTGATGGATGCCTGACATCCGCATTCAATATTCACTAAGTTATCACTCAATTCATTGCCATTCATCGTTGACTTCAATTTATGATTTGCTAAACTAGTGATCATATTGTTGTTAATGTTGGTCATCATTGTTGATACTGGAGCTGTAGCTGCAATTTGAACTAACGGTGCGCTCTGAGTGGTGTCCAATATCAACGTTGATGTCGGTGTCTGACTTAAACTGGCAAAAAACTGTTGTTGTGGTGTTGGTCCAACTGGTACTGTGATTATCGCTGGACTTGATTTTGAGTTATCTGCGCTCTTTATGTTCATTGGTGATATAATTGATGGCTTTGGTGTTGTTGTGGGTGTTGTTGGAAGAGAGGAAGAGTTTCGTATAAGATAGAGATGACCTGATATACAAACAAATAAAGCATTAAAAATAAAATGAGTTAAAAGCGACAAATCATAAGAAATACCTGTAATTGAATCCCTAGCCAACTGATAATCACTGGAGAAAGAAAAGGGACTATTAGTTTGAATGGGTGTACTATTAGTGTTATTTAAGGATGAATTAGCGGATGGTTTAATCCAGAGGGAAGTTCCGGTTGGAGGAGAGTCTGTTATAAGTATAGGGCTATTGGCCATCACTGGAAGTGATAACGTTGGAAGAATTGGTTTGAGTTGTTGTGACGCGTTGTTCACCGATTCTGTCGGTGATTTAGTCTTAGGTGATGTTCTTTGTTGTGCGATTGCAATTCCTACCGGTATTGTTGCTGAAGATTGTTTGCGAGATAGGCGCGGCTTTTTGGGCAACTGTTTGACAGCATTGTTGACATTGTTTTGATTATCAACACGAGCTGTCATATGATTACTGACTGTTGATCTCTTGCCGTTTACTAGTTTGCTATTTTGTTTAGTATTATTTGCACTCAAATTGTTGGAAACATTCAATGGTGTTATCTTATTAGCCAACTTTGTTGTACCACAAGGAATGACAGTTTGAGTCCTGGGGATTGCACTTATAGATGGTATTGCAGTTACGTTTGACTCTGTGGTCAATATTGTGGTCACCGTAGATGAAATTAATGATTGATTCTCAGATGTCGATAAGTGACTGTTCCCTGATTTTGTATTAGCAATATCTTTATAAGTGTCACCACTCGGATAACGATCTTTGGGTTTTGGCTTTACTATAGATATGGCTGTATTTGATTGATGAATCATTTGGTTGTCTTTATTATCATTTTGTTGATTACCATTGATGGCTACAAGTCTATGAGACTCTTTCCTATAGGATTGTAATTGCTTTAACTGAGACTCTCGTTTTGTATCTTTGGCTACTTTCTTATTGTCAGTCAATGTCTTATCATTGCTTGATATAACATCATTGATATCAATCGAGCCATCATTGATATCCTCTATGAGATTCTTTTGACTCAAAATTAGATGATTATCATCTGTGTTATCATCAGATGATTTGCGGTGTTTATGACTTAATTTATTTGTGGTTATGTTATGTTCACTGTTATTATGTTTAATAGTGAAATCACTTGTATTATCGTTAAAATTAGGCACTGATTTAACAGATATCAAAGGCAAACTCATATCACACGAAATCAACTCTGATTTAACCCTCGAGTCAACTAATTTATGGCTTTTCTTGTATTTGTCATTATTGTCATCATTCATGTCATCCCTGTGCTGTGATTTTCTTTCGTCAATCACATCAAGCAGTGTCTTATCATTTGTCCTATAGATATCATTTTGCTTATCCATTGAATCTCCATTTATTGCTTCTCTATCAATGATATTATCATTTAATCTGATCAATGGTTCCACTCGTGCTGAGTGTTTCTCTTTAATTTTCGTTGTGGTCGTTGCTGTCGTAATGGTTGTAGTCATTAGTTTCTTTGGATGTTTTGTATTGTGTTTTGAATTATTATTGCAATGATTATGTTCATTGTGTTTGACACTTGTTTTATAATAACTTTCATCACTTAAACCATTAAAATGTCTATCGCTGTCAAAATTGTTTTCAATATTATTTTTTGTAATATTATTTGAGTTTAATGTTTGACTTGTTTTCAGTGAATTATAGTTGACATTGTCTGTTGGTTCGCATTTAATAATCGATGGTGTGATTGATGGAGTTGTTGATGGTGTGGATGGGTTTGTCGTATTATCACTTAAATAGGTTGGCGGCCTATCGACACTCGATGATAATGAGGGCGATAGTAGTAATGGCATCGATGAGGGACTCATATAAGCTGAAGAAAGTCCGGGACCTAAAACAAGAGTTATTTACAACATATTCATCAGTTGCATAAAACATGTTTAAAGTAGACATTCATTATTGTTATTATTCAGGAAAAATAAAAATAAATAATTTAAATAGAAATGTGTGACACATATAGTGTATAAATTCACTTATTTTTACCGTTTGCTTAAAGCAAACATCGCTAGTAATGATATAAAAATAAAATAATAATTTATTCAAAACAAAACAAAAATAGTGTTTTCATGTGATATCCTACTGCTTGTTGTCTGATATTCATAAGCCTTATTATGTGTAATACATTATGTATTATAATAGCAAATTAAAACTTATTTTATGACATATACTGAATATATTGTGTATTTAAATATAAAAATGTCGTTTTGTGCTCAAAAAGAAAAGGTGTTTTTAGTTAAATATTAAAGATATTTATGCAAAATAGTATGATTTCTAAAATAAAAATAAGATTTTTATGTCTCCATTATAAGAGTATATTCAGTATATAAATAGGTTTGGACGCAGAGACAGACAATATAAAAGTAAAAGTAATATAATTTCAACAAAAAAATAATTACTTGTGGCATAGGGTGATGGCAACGATACTCTCGGGTAGAGTGAGGGCGAGTGTATGTCAGGGCTCGGACTCATTGGCGACAATGAATTTGGCGAAAACAGATTAAACAGGTGTGCATTGCTATTGTAACTGATGGGACCCGACGGACCAAATGTTATGCCATTCAACTGATGATAACCTATTCATACAAATACACAAACATTTATAAACAATTTCTATCAACTTTTACTATTTATTAAATATTTATTATTAAACTATTTTTATCCTCAGATATTTACAAAAATCATTCACACATTAAATATATTATGACAAATGATAACATAATCTCTCAAAACATTTTTTAAATCTCAATATTATGTCATTTTAACGAAAATATATAATTAATGAATATAATAAATTGCATATTTTTTTGACAGTAAATTTGCCTAATAATGTAATATTGTCAATTAAATATTCATTTAAAATAATTATAATATAATTTAAATAGACTAAAATTAATCATAATTTATAAAATATAAATCAACAATATTTTTAGAGTATATTATTTATAATATACTATAAATTATTTAAAAAATAAAACAATAATAATTTTTAACTATTACTGTAAAAATAATAAATCTATAAAATTATAAAATAATAATTAATAAAACATACTTTGTTGGGCTGTCAGTGACCAGAAAGAGCTGGGAGTTAGTGGTGATGTCGGTGTTAAAGCACTGTATGGATTGTAGTGAAACAGATCGGGAGGATATGAGAGACCACCGACCAAACTGTTAGCCAATGGCCCGGCAAATGGCAAACCCATGTGTGGGACTCCGGCAGGAGTAGAGTAACGAGACATATATGAAAATGGATTGATAGAGCCGTACGGTGTGAGTGGAGAGTAGGGGTAAGGAGTGGTGGGCGCGGGGGTTGCTATACGACATCGACTCTCGTTTGACGCACACGAGTCACCCGACAAACTGATCGGTGTTGCCGAAGACGAGTTCATCTTTACCGAAGATATTACCAAAAGTGTCAATAATTACTATACATTTGTCTCTCAATTTGTCGTTACTTTCTAAACTAGTTTTAGTTTTTATATTAATTTCTTTAAATCTTTTTTTTATATAAAACACTTGAAAATAATTAAGTTTTTTGCTTCACATCTTCACTGACTTTGACTTCAATTAATTGATTTATATATCAAATGAAATATAATTAGTGAATTCAATAGACAATTGACTCACAAATATCTGGTTAGCCATCGTTACAATCGTCAAAATAATTATCAATTAATGTAAAAATAATTTATATTTTTATAATTCAAAATGTGTTTAAATGAGTAATGACTTGTGTTTTTATGATAACTATTATTATAACAAAATATATATAATATATTAATATATGTCTATATTTTACAATAATTAGATTTTTATATCATTTCAATCAATCGGCGTTTTGTTTGACTTTCAAACTTCAATACAATCTTTAAAAAAACTTTTATAAACTCACAAAACGATTGCTTTTTACAATAACCAGTGATTTATCGCATTATTATTATTAAATAAATTATCCGATATTTTCTCAACACTTGATATATAAAAAGATATTTCAATTAATATTAAACTCTTGTTTTGGTTATTAAAACACTAATTAATAAATATATATATATTTCAATAAATTGTTAAAAATTAACACAAAAATAGATATATATTTGAATGGAAAGCACTGAATGACGACATTAAATATTATACAATAATAATAATAATATTAAGTAATGGCTTAACAATAATATCATATGATTTGATAATAATAACAATTAATATAATAATAATAATAAGTATTGTTTACATAATATTTACAAACAAATCAATGGTTTTATTAGTTTTAATTGAGTGTTGAATCCAATTGTTTGACTGACTGTCTGTCTGTATGTTTAATAGTCAATAGCATTGCATATCATATGGTATTACAACTGACTATTCAATTGGTTATCAAACGTATTGTCAATGATATGACAGTTAGTGTTTGATTGTATTGACACTCATTGACAACACTTTTCATTCCAATTGTCACTTAATTGTTGTTCGATATGTCATTCATTTGGCATTAATTTGTGACGCATTCGATAAACACAAACACTTTATAGACTCTATGTTTGAATGAGTCGATCACTGGAATGCATTGAATGTCTAGAGTATTATCAATGCATACATTCAGAGCACACAAGCAATCAATGTTTGTTTGGCAGACATTTTGCACCAAAACATTACAATAAAGTATAACATTATGTAATTACTCTGTAATCATATCCACAACATTTGGTCCCTTTCTATATCTTATATGTTATAATATAAACATATCAATTCTATATGTAAAAAGGGTTTGAAATAATGTAATCAACAGTTAACACATCGATGTCTGCGATCGTATGAATTGTGAAGTGAGAGTAAACAACACAAAGCAATGATTGGCTGTCGAGTTGTGACGCAATCAGTGCTTCAAAAATAAGTTGAATTTTATTTAGAGAAACAAGTTTTGCATCACTTTATCATTGAATATGTTATGACTTTTCAATTGTTTTGTGTTGTGTCTGGAGTTCAACCCTTTGACCACTTGTTATGACACGTCTGGAGAGTAACTCAAAGACATTCATACTTTGACTGCTTTGACATACAATCAGTATTTCTAAAGAGTTATAAACGAGTTTTCAAACAAAAAACTTTTAAACTTTTTATATAAACAGTGAAATGGCATTGAATTTATTGAATATATCAAACATCCCAACCCTTGCCATCCCTTTCCCTGCAATTCAATGGCCAATCAATTGAAATACTATTTTAAAGCATTAACTCTATAAATGCTTTAAAATATCCTAATTTTATCATAAATTATAATAAATTGATTTATTTTTATGAATTCATCAAAAACTAAATAATTGTATTAATGAGATAACAATATAATTGTAATACTGGTATATATTTTAAAATGTAATTATTTCGTTATTTTTATGATTTATCACAAATGCATTCAAAGTTAGTTATAATTATGATTAGAGAAGATTCCCTTCCCTTTCCTCGTTTTATGTTCCAAAAGTTCCCTCTGCTCTCTGGGAATTCCCAGGGAATCTATTTCCTTGTGTTTCCATCTATTGAATCCTAAACAATACATTTTATTATAATTTTTGAAAAACAAATATATTAAACTGTATTTTAAGTTGTATTGTTAAATAGTATCACCAAATTTATTGAATTGAAATTTATTTTTTAATATTTCAATATTTTTGCAAAATATTTCAGTTTTGGTACTATTTATTGTAATAATATAAAATATATTTTCCCTTTCTAACCATCAATGGAGGAAAAATAATTTTTCCCATATTTTCCTCGTAAATTGTAGGAATTATTTGGGAAACTTCTCACTGGGAAATCGATCGAACTCTAGTAATAATAAACTATTAAATGATTGTTTTCTAAATGTATTTTTAGCAAAAATATATATAAAATAATTTGAAAACATTAAACACTTAAATAATTTAAGTAAAAAACTTACTTTAAATTGAAAACACTTAATATGACAAAAAACTAGTGAATTGGTGTACGATATCGATATGGTTTCGGTGGCTAACAGCACACCATCATCAGCACTAATGCACTGTCTTATAGTCATTGAGACCAACAGTGCTGTAAACAATACGAGAGGTTCGGACGGGGAGTGACACCCGAGATGTGTGGAAATTGTTTATATAATTTGTATTTTTTAATATTGAAATTTTATAATTTAAACAATTATAACATAAATAAAATTAAATTAGCAAATAATAACTATACCCACAGAATTTGTTAACACAGAATTAAACACTTAATTATAAATAAGTTAATACAATAACACCAAACCCTTGCCGACCCCTCCCGTATCGCTTACAACACTAGTAATTGATAAACCAATGCATATGTTGTGACCACCGATGATGAGTGGTATCAGCAAAACATTGTCTATCGTTTACATTATTATTAATTTAGTGATTGAAAAGTATTTTTATCAAAAAGTAAGCAAAACTATGTACAGTATTTTGTTTTCAATTACTGAGAAACTATTTTTTATTATTATTGAATATATCGATTAAATTTTATATATCATATTTTTTTAGTCTCAATGAAAATAAATTTAAAATTTACATTAAAATAATAGTTATAAAGTTTGTATTTAATGAATATGTTAAATATTTGGTCATATCATAGCTAATTATTAATATAATTATGCTTTTTATAAATTATTAAAAAAATGTTTTAATAAATTATTATTAATTTTATTAAATGTAAAACTTATTACTCTTTTTTGGGATCTTCTAAACTACAATACATTTTAACACTATTCTGATACAAAGTTACTGAAAATTACAACAAATAAATCATTTATTATTATTTAGTTAATTTAAGTATAGTTTTATAATTAAGATTATGTTTAATACAATACATACATATATATACATATCTCCACAGAATTTAATCATTAGTTTTTCAATTATTATATAGTGCTGTCAATAATGTACAGCAATTGCACTGATGAAGGACTCAGACAATTACTGTCCGAAACAATATTGCAATAATTTGTCCGCAATTAAGACCGAAGACAATAATCGGCTAAATATATGTTACAAATTGTGAGTAATTGTAAGTTTTTATTGTTATTTTTGTAGCATTTTCTTATGGGGTAATATGCAAATAAATACGGTAGTTGTGATAACTTAGGGAATATTGAAAATAAATTATTATTATTAAAAGTATAACATTTTAGGGTTTATTCAAAAGGCAGACAACACTTGTTTATACAGTTGTATACAGTATTGAAGTCATGTATTGATTTCAAATGCAATGCTTTATTGAATAGTAATTTACTAAACAGTGATTTGAATGTTTTGATTGACTTTTAATAATAAATTAATAAACATTTATTTGAAGAAATGTTAGACTCCTTGTTAAGTGTCGACCGTATAGTCAGTCCATATGAATCGGTTTGTGAACGATATTTTCAACACAAGTATTACATTAATGAAGACAATGATGGCTGCGATCAGTTGGTCTTATTTCACTCAAACAGGTAGTCATATATGATATGTCTATCAATTGAAACAATTAATCACTTATTTGATTAACATTTTGTTGAAGAGTTTGTTTAATCACATTATCACCAAATCATTGTATCCTAAAACAAGACAAACGCATGAAAAATATAGACTTTAATATCAGTGATGCCGTCAATCGGTTGGACAACAAAGTGTCGGGAAAGTGGAAAAAGGTTTATCAAACATCAAAGTATTGTATTATCACTGATTGATTGATCCATTGATTGATTTATAGGGCGGTCAACGAGTGTCTCCCGAATCCATATTATGTCGCATTGAATGTGAAAACAACGAAACATTTGATATCAAGTGTTGTCTAAACGGAACTATTGTTGAGATTAATAACAATTTATTGAAAGACATGGATCTGATTAAACAAAAAGTAAGTGTTTTCAATGATTTTGATTAATGATATAATCGTATAATTTATTTCATTAAGACATTTAGCGATGGTTTCATTGCAATCATTCTTCCATTTCGTGGTAAACATCAATCAGAAAAAGATTCACTTCTTAGTCCACAACAATATAGAGAATTATTGGATAATAAGTTATAATTTATATTTTATTATTTTTTTACAAAATAATTAATTAATTAATAAAAGTATATTTTCACATATATTTATTATTTAATCTATTTTCAATTCATATAAAGTTATATTGTTTTGTAAATACAAAAATTTGTTAAAAACATACAAAAATGTATTTTAGCTGTCAGTTTAAACAATAGTAATACAAATATATAGTCAAACATTTATTTGGTGTAAATAAGTACTGAATTAACACAGATTTTTGTTAAAAATGCTAAATATATAAAAAAATTCATATAAAAACACTAAAAATTGGTTATTAAATTGTCATAAAATGACATAATACTACCAGTCCTTTAATAAATAACTTCGTATAGTATATATATTATTTTCAATTATAATTTAATATAATTATACGTTTTTCTAACATTAGTAATATTGCCTTTGGATTTGTTAAATAATATACAAATAGGTAATATCAATCAAACGCTTTACAAATAGCTCACTACCGGTAATAGGATTAAAGAAATAACAGATTTATATTAAAATTTTCATTATATAAACATATTTTGTTGAACATTTGTGATTTTTATAACTTTAGTTATTTTAAATAAACTGTCAAAAAATGATTGATAAAATATATGAAAGTTAATCGAGAAAAAACTAAGAAACTCGATGTTAAACTTATTTCGTTATTTAAGTGTAAACACTTATACAGTATAATTAGATGGTGTAAATACTCAAAAATAATTATATATATATATATATATAGTTAACAATAACACACTATATGTTAAATAATTCTTTATATTATTTGAAAATCTATTTCATTAATAATTTTAATTTGTTATGAATGATGAAAGTTGTTGTTTTGATGCCAGCAATTAATCTGTTGTCAAATGATTTGCATTTTAAATGATTTGTAAATTTCAGACGCGACTAAACTTTAAACCGGCTATACATAAGTAAAAAAAAAATAACTCATTAGTCAGTCATATAAGTCATAATATTTTGCTACAAACCCTCATCATTGGAGTAACAGTTCTGACAGTGAAGTTTATGGTTACGGACGCGTACATCAGTTCCTACCGTTCCATTACCTGAAGTTATTAAAGCATACAATTTATTGGTAATCTTTAAATAAAAAAATTTAATATAAAAATACTAACCTAATTGTATGTTGCAAACTGAACAGCGGAAGCAATTGATGTGATAGTAAAGTGAGAGTGACTCGACAACCATTGCGGCACAACCTCTGCCCAACTCATCGCCACAGGACGAACACTTCTTCTTTCCTGAAACTGATAGCATTCCCTTTTGTGGCGCTGATATCGATGACTTATTTGATACAGGAGTTGCTGCTGATGGCCTCTGAACACTTGGTACTGTCGATGGAGCTGCTGTTTGACCCGGAATTGTAGCCAATTGTCGTCTAAGTTCAGCTTCTTGTAGTAACCAATGATTGTGATTATAGCCACTTTGTTGTTGTGACTGTTGTTGTGGTTGTTGCTGTTGTTTAGTTAATGATTGCTTATGTTGTTTAAGAGGTGCCGGATGTGTCGATTTTGTAGTTTGTGGCTGTTTTTGGTGATGTGAAACCATTGATGGGTTTTGAATAGAGGGCGGAGTAGTTGTCGGTTTTGTGGCGTATGGTTTCGGACAATATAGATACTGATTATGCTGTGAACCATACGTTGACTCTGATGGCAATGTTTGGCTTAACTGTGGCGGTTGATCATTGAACGCATGGGTCATCAATTGTTGGGCCGTTTGTGGCACATGTTGTGTCGATTCATAATTGCTATAATAATCCTGATCCGATGATCCATATCTGCATAAAAATTTTAATATTTATAAGCAATAAATTATTGGTATAAATCAAACTAACCTTTGATGTCGAGATTCAACGGATTCATAATGGCTATTGTTCTGTATTTGATTATCAAAGAGCTGTTTTTGATTGACATACAAGTGCTCTTGTTCTGGTTGTGTAGATATTGGCTGTTGGTATGGCAGTTGAGGCTGATTTTGTGATACTTGTTGGGTATTTTTAGTCAGCTGTGGTCTAACCTGTGGCTGACTTCTCACTGGTATCTGTTGATTGTGTTTATTAATGGGTTCATCCATCAAAAAGTACTGTTGCTGATCATATTGTTGCCGTTGTGATGGTAGCGATTGCTGTGACTGAAGCACCGGTTGTTTATTATAATTAGGCGATTGATAAATGACATTTAGGGACTGTTGTGGTATATGTGGTTGCATTAATTGTTGATCTTCTTCTTGATTAAGACATTGAATCGGTTGTCTCTGTGCTCGTTGTCTTTCTTTGTGCAACTGTTGGATTCTTGCGTTTACTATTTCTTCACTTTCTTCTCTATTATCATACTCTGTCTGTTGTCCGCCGTAAACTACTGGCCTTTCTCTTGGTTGTGACAACTGTTGATTTTGTGTAACTTCTTGTTCAACTTTAGAGTTTAGTTTCAGTTCTTCGTGTTTATATTTGCTTTGGGATCTATTATTTTGATTATTAATTTCATCATTTTTGGCCAAACTCTCAAATGCCGACAATTTTGCTTTAAAGCTCTTCTCCTGTTCCAATCGCTCTAATCTCTCTAATTCTTCGTCTTCTTCGTCATCATCTTCTGCATCGTAGCTATTATTATAAATACTTTGTTCCGATTCTTCATAATCTTGTTGTGAAAGATCATCACTTTGAGGATACTTTTCTTGTTGTTGATGAGTCTCGTGTTTCAATAAATTTATTAAATCGTTATCTTTTTGATGATTGATGTTCTGTTGATTCCAATCTTTAATCTCAACCTTAATCCTATTCTCATTAATACCCGTTTGATTGAAATCATCATTAAAATCACTTTTATTATCAATAWTTGTATTTTGATGATAATTTTTATTAACAATTAAATTGTCATTTTGTTGATCACAATTAATACCTAAATTTTGTTTAAAATTATTGGTTATCTCAATAATGGACGAATCGTCACTATCATCACGACTATGACCGCCGTTATTGGATGTATAGCTAAACTCTTTTAATAAGGACGTGTCAAACACAATAACATCTCCTAAATTAGACTTTTCATTATTATTACTATTATTTTCATATATTTTATTATTATTTGTGTTGTTATTATGTATGCTATTATCTTCATCCATCGTGTCGTCGGAATTATTGTCTATTATAGTAAAAGATAATTCATATTTTGATAATTGTTATATAAATTTTCAATGCCATCATAATAGACATATTAATTGCAATATAATTTAAATAACAATCACAAATACAACTCAATAGGGAGTCATAAATAAGGATTAATTTTAAATTACTATATATGGATATGAATGAAATAAATAAAACTTAATATCAATAAAAAGCAGATTTACATGAGATAATAGAATAAAGCATTTAATAAATTATTTAAAACAATAAATGAAAAATAATAAAAGCATTAAAAATGTATTATATATTTTATATTCAGGTATTATAACTTATATATATTTGTTTTGAAACAAACAAAGATATGCTCTCATATCTAAATAAAATAATAAATTATATTTATTATTATTAAATACGATATCTTATTTGTTATGAGGACAAACCCTTTATAATTGAAAACCATTTAAATTTAATTATTTAATTTTGTTGCAAAAATAATTATATTTAGATAACAATATAAACCAATGAATATTCTACTCTATAATTAAGTTATATAGTAATTAATTTCAATGTAAGGTAAAAATTTGTCAACAGTTAACATACAGTTATGTCTGCAAAGTGTTTATCGATGAAGTTATTTAAAACCAATTTGTGGCTGCTTTTCATTACACACTATATAATCATGAACTATATTTATACAGTATATCTTAAGCTGGTATTATTAAAAAATTTGAGTTAAAAATAAATTTATCATAAAATAAATAAAATTTATAAATTATTCAATAATTATTAACTGATGAGAGAAACTGGTTTGAGAGCAACATAAAAATAGGATTAAATAACTTTTATTATATACAAATCAAATAATTTATTACAAATGATGCGGTTATTAGTATTATCTATTAGTAATAAGTATTACCGTAAGTATCGTTGAAATTACTTTGATTTTCTTGTTCTTCAAGATATTGGTCGAGATTATAACCGATCCGATGGCCAGACTTTGCTTTATCGCTCAATATTTCCGAAAAGGTTCGCGTTTTTCGGTTTGAAGGAAAAGGAGTTCCGCTTTCATCTGAAGTTTCAATCAAATTAATGGTTATATTAAATTATGATGAAAATAATTATAACTGATTTATCATTGACAATAATTATTTATTTCATTTACTAAATTACCGGCAATTTAAAATTAAAACACATTTATCGATATTAAATTAAAATTACTAAAACAATTAAGCGTTTTGTATATAAATTAAAGTAATTTCATCTTAATTTTGTGGCTAAGGTTTAACAAACTTTAATTATAATGTATCTCAAAATATGGTTTCATTCATAGTCATGGTTTGAGGGATTAAAATATTTTAAATATAAAAATTATCATAACTTTAATAGTTATAATACCAGTTATATAATTGTGTTTTTAAATATAGAGACAGTTCATTAAATATAATAATATTATTATTAATGTTATGAAACAAAAAAATGACATTTATAAAATTAAGACACAAACAAAATAATTATTATACTATTATATACTGTAAGTGCACTCAATTTAAAGGTATTGTTTAATTTATTTTACTTGAATAATATAAATCAAAAATATTTTTGTCAAAGCATTTATCATTGCATTTACAGTATATGTATTTTGTATGATAAATATATAGTACACAAAATAATAAAAATATAATTTTTATTTTATGTGTAAATATAAATATTACAATCATGTAACTCAGTATTAATAACAATATAGCTCTGAATTAAATATAAATAAAAAATACTAATTAAACTTAATGCTTGAAAGATCAAAATAAATTGATTGGAAATAAAGTAAATTTTTTCAAACATTATAACTATAAGACCTAAATAAATACGAAATATATAACATTTTTCATGACATTTATGTGTGAATGTCTTCCGGCAAAACTATTTTCTTAATTGTGTTGTTTTTGTCAACAAATACTTGTTATAATATAATACAAAAAAACACAATTATTTTATTATAAAATAAGACAAAAGTAAAAAATAAGCCTATTGTTTGCCAAAATATTAAGATAAACGTATAAAAAACAACTTTTTATATTTTCATTAATATCAATAAGTATGTGAAGTTTGTATAATTTTAAAGACAAACATTATTTTGAAATTTTCTGTCACTAATGCATTTGAAAACAACTACAGTATTGTTATCAATATTGTATAAACAATAAGTTTTTGATGTAACAAATCATTGCAAACACAAATAAACTATTCATAAACTATTCAAATGTTTATTATTCAAATGATTTTTTAAATCTTTTAAGTTTTATGACTAATAACATCTTCTTTAATAATAATACAATAGTTAAAAACAATAAATAGTTTTAATAAAATCGTGTTTCGTATAACAATTTACCAGTTTTTGGGTATTTTTAATCAGCGTTTGTTTTTGTTGAAAAACGTAAAGATATTTTTGATATTTATTAAACTTAAAAATACACTAATTTGATATCTAATACACAAATATTAAGTTTATTAATAACAACAACTATCCCTTATGTAACGATAAAAAACAAAACTAAAATAAAAACGAGTATAAAAATAAAATTTGAGTCCAATTTTTTTGATTGTGTGATAAAACACAACTAACTGTATGTAACGTTAGGTTTGTATCAATACTACTAATCAAGGCTTTGCTGTTTTAAAAAAAGTAAGTATTAATATGAGAAACGGTTAGTGCCTTTACATTGTTTTTAGTACACACACTGAAATAATTAGAGGAATTAAATAACAAATATAAATTATATACATTATTATTATATGTATTATGTATATACATATATATATATTATTTTACACAATCAACAGTTTTTAATAAATTCAATTGAATTCAATCCACTATTTCTAATTGACATACAGAGAGTATAACCTTATAAAAAATTATATCCTTGAAAATATAAATATACGGTAATTACATGTTTTTGAATAATCACTTTTTTCAATCAGCTGTACACATATTATAGTCCAAAACAAATTGATACACAAAATTATCAATTATTTAAAATCACAAATTTTCACTCAAAGTTCATTATTTTGATATATTATAACTCAGGTAACTGTATAGATCTAGTGATGTTTTAAAATCAAATTTCATTTTTTAAAATAATTACAAGAAATTCAAATAACTGTAATAAATTCAATTCAACAAAATCTCCTAAAGTATAGTTTTTTTTTTGTTGAAAAATTCAAATTATAAAATCTATTTTATCAAATGTAAAATTGATGCAAACAAATCACTTGTTTTATTTTAAATTTATAAATACCAGTATTTTTTCTAAACTAAAATACTGTATTTATTAATAAAATAGTTTATAATTTTGCTGACATTTAATACTGTATTTAATTGAAATGATTATTATAACAATAATTTGTTTATTACAGCGCAACACAAATCATGTTTTAATAAAATACATTTACAGTACTATATATACAATATATTTGATATCATGTTTTTGAATACAATTGTTTAGACATGACATCACTGGTTACATGACTAAGCATTTGAATGTATTGATTGTCTAAATGATTGTAATATAAATTGTTTCAAACCTTGTGAGCAGTATTTGGATTGTCGTCTCTTAGACTTCCAACTCATGAGATTGTTTTGCCACTCTTCCTCCACTTCTTTGATCTTTTCTTTGGTGATCTTTACTTCTTCAGCCAATTTGATTTGTTCGACGGCCTAATAATTGGATTGATATGTAATATATTGTAATATATTGTCATATATTAAGTATTATAAATACCTGTTTATATAAGTGATTGTTATGTATTTTAACGAACATTAGTGGGTCATTGCGCGGCACTAACACTATGGCTCTCTGACTGCTGTCTCCGCTCTCAATCAGCTATGAGTTAACACATAAATCAATTGTCTGGATGTGATTGTCATCAAAACATACCTTATCGGCCATCATCTGGTCATCGATCGTGTCATCGGTGGTCATGACATGAGATGTTTGTTTTTGTCTCTCTATTTCACTACTAAACAGTTGCCACAAGTTTTTTGGATAACAAACTATAAGTTGAATAAAAAGCAAATCAATAGTAAATTGTGTTTTTGTGTTACACTTACACAACAAACACAACAAACAATATATACAGTAATACAACACTATTAGTGCAAAACCTTTTGTTATTAATAGCATTCAAAGCAAACATAGTATTAGCTCAGCCCTCACACGGCATTGATTAATACAAAAAGGTATGAATCGCTGCCAACACTCAATCAGAAAGCAATGCCCTTTAAATGTGTGTCATTACGTCATGTTGTGTGCGATAGTCAATAACGTCTTATATTGTTTTATAGCATTAAAAGTATAGTTTTACTTATAATTTTTTAATTAAGTTTTCATAATTATGTTAATTATGCTAATTTTGCTAATATTTAAATTTTAGGTTAAATGTTATACATGCAAAAAATGCAAAAATGCAAAAAAACACTTAAATTTTCTCAAAATAATGTTTTAAATACTTTTTTAGGTAAACTTCAAAAAAGTATTCAAATTATATTTACATTACGTTAAGGTATAATCAAATTTTTATAAATTATATATATTTATCAAATTAGTTACTTTTATATTTAAATTTATTTAGATTTTGTAATCAATTGAATTTTTTAATTGTATATTTAAAAAATATTATTATACTTACGATTATTATAGAAATAAATAACAATTTTTAATAACAAAATTCAATTGATTTTGTCGACAAAGTGTCATCTCTTGGCATACAATTTGAAAGCATATCATATGTCAAGTGTTTTGAATGAATCGAGAGTTTGATTACTATTACAGTCATTGACAGTCTATGGGAGTTATATACAGACAGTACTGTAGTTATTGTCAATAATTTATTTATATTACGGTTAATATACAGTAATAATAATAATATTATTATTAGTAATAATATTGAATGACAAGACTAGCATTTACTACAGTCAACTGTCCACAAATGACATGATGGACAACAAGCCCGTGCCGGCCACCCGTTCCCGTGTGGGTCCAACATCACACTGTCAAACAATGGACCCGTCGATGGCTGTTATACCAGATGTACGTGAAGATGAGGAACAAGCGGTTAAAATGCAAGAAATTATTAATTTGTTGGTCGCCGGCGGCTATTTTCGGGCCAGAATTAAGGGACTCAACAATTTCGATAAAGTATTTGATATTTGAATGAATTAGTTATTATAATAACTGGTTTTCATCGATCAGGTGGTCGGAGGTATGAGTTGGGCCATCGAGATGTCAAACGTTGATCTCGACGTCGATATACTATTTCACGAAAGTCTGACTATCGGTCAAAAAATGTGAGTCTTTTTTTGGTGACAAACATTTGGTGATTTAATTTTGTCTTAATATGATAGTTAATATTATTAACTAAATATATTTTTTTAATATTTATTATATAATAATTGTTTGTCATTTGATGTATTAACAGATCGCTAACAGAGAAGATAGTGTCGGCATTGCATGTGATGTCGTGTCCACACAAGATAGAGCCGCATCAGATCCAGGGAATGGATTGTATTCACATATTTCCAGGTAATATCAAATTTTTTATTAAATTAAAAAAATCACTAATAATTGAAATATATGTGTTTTATTAAAGTAATTCAATGGTTAGTCAAGAAGTCAATAGAGACCAGACAGCAAATGTCTGATTATTTGATGAGTTACGCCAAATGGCAGTTTGATCGCAACCATAAACTACACGATACTGATGTGACAGATGCTAACATTACGTCCTCTTCTAGTGCTAATAATATATACAAAAACCCGAAACGCCTTTACAGACATCCGGCCCGACATAAGCTAATAGAAGCGGAAACACGTGTCCGTACAACTCTTCTTGAATATGGAAGTACCGCCGGTAAAGAAATGTCTACTAAAACAGGAACCGATCGATCGTCTGAATCGGAGAGTATAGAGCAAAACGATTCAGAATCGCAACTTAGGGATCAATTGATGAGTTCAATGTTAGCAGAGACTCATAAAATATCTGCCGCTTTTGTTGGCTCTATAGTGGGCACACAGTCGGATGAGATACAAAAGTTAGCCAAAGAATATCATCAAAAAAGACTGGAGAGAGAAGAAAATTCATTAGAAATTATGGAACGGAAGTTAAGAGCTCGAGTTGAAGCCACCAAAAGGCAGTTAATGACAGTTAAACAAAATGAATCAGAAATTATTGATAAAATACAGTTATGTAATGAAAGAATAGAAATTGTGAGAGAAAAACAACAATCGATTAAACCAAATGAAATCCAAACCGATAAAGAAAGAGAAGAAAAACAAAATTTATGTTACATTTTAGATACACTAAAGAAACAAAAGTCAGAGTTTAAACAATTTTGTCGCGAAGAAAAACAAAGATTAGATAAACATATCGAAGAATTGTCTAATCAGACCACATATGACACTGAAGACGAAACTGAAGTTGAAGTGGAGGTTCAGTCCTACGAGGAGAAGCACCAGAAATCTAAGTCACAATTAGCTAATCTTAACAAAAGTATTGCTAAATTGCAACGAAAATTTGATGACATTCCCACTCGAGCTGAACTATCGCAATACCAAAAGAGATTTATTGAATTATACAACCAAGGTTGGTTTATATTATAATAAATAACAATTTATTGTAATTATTGTAATTGTGATTTAATTTATTAGTGGCTGCAAAACATAATGAAACGAAAAAGTTTTATACTCTCTATAATACTTTAGACGACGAAAGGATGTATTTGGAGAAAGAGCTCAATTTAATTGGTTCCATATTAGACAACTTTTATCAGTATATTATTATTATTATTATTATTATTATTATTATTATTATTATTATTATTATTATCATTATTATCATTATTATATGACATTTGTTTATATTTATTATATTTAATAATTACCGGTAATATTTTATTTGTATTTTAGAGCTCAAAATTCCCATAACGTTAGAGAAGAGTTTTTGCTTCAATTCGATCAAATTGTCGAAAATATTAAACAAACAAAACTCAAAGTCGAAAACAGAAGAACTATAGAAAAAGCCAAAAGAGATGAACTCAACGATACTTATCTCGAATTAATCGAAAAGCAAAGACTCTATTATAAAGGCGTTAAAGATTTCAAAGAGGTTTGCTATCATTAACTAATCGTTACTTAATATTTTAGTATTATATAAATTAATGTAATATTTTTATTATATTATTTTCTATTTATAGGAATGCAAAACAAATGAACGACTTATATCTGAATTGGAGAATAGAAAATTAAGAAATAACCATGTTTAAATTTGTATTTTAGGCCATTTATTAATTATATAATTGTTGGATTATTTTATTAAATCATATATATAATATATAAAATTTAAATTTATAAAATGTATTTTATATCAATGAAATTCATAGTAAAAATTACACTATTTTATTAAATTTTAATATTTTATAGCATTATCGTAATTATTTTTACTTTATTTTTCTCTCTCTCATATATTTTTTATTTGTTTTTTCTATGATTTTTTATACTTTTGGTAATTTTAAGATAATGTTAATGATTAGTATAAAATAGGCGTAAAATATCTATTTCTATAGTTTCATAAATTATGGTAAAGTTATTAGTTATTAACGGTAAAAATTTGGTATATGTTTTGATATAACTTAAAAATTAAAATTAATTTTTTAAATGTTTAGAATATTTTTTAACCTTAAACTGTACACTGTTTTAATCTATTATAAATTAATTACCGTAATTCAATCAAAATGATTGATTTAATTAATATCAAATTTGGTATTAAATTGTATTAGTATAGTAATACAATTAATTATACCTATATAGATACATATATTATATAGATATAAATATAAATTATACCTATAAAGTATATTTTAATTTTTTTAATAACTTTTCTTTTAATGACTTTTCTGTTACTAAAAATGTTATTAAAAAACATTAACAGTAATTGTAATTTTAATAACACTATTTATAGATAAGTCATTGTCATATAAAAATATAGTCATTATAAAAAAATATTATTCATTCAAATTGATTGATTTGACTGAACTTAATTTGACGTTGAAATCAAATAACATTAGAAAAGTTTTATATTATGCAGTATTATAGTCGCAAAATCTTTTCTATTTTTAGATTATTTATATTATTTTGAATTATTAACGCAATAATTATTATACTGTTGCTATAAATTTTATTTTAATAAAATAATCAATAAAACAATACAATAACATAGAATAATATAAGCTTAAAATATCTAAGTATTTAATACAGTATTTTTTGGTAAACTTAATTTATAATAAATTAAATTTGATATTTAATTGACAAACAAATTAAAATGTAAATAATATTTATCCAATTCTGCCGACACGTCCGCCCCTACCCTTTCCCCGAACTCTTCTTCTTGAGTTTCTTCCTCTTCCATTACTTCTTCCATTACTTTTACCACTACTTTTGCCATCACTTTTGCCAACACCAGACACTGAATCAACACCGACGCCATTACCCACCTGTTGACCTATCACTTCATGTATTTCTTGTTTTATAGGGTTTAAAACACAATTAATTATAAGAATAAAACTATAATACAATTAGATTTATTACCGATAATCAGTAAACAAACTGTCAATAATAATATAACAAATCGTTTATTCATTTATGATTTAATTCAATACGAATAGATAAGTTGATAATAAATTAATATTATATTAATTATAATATATTTCATTTAATATATATGTCTAAACTGACTGTACTATCACTGTTGACTGTCAGTATTGAACTAATGTGAATAAATTGTACTTGCATAATTTTCAAGAAAATTCAACAATCATATTAATACAAAAGCAATCATTTAAAAATAAATATTTCTAAAATTATTATTAAAAAGTTTCCTTTAATTGAACTTTTGCGTGATTTTCATCAAAAATATCTTATTTAATATATTGTATAGTTTTTATATTGTTTATGAAGTTTTATTTAACTTAAATAATAATGTAATAATAAGCTATATATTTTCTCATTTTTTTATTTTCAGTATTATAGCAGAACTTTATATTGTTTTTATTAATAACTAATAATAATTAAAACTACATAAAAAGTCGCATAAAATGTAATATTTTTTTCGTTTTGTTTAAATAAATATTTATTATTATTTAAGAATTAATGTCAATATTTTAAGATAGCGTTAAGTTGTGTATCTTTACTGTAAGTTTACTAACTGTTATACACTACTTATGACAACAATATTTAATTTATTATATAAAGACTAGTATTTTGCATTATAGGATATATTGTAGGACTTATAGCATTCATCACTACAATAATTATTATATGTATATAAATAGTTTTTAAAACATATTTTAAGACATAATTAAACTAAATTTCAAAATATTAATATAAAATTATTTTGTAATGAATTGAATTAAGTATAACTTTTAACAAAAATAATTGGTTTTCTTGTATAATAATGTTCTTCAAAAATAATATATATTATAAACCATTGAATTCTTGTTTAATTTTTAAGATAATGTTTTTTGTTGTAAGAAAAATAAAAATATTACAAAATATAACGAAATATAACGAAATCATTATAATGAAAGAACTGTTTTTATTCATTAACTCAAATATAAAATCAATTATTGTGTAAAAATCATTTATTCAAAAAATATAGATTATAATTAAATTTATATCATAACAAAATAGAGACACATTTAATCTTACAATCAATAAATAATTTTAATGTTAAGTATTTTTTAGTTAAATAAAAAATTGCAAAAAATGTTAAATTAGGGTAATTTTAAATTATAGCTTAAAATTTCTCGATTTATAATAATTATAATTAGTTATTTTTATAAATTAATTTTAGTTAAAATATGGTATATAGATGATATGATATTAATATATATATTATAAAAGTATATTAATTTAACTTTGTTTACTAACATTTAATTCATATATATTAGATGTATTGTCAAAGTTATTGAAACCAAAATAATAACTAATGTTATGAAATAATGGTTTTTCAAAAAATCAGTGTTTTTATAATAATTGTTATTAGGATTATTATTAAATGCTATTTTTGGATTATAAGTTGTGATTTAAATGTAATAAATTGTTTATACAATATTATAGTTTATATTATTAGAATTATTTATCACTTACGTAGGACATCATATCAATTAAAAGGATATAAAATTGTATTTGCATTAACCAACAAAATAAAGACAATTGATTTCCTATTAGAAACACATTTTTTAACAATAAAGTGATAGTAAATAAAATAACAGTATTTATCATGAAAAAGTTTTGTCTAATAAAATGTTAAAATAGCAAAATATTGAATTATAAAAATATTTAGTATATTGTTTTATAACTAAATAATTATATATAATGTTTTTTTATAAATGAAGAATTTTTTAAATGCTTGCAATATTAAACTTTATTAATTAAATAAATATTGTTATTAATAACTTAATATCTTTACATACATTTAGTTATATCGATTACATTTTATTTAAGGATTTGAACAAATATTTAAATACTAATTATAGATATATATCTTGTTGATTGTAATTTACAATATCTAAACTTAAATTAAGTTTAAATTATGATCTGAATTGTTGTTCATTTTTTTATCCATAATAACCTCCACGTCCGCCATAACGTCTACCTCCACCGTAACGTCCACCGCCTCCATATCTTCCGCCTCCATATCTACCGCCCCCACCATATCTTCCTCCATAACCTCCTCCATACTGTGCGCTTATCGTAGTGACTAAAAATATTTTTATCAATAATTAATAATTGATTTTATTTAATACTATAGATAATTGTAAATATATATTAAATAACTTACAGACACTGACGAGAACGAGAATCAGCAAAATATAAACTTTATTAAACATTTTGTATAATATTTTGATTATCTTTCAAATTAATAATCAAATACTTTTGATAATATTGTTAATTATTTACTCTTATTTATATAGAAAATTTTAGCGGATATTAAAAAAATATTGACTTAATATTTACAGCAATTCCTTTAGATAAAAAAAATTGTGGGGATGTCATGTAAATTATACAATTAAAAGGAAAATGTTTTTATCATTATATATATTAACTATACTTATATTATTTCAAATTAATCAAAACAACTGAAACTTTTTTGTAAATCTTGTATTTTCCTGGATAACTATTTTTTTAATTTAATTTATTTTGTTATATGTAAAATTTAATATGTTACAAGATAACTATCATATCTATGTAACTACTTTACTAAATTATGTAGTTTATGACTAAAATACAAATAAGTAGTAATTTATAAATTAATCAAACTAATTGTTAGATTAAATATAAATAAATATTATACAATTTAAATCGATAAACAAAAATCATTATTTCATGATAATTAATTCACATTTGACTGTATTATTTTAAAACAAATACTATATAATATAATAAAAAATTTCAATTCAATAAATAATCGACAAATAAACAGTTATTTAATAATACATATTTTTTTGTTAAAATCCTAATTTTAACACATTTGTACATTTATTTAAATCTAGAATCTAAGTTTTTAAAATATTTTTAAAATATGCTGTTTAACTTAGTAATTTTAAATTACTAAACATGATTTATAGTTACTTAAAATTAATTATATTTTAAAGGGACCGTTTTTATAATTAATTGGTTAATATCTTTGTAATTAATTTAAATTATATAATAATTATTTATTTTATTTTAACATGTTGAAATTAATTTGAAAATTTATAAAATAATTAGACATACAGTGTTTAGTTACTCCCTCACATTTAACCACAAATAGTACAGCAAACTACAGGTGCAATCACATCACAACAATAGCATTTGATGTAAAACATATGATTATGTGTATAGCCTAAAGCCAAAAAACCAGTCAATCGTACTATAATGATAGCACCGGTACCATAAAAAAATAAGAGATACTCGTATTTCCCATGAATTTAACCTTAACTCTAAACCACTTGTTTGTCATGTATTGTTATATTATAAAAAATCATTTTAATTTAAGCATAAAATAACCAAATAATTTAAATCCTTATTTTGTAAACTATTATAGCATTCATTCTTTTTATTTTTTTACAAAATATTTTCCATTTATAAAAGAGTTCAAATATTTTTATATCAATAATAAAAAATTGATTTATTTTTAGTCAAACTTGAAATATTTTGTATTTAATGGTTTCCTCATAGTTATATCCACATAAATAAATTGTGAGAAATTATGCAAAAACAAACTAAAATTAAATTAAATTTTGTTGTATTATGCTTTAAAATAGTTTTTGTTATATTTATAATACTAACTATACGACAATAGTAAATTTATATATATTGTAAATACAGTACTTTCCTATTTGTTTTAGCTTTAATGTCAATGCAATCATTATTTTGTAAAATATTATTAAATTTAAAGTAAAAATTATATTTGAATCCTATTTATAAATTTATAAATTTATTGTATAGTACTGTAGTAATAGAGTAATATGCAGTAGTATTTACTTTATTTATTCAGGTTTTCTCGATAATAATAATAATAATAACAACTGAATCAATTAAATTTGAGAAAAACTTTACTTCAAAATCAATGGGGAGTTTAGACTAGAGTGCACTGTTAGCTCTCTTTTTTCAGACAGGACTTAACTTTTTAGCTAATGTTTTGTTAGATAGTATGAGAAAATGCATCAAAGCGTTTGAAAAGTGATTTAGTTTTTAGTATTGAAATCCTTATCGGATAGCGAACAGAGCACTGGGAGAGCATTGAGAGGGACATAGAGAGGCAGATAGAGAGAGAGCACTCATATATTTCGAGAGCGAGAGAGAGTCGGTGGCAAACATCCGCTCATTTATATCCGTTTTATGGTTTCATTACATTTCATTTGTATTTTCACTGTTATTTTGGTTTTATATTTTAAAGTTTTCATTGTTGTTAATAAATGTACAAAAAGTTTTATTTAACTAAAAAACTATGTTTCAAAACTACAAACAATTTTTACAAATGTTTTATTTACTAACAAAATGTGATATATATCATAAAATAAGTGGCATTAAGTGATTTATAAGTGCTTTAATATATTTCTAATCAAGTGTTGAAATATTATTTTTTGGAAAACTTTTCAAACTTAACAAACACACACAAACATCAAGTGTCAAAAATTTAAATAATGTTTAAAAATGTAAAAACTCACTAATATTTAAATTAAATAAATATAAAAATTGAAAAATGTATTTAAATACTATTTTGAGTTTATTTTCCATCTCATCGACTGTCAGTGTAATGACATCCTTCAACACATTGGCCCCTAATTTAACCCTATTATCCCATACGACACTCAAAGATACAATTGATATTATGGCTAATTCTAGTCTACATCTCAAGTGCACCGGTAATAAACCCATGTACTGGCAGTTTCCCAATAATAATCCGGTAAATTATATTTTTTAATTAATACCATATGAACATTGACTTAATTTACATTATTATGAATATTACATCAAAATTACGTAACAATAATATTATTGAATATAAAATTTTAAAAATAATTGAATTACTACCGGATCCCTAGCAGTACGACCCGGTGTCAAAAGTGGCACAAATCCGCAGCAAATGTGATGACAACAGTGTACATAATAAATGTGTTACCGATGTTGTCATATCCGAAGTTACCTATGAAATGACCGGTTATTTTACGTGTCTATACAATGAATCGACACAATTGTCGGACTCTATCTATGTTTTTGTAAACGGTATGTTATAAATATTTCTAAACAATATACTTTTAAATATTAATTATTATTAATTTAATTAATTTTTAGATCCCGAATATCTCATAGTGCCTTACGAAGGAAACTATGATTTTATGTTTATTGCGGTATTTCAATCACAACCGGCTACCATTCCCTGTAAACCAACCAATTCCAGGGCTAAAGTGTCCCTTTGGAAAGTTCACACTAATTCCGGTATTCCTCAAGAGATACAAGTGAACAGTACTTTAGGTATTACATACAATCAGAAAAAAGGCTATCATTTTGAATACCCGCGTTGGGACGGGGAGACCAGTCTACTTGAGTGTAAAGTAGAGTTAGACACCATCGAAATGATCTCACAGATCAGTATTCATTGGTCAAGTATGTCATAGAGATTCTGTATATAATAATATTTATATAGTATTTGTTAAATATATTTTTATACTCCGACTTTCATAAATAACCTATAATTAGTATAATGAAATAGTAGAAAATAATAATAATAGCATAAATATAAATAGTTTCATAATAATTGATTGAATAACATTGAAATATAGTATTACCGGTTGAATTGCATCCTTTAATCGATGACAGTCGCGCTAAAAATGTGTTCACAAACAGTACTTTTACATTGAAATGTTTCGTTCACATTGAACTGGGAGTTATCATTGTTATTACATGGGACGTACCCAATAAAAATGTATTGAACTTTTTTTCAATCATTTATAACTAATTTGATATTTTTGATGAAAAATAAACTAATTTTCTGTTAAACTAATAGAGTTTGGGACGAATAGCTGAATCTTTAGCTGAAACACAACGAATTGAGGTAAATGGCAACAGTTATGATACAGTCTCTAAAAACATCACAATATCTGATGTCCAAATTGAAGATGAAGGGGTCTATCATTGCAATGTCACTGATGGAAATGGAAGAGTATTTAGCGCTTCCAAAAAAATAACAGTTTATGGTTTGTATAGTTTTTATAAAATTGTAGAATTTATATAAAGATAGAAAAATAAAAACATAATAATAATAATAGTAATAATAATATTTACTTATAAAGTATAGTATTAATAGGCTCTATCTTACAATCAGACCGCATCAGACTCCCGACTCATAATGTTTTGTGAATAACTATTAAACTATATTTTTAATTAAAAAATGACCACAAGTGGCAAAGTTATAGATAATTTTAGACTGGATATATTTATAATTAATTATTTTTTATTTACTCTTATGATTGGCCAGATAATTGCATCAGACCTGTTAAAAGAGGTCTGATGCAATTATCTGGCCAATCATAAGAGTAAATAAAAAATAATTAATTATAAATATATCCAGTCTAAAATTATCTATAACTTTGCCATTGGTCATTTTTTAATTAAAAATATAGTTTAATAGTTATTCACAAAACATTATGAGTCGGGAGTCTGATGCTGGTCTGATTTTAAGATAGAGCCGTATTAATACTGTAGTACATAATGATAAAAAAATAGTAAAATGAATATTACAATAATTGTATAGAGAATGGTTTGCCTCCATCTTATTTTAACTTTTCAATGGACATCGATAATGAAAAACCATTGATCAGTAAAGTGGGAGAAATGGTTAGGTTTGTGGTCGATGTCCTATCTTTTCCTGATTTTGAATCCGTTCATCTCTTTTGGTATAAAAATAATATGTTAATTGAGAAAACACATAAACATTATGAAACTGGTGTTTCATCAAATGGACAATATTCACAAACATATCTTGAAATAAAAACCATTGAACTCGAGGACAGTGGCACTTATATATTGGTCGGTAAATAAGAAAATTATTTTATAAGCATTTTAGTTATTATTGAATTATTAATCAACAAAATATTAGATGGGAAATACCAGTGATATGACAACCAATATAACAATGACATTATTAGTAAGTGGTTCACCAGCTATTAAAATGTTAAACTCATTGGAGTTTTACGAGATTAACAAAGCTTATGAATTGGAGTGTCTGGCTATTGGTTATCCAAAAGCTCTAGTTTGGTGGAAATGGTTTACCTGTTTGTCACCGGATAACTGTTCTCCAAGTGATGATGAGCACCAATGGATTGCTGTTAATAACTTTACCAACAATAGTCTACTAATGAATAGTGAACTATTGATTGCACCAAATATTAGTTCATTATATTTGAGTCCATTGAGTCTTCAAGTAATAGCCAACCAAACGGGAGGTTATCGGTGTTATGCCAGTAATGATAACATAACTATAATACAAAATCAAATATCTTTTATAGTTACAGGTATTTATCAAATGTTCTAAAATTAGGATTTATTTATAAAAAATAATTGTCTAAATATAATAGATGCTATCAATGGTTTTTCAATCCAATCGTCGACCGATGAGCCGACGGTCAGGGAAGATATAACACTGACCTGTAAAGCAAGTGTTTATAATTATACAAAACTCAATTGGATTAGAAGACCATTGAATTATAAAATTATAGACACGAATGATATAGATGTGGTCCATAATATAAGTGGTAAGTATCGGTAACTTATTATTTTTATATGAGAAACAAACATTTATATTATTATTATTTAAAACATGTATCTCCAGGTCTTATTTATAGTTCACTGATTGATGAATACTCTATAACATTGTCGATACAAATAAAATTGGCACAAATCAATGATTCTGGAGTTTATGTCTGTGAAGCCATTACACGGGACACACATACCAAACATGAAATTGAGTTCAAACTTGATATTCAAAGTTAGTATTTTTAAAATATAAAATAGTATTTTAATAATTGGATTTGTTTTATCTTAATATATACTAATTTATTTTTAGATGTTTCAGCACCGGTACTGATTGAGTCTAACTTGAAGGACAATATGATTGAAAAAACACCTTATACTCAATTTGAGTTGCGATGTATGGTCAGAGGTAGACCCAAACCGATCGTCAATTGGTATCGCAATAAGAAACCATTTATTGTCAGTGAAAATACCGGAATAATATTAGAGGACAGAAATCAGAGACTTATATTTACCAGAATATTAGACAAAGATTCCGGTCTTTATGAATGTGAGGCCCATAATAGCGGTGGTTCTGTCAAAAGATCTGCAAGACTTAAAGTGGACAGTCTTGAGGAAACTAACACTGGAGTTAGTACTGAAGAAATTATTGTTTTTGTTTTATTTGTTTTGGTCGGAACTGTTATGATATTTATGGCCATATATATCGGTAAAAAAATTAGACAAGAAAGGGTATGTTATTGAAGTAAAATATTTTTATGTAAATTAATATTAATCAACAGTTTTATGCAAAAACATTTTTTACAGAAAGCAAAGAGAGAAATGGATTTTTTGTCACATAATTTATTTGAGACAGGTCAAATTGAAATGTATAATCCGGATCTACCTCTTGATGAACAAATTGAATTACTTCCATACGATCCAAGATATGAGTTTCCGAAAGAGCGACTAAAACTAGGTTTTTCATATAATATTTGAATAAACAAATTTGTCTAAAAGTTGATTTTATTTTTAGGTCGTACTCTAGGACAGGGAGCTTTTGGTCGAGTAGTTAAAGCAGAAGCTATTGGTCTTGAAGATAGTGAAACATCATCAACAGTTGCCGTCAAAATGCTTAAAGGTTTATTAGTTAAATTTACTGTATATTAAGTGTTATATATTATTAGTAATTAATTGATTTAATATAGAAAGGGCTGATATAAATCAGAGGAAAGCATTGATGGCTGAGCTTAAGATTTTGATACATTTGGGTCGGCATTTAAATATAGTAAATCTTTTGGGTGCGGTCACCAAAAATTTAGTTAAGGGTGAACTACTGGTTATTGTCGAGTATTGCAAATATGGAAATTTACGGCACTATCTGTTGGCATATCGCGACTCATTTGTAAATCAATTAAATCCAAAGACCGATTTGATTGATCCGTCCATAAAGACAGTACAAGATATTAAAAAACACAATAGTTGTTATCAAAACAGTCAAAATGGCAAAACCATTGTCTATGAGAATGTATTCGCTGCCAATGGTATAGCAAATCCCAATTATACCACTTCTCAAATCACTTGTATTATTAATCCGAAGAAAGAGTCCGTTCGTTACGCAGATATAATGCATAACCAACAGACCGGTAGTTATACTAATGGTTACATTACATCTGTTTCAAGCAGTAATCAAGAGACTGGTCACGACTCGAGTTCGGCTAATGGCTCGAGTGGTGGCTATCGGGGAGAGTCTATACATAAAAGAAATAAAGATAAAATTGTCACCACTTGTGATCTCTTATGCTATGCTTTTCAATGTGCGCGAGGAATGCAGTATTTGGCGCACAGAAAAGTATTTTTCTAACTAATAGTTATTTATCGGTAATAATGTAATAATAAATTTTAATTATAATTTTTTTTAATTGACAGCTAATTCATAGAGATCTGGCTGCAAGAAATGTATTGCTAGCTGAAGACAATATCGTCAAAATCTGTGATTTCGGTTTAGCCAAAGATGTCTATAAATATGATAATTATGTCAAGAAAAATGATGGACCACTTCCTATAAAATGGATGGCTATTGAGTCCATTAGAGATAAAGTGTTTACTTCGAAAAGTGATGTAAGTTATGGTTAATACTGTAGTTTTATTACATTAATTGCTATGATTTTTATATTATTTTAATTAAAGGTTTGGTCATTTGGTATACTATTATACGAATTTTTCACATTAGGTGGTAATCCTTATCCGGGTATAGAAATTGATGAAGAATTCTATAAAAGATTGAAATCCGGTTATAGAATGGAAAAACCAGATTTTGCACCAAAAGAAATGTATATTTTATTAATATTTTAATATTAATTATTATATTAATTAATTAATTAATTAATTTGCCATTAGTTATGAACTGATGACTCACTGCTGGAGCGCTGAACCAAAAGAAAGACCTGATTTCATGGAAATCGCAGACTTTATTGGAGCACTTCTTGAGTCTAATGTCAGACAAGTATGTAATTAATTAACAGAAAAAATCAAATAAGATATGGATTTAAAATGTTTTTATATTATGTTTGAAAGCATTACTTAGATCTTAACGATCCGTATCAAAAAATTAATGAACAAATACTTAATAACAACGATTATCTACGGATGTCTTCAATGAACTCTTCGTCACGAAATGAGATTAACAACGATTATCTTAATATGAAGTTCAACGAAACGGATGAAACGGATAATAAATCGGAACCAATGAGTCATTACGACAATTTGGGACACATCCGGCCCGTCGACAACAACAGTCCCATCCCTTTTGTACCCATGGAAGTGGTGCCTATGATACAGTTAGACTCATTTGGACAACGATATGATGAACAAAATAGATGGTTGACGTGTGAGTCTCATAATAGTGACTATCTATCGATGGAGAACTGTATGGCCGTTAAAAACGGGAACTACAGTCAAGCTATACAACATTATACAAATGACTCGTCCGATGCTTGTATTCCTCCCCCGCCATACAGTCACGTCACGTGAATACCTGTGCCTTATATTTTGTATATTATTTAGTATTTTATTATATTTTAAAACTCGAAAAATTCATTATTCAGATATAAAGTATTTATTTTTAAAAATAATTTCTACACTTTTTAATATTTGATATTTTTTAGATTCATATATAATGTCTTATTTTAATAAATTGTAAAAATGTATATTTTAACAAATAAATCATTATAATAAAGATAAAGATTTATTTATAATTAAAATTTAATTTTGATTTTTACATTGATTATCGGTAATGAAAAGATTAATCAATAAGATGTTAATATATTAATGATATATAATTATGTAATCAATTTGCAAATACATAACAAATTATAAATGAATTTATTGTGATCTTATTCATGATAATATGTAAATGTCATGAGATATTTGATTATTTTTTGGTCAATTAAATAGTATAATTAATAAATAAACGATTATTGCTAATATTATAAACTAAAATGTATGAATTTTATATTAAATTAATAAAATTGTTTGTGACCATTATTATATTTTTGAATTGGTGATATTTTTAAAGCAAAACATTTAAATTATGTTATAATTATTTTGCTTAACATTTGATAAATTATTTGTTGAAATAAAAAAAATATTAAATTAAAATATACCGTAATTTAAATGCCAATACTATTATTGTCTTTCGTATAAAATTTGTTTTTGATGTCATCTATTAAATGAGTTTTTTCACAGACATTGATCTGAGATTTATGTAGACTTGCAGTGTCTTCAAAGGTTTCAGGAAGTGATCTGTTATGAGTTTCTGGTAAATTCATTGACAACAAACAGCATATCAGTGCCAATACTCCGCATATAATAAGTGGCACTTTTTCACCAAAATATGTCTATTAAAAACAAATAGTTATTGTTTTATAAAAAAAAACTTATTATCAATTGATAAAAATGTATTACAAGTTCAATAAGATGTGGAGCAAAGATACCACCAATCCTTGAGAAGGTCTGAAAAACGCCAACTGATGTACTTCTTATGACAGTAGGATATATCTCAGCCGTATATATATACAGCAATGTATATGAGGCCGAGATATTGCTTTTACCGAAAATGGCCACAACTGTCATGAGTGGACTGGCGTGCGATATGAAGAGTGTACTAACACACGACAAACCGGCCATCAATGATAACGCAAATAATACTTGTTTGCGACCAAAATAATGTAACATTACTGTCACTAATAGATTGGATGGTATATCTACCGCTGCTATTGAGGCTAGTGTTGCGTAGGTATTGCTGCCGAGATTTTGTGATTGAAATGATAAGCCATAGTATATCAATGAGTCAATGACCCTAAATATAGATTTTTTGTTATAGAAATTATCAATTATGTATATATATTATATATATATATATATATTATTATATCAAACAATTGTTACCAAATAAATAATAAATGAATTGTCCAAAAACGGACAGTTTTGTGTGTAAACAGACACATCGGGCCATAGGTTTGAATGTGATACGACTTTTGAGAGGAATCGGTTGAATCGCTTAATGTTTTCTTTATAAAAATATACATTTATTGTAATATTAATACAGCATTTAGTTATTGTTTAATTAATTCAATGAAAATAACATACATTATCACAAAATGCTGTTTCATTCAATTGAATGCCATTCCAATGGGCAGCTCTTCTCAATGATTTGATGGCACTATTGATCTGTCCATTTGAAACCTGCCATCGAAGCGATTCGGGAAATATCCTAACATTTAATGATTAATCATTTACTAATAAACTTAATCTTTAAAAAAATCTAAATAATTAAATAAATTTATAAAAACCATATTAAAGGTAGTACTAAAACAACAGGTATTGATATAACTAATTACAAGACACGCCAATGTCGCACATTATAAGCCATTAGACATAATATGATAGTTCCCGAGGAATATACAACTTCTTGGAGATTCACACAAAGTACACGATATTTGTCTCCAATGAATTCAACTCCTGATTATTGAATATAAAATGTAAACAATTATACTATAAATGTTAATATATTAAAAACAAATACAAACCAATAATAAATGATGCCTGGCTCATACCTGACGCGCACAGGGCGGTCAGTGCCGTCAATAGTGTAAACACTATTAAATTGGGTGCAAATGCCGTGGAAATTGATGATATCAAACATATAATGGGTGCAAATGTAAATGCAATTCTTCTACCATATCTATGATAAAATAATTAACATTTAATAAGTTGTATAATAAATAAATTATGTAAATGTATGCTTTGATATCTACCTGTCCGAGAGTTGTCCGAAAAACAGATTACCTAACAGGACTCCAATCATTAGACCGGACTGAGAAAGCGGTAGTTTCCACGAGTTGTCACAAACAATGTCCCACTGAAGCAAAAAAATATGAGTTAATTCATTGATATTTTTAATCATATTTATATCATAAATATTATCTATATATAGATATAATCATAAATATCAAGACTCGCATAACCAGTACTTCGGTAACAATTGTTGAGTGAAACTCTCTTTTATCATAAACATAGTGATCACAGCTTTGAATTAAATTTTTTGAAAACCATTTATTATGACAAAAGTTTGTATTATTATTATTATTATTAAATGTAAAATTATGATATTTTATATTTGAATATTTACGACAATTTTTATATTTTTCGGGTATTGAAAATGTATTATTCAAGTAAAATGTTTGCAATTTTTGTTCATATGATTCACATTCACTTATTAAACATCTATTAAATAAAAATAAAATTAAGTCTATTTTAAATGACTTTTATTTTTTAATTAATTTGATTTTACCTGTGATCAGGAGTTCCACTAATAAATACAGTCGACATTAAAACAAACCCGGAGTATAGTACAGGTATACATGTTATTAAAAATACAAACAATTGGTAATTACCAAATTGACCCAATTGCTTTATTGCTATATTTGCCTCAAATTTCATTTTTAATATTTATATAAAAATTAAAAGATTTTAAGTTTTTAAATATTAGTTAAAAGTTTTATATAAGTTATGAAAATATTTAATTTAATTAATGCGCTTTCATAAGTCAATGATGTGTAATATATAATGTAATTATCAATATTATTGATCATTTCATGTGATGTTTATTAAATAATCTAATGATGCGATTGATTCATGTGTTTTGTATAAATCATTTAGTTTTTATATAAAATTTCAATGAATGAAAGCAATTGAAAGTGTTTTAGCAATAAATTGTTTGGAAACACTTTACTAACTTTTAGTTTATTTGACCGATTGATTAACAAATTGTTGTTGTATTTACACTTTACTAAATCAATTATTTAATTATTTTTAATTGGATCTTATATTTAATGACGATATTATATTATATTAATACAAACAATATTTATAATAATTTTGGATTAAACCAGATATTATATAAATATGTACAAAGATATCGTTTTAATTTTAATTATCAAAATAAATATTTCCATTTAAAAAAAACATATGTCTGTTGAAAGTTTAATTATTACAAAACAAAACAAAAACAAAATAATAAATATTTTATATTACATTTATTATATAAAATTGTTTTATTTTTTAAAAATCTATATAATGCTATATTATTTTTTAACAATTTGTGTATTTAACAAAAACATTACTACAGTAGTATAATACTATCAATAATGGTAGTACTGTATATTAAATAATTAGTTAATTTTTAAAATTTAAATATGCCTAAATTAATACAATATTATATTATTATTTATTTGAAAATATCAATTATATATGTACTGGTATTTTTATTATTAGTATTAAATAATTACAATTTACAATCTATAATATAAGTTATAGATACTAAATAATTATATATCTTATTTTTTCATTTCAAACTTTTATTTTTACGTGTATAGAGTTAAATAAAAAAAATAATAATAAAATAATATTTATATTTTTATATTTATATTTGTTTACTAATCTATATAAATATATATATGAAATGTTATATTATTAATATTATAAACATAAATTATTAGTAAAAGTTTTTGCTAACAACCAAAACGTAATAAAAAAATTATTATTATTATGTATACAACAGTTTGGCACACTTGAGGGATGTGTAAGTTTATACAGTATGACATATTACTGTACTGTACAGTACATTATATACATTTATCAAATACCAAACAACTATCAATACTATAATATATTTGTTGATAATATACAGTTAGGTTAAAAACTGTCTGTCCTATCGATATAACGTCATTATAGACTCAATGTTGTCAATCAATGATTGTCTAAACAATGACTCTCTTTTATTCAATTTATATATATTTTATTTTTCATTAAGACTGACTAAAACCTCACTAAAATATAATATAAATTTAATTGAAGTAAAGACATTGAATTTAAATGTTTGACAAATAAAATTGTAATTTTTACTCTTATGTTAAAGCTTTTGATCTTAATTTCTGACTAAAAATTATGTTATTTAATACTTTTATTTATAAATATTAATAATAATAATATACTTATTTAAATTATACCAATTGAACTGTATTTCCTTTTATATACTATAATATAATTTTAAACCAAACCGTTTAAAAACTTAATACAATTTTGTTTATTATTTAATATTATACATTATATTCCTCTATACTTGTCATACAATAATAGATTTTTAATGAATTTATATCTTATAATAATTATTACAAACTGAAAACAAATTGCTAACAAATTTTAAAACTATGTTAAAGTTGTAACAGTAATTTTTAGTAATTACTAAATGCACTAATAAATTTGAAAAATATATAGTTAAAAAATTTAAAGTTAAAAATAATATAATAGTTTACTTTATACATACCGGTACTGTACAGTATATACAAACAGTGTACATATTTACCATTTCAATATAGATTATTATTTTTAAATAATTAACATTTTTATAACAGACACTTTTTATTTTTTATAATTAACTTTTCATATCATAAATAATTAAAGTTCAGTAAAATAATATTTTAAATATTTCTAGTTTAGTTACTATATTAAATTTAATTAACATTAATAAATAATAACAGTTATAAATTTACAATTATTTATATATTGAAAGTTTATTAATTTCACGTTTCACATAATTGGCATAGTTTTGGTCAACTTTTGCTAACTGTGCTAACATTCTATCTATAATAAACTGTTGTATACCAGTCATAGAAATTGCTAAATTTTTGTGCAAATTTTTTCGGTAACTTTTCGGTAAACTATAATATAATTGTCGGGCCTGACTGTAGTTATGGTCATTGCTATCGTCGTAACGAAAAACTTTAGTTGTCTTTATGGTAAACGGAGGCTCAAGATATACAGGATTATCGGTGATCAATGAAAATGAATTGGGATAATAGTTAGGCAAACCATCAAAATTATTGTCAACTCTCATCTGACCATCTCTTAGTGTGGGAGTTATGGCACCATTGATTGGCTCATTTACTGGTATTAGCTGATGGTTTGATCCTAAGCTAATGATATCAAAATTGGCAAAATATTAAAATTTTTAGCAATAACTAATTTTTATATTAAATGAAATAAATTATTAAATACCGATATCTTTGAGTATCTGAATATGAGAACAGTCTTCCCATTAGCATTCTGTCGGGTGACGGCTCAATACCATCGACCAAATTGGACGGACAGAAAGCTAACTGTTCTGTTTCGGCAAAAAAGTTATCGACATTTCTGTCGAGTGTCATAACTCCCACATCAATGAAGGGAAACCTGTCTTCAGGCCAATACTGTTCATTCAACAAACAAATAAATATATTATTAAATTTGTGTTTTAAACAACAAAAATACTAAAAAAATAAATTAAAACAAAACAAACTTTTGTTGCATCAAAAGCGTTAAACTCTAAATTGTCGACATCTTTTTGATTCATGACTTGTATTTTTAATGTCCATTTAGGATATCTATGATTAGTTATGGCATCAAACAGGTCCTGTCGGGCATAATCTGGATTTACACCTATTTAATATGTTTGACATGTTTTCAGATGAAATTAACAATTTATTTTATTTATAGAAAAAAGTGTTTGACTACCTCTAAGATAAGCAGCTGTATCTATATCCAGATTATCTATACCCTGGTGTGGATACCAATGAAATTTAGCGAAAACATGTTTGTTATGTGAATTAACTAATTTAAACGCATTTATACTAAAACCAGGCATATGTCTGAAACCATTAGGTATACCAAAGTCACTGAATACATAAGTAATCAAATTAAGAGTTTCTGAACGCAATGAATTGAAATCCCAAACACTGTTTTGATCCCTAAGTCCTGTCCGAGGATTTGGTTTGTTTGCGTGAATGAATGCCGGGAACTGTGATGCGTCACGAATAGCAAAAATGGGAACATTATTACCGACTAAATCCCAAACACCCTCTTCTGTATAGAACTTAACGGCAAATCCACGCATTTCACCGAAAACAGTGTCAGCACTGCCTCTCTCGCCCGTTACCGATGAGAACCTGACCGCTACGGGAGTCTCTTTGTCGACGTCGGCAAATAACGATGCTTTGCAGTACTGAATAATGTGATCGTTGGTCACCCGAAAGTGGCCAAACGCTGCGCTACCTTTTGCGTGGACAACCCTTTCGGGAATCCTTTCTCGACCAAAGTGTTGCAATTCTTGCATTAATTTGATTTCACGCAATAGTACTGAACTTCTGTCTTCAACTTTTATCTGACTATTCATTAACCGTTCAAATGACACATCTTCTTCTTCTTCTTCTTTTTCTTCCTTTGAAATGTCAAAAACATTAATAATTAAGTAATAAAAATCATTATAAAAACCATAATACCATTGAATGAATTGAATGAATTGACTGATTTTGCACTTTATTAAACATTATATCAATATAATCATGTGTTTTAATGATCTTAACTATCATAACAATAATAAACAAATTAAAATAATGAATTAATAAAAATTGCATTTTATATAAATTTAAATAATAGAAACTATATAATTAAAGTTTATATTAAATATAATACAATTTAATACAATATAAGTTATATCATTATAATATACAGTATATTACTTATCGTGTATTACTTTCATTAGAAGTAAAAGTGTTGGAAATATAAAAAATAAAAATAATTTAATTATTTTTTGCAGTTTATTGTTAACGTTATTTCGTTTTGAAGGATAAACATAATTAAAATTAAAGATATAATTGAAGCGAAAACAATTTTTTTAGTTTAGTTGTTTATATATTAAAAAAATATTTAATTATGTATCATATTTATCAGTAAATTAGTAAAAATATTATACATGTTTACAAAACAATTTAATTATTTGATTATTATTGTATAATTTTTCTATTATATGCAAAATTATCATATTTTACAATATTTCGTTATACTGACTATAAATAAAATCAAATTTATGAGTTTTAAAAGTTGTTGTATAATAATTAGATAATTTAATAAATATAATCATATTCTAAATTGTTATAATTTTAAATTAAATTAAAATTAATTTTTTAAAAGGTATGTATTTTTAAATAAATTTTAAATTACTTTTAACATGCAAATTAAATTGATTTTTTACTTTTATAATTTATAAAGTATATATATATTTGGATTATATAAATATTAGATATATTTTTAGATTATTATAATATTATATTGAAATGACAAATAATATTAAACTCAAAATGAATAATTAAAAATTCTAAGTGCATATTCTTTAAAATAATTAATTGAAAGTATTTATATATAATATTTATTAATTATACTTTTCTATTCAAACAATTTTCGAGTTTCAATAATTATTATCAAATAATATTAAAACAAAAATTTAAATCATTAATTAATTTATATTTAATCACTTATTTTTGACAATTATAATAAAATCAAGCAATTATATAAAAAATAAAGGGTATTTAACATTATTACAGTATTTATTATTAATATTTTATATTAGTTATTTTATAAAATAAACTAATTTTTATAATATAAAATACATTTAATAGTAATTTTATTTTACATTATATTATAAATATTTATGGAAACAAATAAATTATTAAAGATCTGTTATGTATTGCTAAAAGTCACGAAATAATTGAAATAATAAATTATAGAATATTCTTATAGTATTTAAAATACTTGATATTAATATACAGTAATGTTATTGTACTTATTATATGTGTAAATTTATATACAGGTATTTATACAGATATATCTTTTATGAAAACACATGAGTGTCATAGTATTTGAATCAACAATGAAGTACAACAATGATAACAAATTCAATGCAAAACATATATTGCCGACAGAGATGAGGAACAGTGGGTCGGGAACTCATTTCTACAGAATAGGACTTTCATTGGATGTGTGCGATAATGTCCACAGAAATCAATGGCGAAAACCAATGTATATATTAGTGTTTGAAATATATTTTGTTTGTCGCGCTGTTTGTCTACTTATTTTACACCAAAGAAGTGAATTATTTTACAAAATATTAGGTGATTTTGGATACACTTTTGGCACAAGTCTTCACTTTAATTTGACAGTCATTTTCTCAATTTTGCTGACAATTTCATCTCATTTATTGAACATTTATAATCACAAGTATCACATCCGACCGACTTATATGAATGTCTTCAATATGATGGCCGGATTTATGACACCTAAAGATATTGGTCTTAAAAATAAAGAAATTATTTGGAAAATTATAAGTCGGACACAAGTGTTGTTTAAAATTGGTGATTATATTCCCATCTCATTGAGTACCACTATATTTTGTATTAATTTATTAGCATTTTTCTGGAGCTCATCACTACTTGAATTAGTTATATTTATTATACCAAATTGTATCCTATGGTATATGATTGTTAATATAGTCTATAGTATAATATTTTGGCAATTAATCTATTTTTATTTGATTGCATTTTATTTACAATTAAAGTTAAAAGAAACGAATAATAAAGTATTAGCATTTTTGGATAATATTAAAGATAATAATTATAACAAACATTTAAATTTGATAAAACTAGTGGTGAAATACAATAAAATGTATGATGAGATCAGGGAGTATGACATAACCTATTGGTCCAAATTTTTGCTGTTTATTTGGTTAACTTGTGCCACAATTATTAGTACCATTTCATTCTTCATTATATTTGGTGAAATGCCTTTTATTATTAGACTATTTTGTCTTTATTTCGATATATTTTATATATGTTTATTATTATTGCTTATTAAAACATGTGCCACACTATATAATGAGGCAAATTATTCCTATAAACTATTCAATAGTCTTATGGTTTTATCAAATATGAATAAAATGATTCATGGCTTCAAAGTATTTAATTTTTTTTTTAATTTTCAAATATTAATAAATTAAATCAATTATGAATTCAGTTATTAGGTCTAATTGAGCGCATAGGTGGGTACCAAATAGGGTTTACGTGCGGTAATATTTTTATTATCAACAATTTAAGAGGAGTTGAAGTTTGTATAAGATTTTTAATAATTTATTTAAAATAATAATAACAAAATAGCATTTGATATTTTTATTGATAAATAGACATCTATTGATATGTTAATTTTGATTATTATTACAGATTATATTGCTTTCGATAACATTTTGTTTAAAGTTTATATCTGCCCGACTAATAATCAATGAGAGAAGTCAATAAAATTTATTAACTAATAATAAAATTGTTAAAAACTAATATTAAATAAATAATAATTTGTAAAAAAAAGTTTTATAACAATTTTTTTTTATTATTTAAATCAATAACACTAATTCATTGAAATAAATATAATTTTAAAAATTAAAAATATGTTATTATTTGTACAACAAATTATTATATAATTTTGAAATCAATGAAAATTTTCATATAAAAAGATATCAGTTGTCGACCTATCAGAAGTGATATCATTATTATCATAAGGTTTATCTTTTTTAATGTTTTTGTTATCTGTTTTACTCCAATCAAAATCCCAACTAAACTCTTCAGTAGTCGATGAAGTGGTCATTGGGTTGTGAGCCGTCATATCATTTATTTGTTGACTTTCATTAGGCAGATAAGGTTTATGTGTTTTAAATGGTTTATTAGTACTTTTATTTAGATTAGATGATGATTTTGTTGGTTTATTTGAATTGTTTGGTTTACTAGTTTTATCAGTTTTATTAGGTTTATATGGTTTCTGGTTTGGTTTAAAAGGTTCAAAAGGATCCAGTGATTCAATTGGATCTAATTGATGATCAACTGAGATAATTGTATTTTCTTGTTTAATTGGTTTTAATGGTTTATGTGGTTTATGTGGAGGTTTTCCCCAAATATTACACCAAATGCCGGTACACTCGCGTTCCGGTTCCACTGTTGTTGGCGGAGACTTTGAGGCTTTAGTACCTTTAGTACCTTTAGTAGCCTTAGTAGCTTTAGTAGGCTTAGTAGGCTTAGTTGGCTTAGTTGGCTTAGTTGGCTTAGTAGGTATAATTGTAGTTATGGTTGTTTCAATCGTTGTTGGAGGTGCAGTAATTGGCGCAATAACTACTGTTGTGGGAACATCATTATCATTAATATCTACCACTTCATCTACCACTTCAATTGGTTGTATAGTTGTCGGCTCTATAGTTAAAGGACTAAGAGGTGTTGTGGGAACATTGTCTTCATTTTCATTTATATCTATTGGTTCAGTTGTTGATGGGGTTTCAGTTGTAGTAGTTGTCGGCTCATCAGTTGTCGGTACTTCTGTAGAAACGGGTGCTACTGTTGTGGTGGGCATTTGAGTAGTGGGTTCTATGATTTCTGTGTCATCATTGTTAGCAATGGTTACTTTAGTTGTCGGATCAGTTGTCTGAGCCGCTGTTAATGGCGCTATAGTAGTTTGAGGTATAGTTGTTGGAGATTGAGTTGTAGGCTCTAAAGTGGTGGGTGCTGTTGTTGTTGGTGGTGTTTGTGTTGTGGGGGCTTTCGTATTTGGCGGTTCTGGATCAGGTCCTTCAGTTGTTGGCTCTACTGTTTCTGCAGGTGATTGTGGAGTCGGGGATGGTTTCGGCGAATTAGACGCTGAGTCCATCCCTGCATTAGTATTAGTATCGTTCGGTTGTTTTGTTGGTAACACACCATTGGGACTATTAAGCCAAACATTACCTCCATTACCGCCATTTCCCCCATTGCCACCGGCACCACCAGTTCCTCCTCCTTCAGCATTACCTCCTGGGCCACCCCAACCTCCAGCTCCCCCATTGCCTATCCATTGATTTGTTCCATTAGGTCTAACAATATTTTGTTTCATTGTGACACCCAATGACACGCAAGTGACAAAAAATAAAATAAACTTCATTTTTATTATTTATAATAAACTTTATTTTATTTTATTTTTGTTCACTAATATAAAATAAATAGTTTGCAACACATTTATACTAATTAATAAAACATTTAATAAACTCTTTTTTAATTTTGCAGTTTTAAAAAAATTATTTTAATGACATATTTTGTGAGTAAATTTTTATTTATAAAGTAATCACTTCATACATCTGTAAGCTTTTATGGATCAAATCTAATAGTTATGAATGTTTAATGTTTCAGACATAACTATATCAGATATTGATATCTATAGTAACTTATTTGGTATATTTCAAATAACTATAGTTTTAATATCTGATTGTTAAAAATTATTTTAAGCTATAATTTTTAAAGAAATGATTTTAATAAAAAACTTATTAAAGTTAGAATTTATTATTAATTATAAAAATTATTTTTGTTATTTGAGAATAAACGCATATAAATAATCAAAACATTGCTGATTATAATATATAGATTCTCATTGAATAATATTATTCTTTAAATTATAATATATTTTTAAACACTTGTGCTCTACTTGTAAGCATATATTTCCATTGAAATGTGTTAACAAATTTCCGTAACATTAACTTTAATGTTAGCATTAGTGAAAAATTTAAATTACGTTAAATTGTAACAAAAAAAAATCTGATTAATGTTTAATAAAATAATTAGTTTTTGCAATCTCATGTCAAGTTATAAAAAGTTAACTCAAAAAATGCGTTTAGTATTTTTGCCATTAGTTTTTGTTATCATAAATTATTTGCCATTTATATCATCGACACTAAAGAGCTCAAACATTGGTCAGTAATGTAAATGCACTTTAATATTAATAATAATTTATTTTTGAAACTTTTAATTTGAAAAATATACTCAATTGTAATTTAGGTTTAACACAATTATTGACAGTAAAGGCAACATTCAATACATGTTTCAAATGTAATGTCGACTCTCATGTGTCAATGATATTGGACTCGACTTCTGTAGATTCAATTGACATGACATGCAATGGCTTTGTATACAATCAGATGTCTTATTATTATAAAGTTTTTATTGATAATAACCCACAACTGTTGACAATCAATCAATTGCACAGTTTTTCTGCATTTTTAAACGGTTTGATGAAATATTATTAAATGAATTTGAGATAAATGATTGTTTGTGACAAATACAGGTAATATGGTGTCGGTATGGAATGGATTCATATCCAACGGCACCTGTGCTGGTGATTACATCTATTCAGTTGTCTTTTCTAAAGCTGAAAATCAAAACGGATGTAATGGTGATCAAGGAGTCCGACAACTGTCGGTTATTTGGGATATGTTTCAGATTATAGGCAAATGTGACTCATTATGCTATGGCAAGGGATTCACAACATTAAGACCAGCCATAAGTAATAAAGGAATTGTTGAATATAAAGATATTTATTCTGATAACCAGTATTTTAGTTAATAATTGTTATCTTTTTTTAATTATTTAATTGTAATATAATATATACATTGAATTATAATAATTTACAAGTTTTCTAAATAATGTAATATAATAAGTCATAATTTTATACATTTATTATATTTATGTTATTTATGTTATGTAATTTAAAAATGTTTGTAAAATATTTATTTAAAACATTTATCAAATAGTGATTTGATATTTGAAATATGTTTAGTAAATCAATTAATTCATTACTAATGTAATACTAATGATTCATTAGTACTTCCATAAGAAACTAATAATACTGTAATAAATGCATTAAAGATTCAATTTATTTATTAATGCTAATATTTTATTTTAAAAGTTATAACTTATATAACTATATATTCAACTAACATAAATTCAAATATATTTATTTTATCAAATTATCACTATTGATTTAATAATCAATTGTCTTGTATAATTTCATATAACTAATTAATAATTTAATTAATTCAATATTTCTTTTTATTTAAATTTAATAGCTTTAATAATTACATGTCATTAAAAAATATATTTTTTTGAAAATAAATGTGTTTTACTTATAATATTAAAGTTATAAAATTAAGAGTAAGAACAAAGAATTTAAACAATTTTTGACATTTGTTTTATTGAATGTAAAAACTATAAACAGAAAGAATCAGAGAATCAATGGATGAAATGAGAGACCAATAAATAGATGACATATTTAGATCTGAATGTATCTCTCAGTCATCTTCAAACTGATCTAACCTTTTATGTTTAGGTTAGCCCTCAGGAGGTGGTGGTTGAGTGCTTTCGCCTTCGCCTTCTTTGGATGAGAACTCGAGTTCATTGAAAGACCTGATTCTTGGCAGTTGTTTCTCCTCTTCGGTAAGTTTTTCGATGTTCTTTCTGTGAGTGAGAACCAACAGTATGGAAATACCTGCCTCTTTGGCGGCGCGCGCCTCTTCACCCGATTTGGTCATAAAGAGACACTCCTCCGGTTTGGCCTTCAGTTTGGTCAACAATTTGGTGAACGTTTCCTTGTTGTTGAGCTGTCCCTCAGTGTTGTCGAAATGACCATCAATAAGAAGGTTGAGGTCGCCGTGAGTAGTCTTTGAGAGAGCCTTTTTAGTGAACTCAGTCCAACCATTGCTCAGCACATACAGCTTGACATCCATATCCTTCCATTTTCTCGCCTGAATTGGTACATCCGAATAGACCGGTGTCTCCAACTTTCCCTTTTCGAAGCCATAGAACCACATATGAAACTTAAACATCTGAAGACCTTTCGACTCTTTTTTTGAGTCAACCGCAGCCAACACATAGTTGGCCACTGAATCGTGTTGTTCTGCTTCGGGTGCGTTGGCCGCCGCAATCTTGACTCCACTTTCATCTTTTTCGGACTCCTTTCTCATTCTTTCGATGTCTCTCTTTGTGTTTTTATCCGTCCATTTCTCTTCCAAATACGCTTTGATGTCAGACTTGATATATGGGATGAGAATTTTCTCAATGAATCCCAATTTGACGGCCGTTCCGATCACATCCATGATAATGACCTTTGGCTTCTGTAGCTTTAGCTGAACCATAGCTCGATAGTTGACCACTGAATGATATATCACTTATAGATTGATTTTGTTAATCAATATAATTCTGTTGATATTTATTGTCGATTACAGTTATAAATAAATTTTTAAACTAATTTATTCTATTATTGCAAAACGCGTGTTTGTGACACGCGTTTGTGACACGCGTTTGTTTTTGGCCGGATTCCTAAATATGGACTTCGTTTTGATATTTTGCAATACAACAGTGTATTAAATACAATGATTATATTATGTGGGCGTGAATTAACTCAAATTTATTTATTTATTTTAAGTTATAGACTAATATCTATCATATTTTTAGTTATTTCCATTATCTACTATTTCATCCATCCCTTGCCTTATCCCTCACAAAACCAACCCACACACCACTTCCTAACCTCACACCCCACTAAACCCCACCACCACCTAAACTAAACCAAACAGGGATATTACAAGGCATTTATGCACTATAAAAACGAAGCCCATATACAGGAGATAAGTCGAGTAATGAAATTAAAATTAATTGTAATGAAAACATACATTTAAAAATGACAATCAATGTAATCAAAATTAATTTTTGACATTTCATTATAAAAATATTAAAATATGAAAAGTGTTGATTTTAGTTAATTATTAATTGGCAACAAATTATTAGTATAAAAAACATTATATTGAATTTATTTGTAACTTACAGGTATGAGATAACAAATTAAGATATTTAATATAATTGCATTATTCAAAGTGTATTTATTTAATTGTCAAAATATAATATTATTTTAATTGGTTATGATTTTCATATTTTGATACAAAAATGTGTAAAATAGAAGAAGTGATAAGTAGTAAACCGGAACAAATAAAAATTAATGAAAATGAACCGGTTGTGTCATATAGGGCACCGGCTAATGGAGGACCCAATATTGATGACATGCCTCGAAAGCAACTGATTAATCCAAATGTTGTGGACAGACATTCAATTCCCATTAGATCTACTAATATGATTGAAGTCAATGACATGTAAGAGGCTTTTAATAATAAAAATATTAATTAATAAATTAAATTTAAACTAAATTTTCAATTGACATACAGATAAACAAACCAAATAATATACAATCAATAAGTAAAATCAGATATTGATTCCAAAGAGGTATCAAAATAGTGACAAAACCGGCAATAAAAAGGCAACAATTGTTTATTGTAAGCGCCGTTATAGTCAATCCACAGATCTGTTTGTTTGAAATTTTATCACTAATCCAACCAAACAATAGTCTTCCCAAAACATTTGATATGCCAATAGCTGACACTAACATTGCCGACTGTCCTGAAGTTACCGGTTCATTACCATCTAATTATAATTTAATTAAAATCATTGAAATGTTTTAAATAACAAATTTAGTTAGATTACCACTAATAGTCATAGCGTATTGTGTAATATAGACAAAAGGTATGTAATAGCCAGTCATCCCAAAAATATTGGCCACAACTAGTAATACCATAACTGGCTGTTTCAGTACAGATAAATCAAATATTGTTAAAATAAGATTTTGTTTGTCATTATTTTGTTTGTTTGTAATTTTGTATTGTTTGTCATTATCCCAATTTTCCATGTCTTTCATCTCATAAAACATGGATTCACTGGCGATCGACAGTTTTTGTGCATATTTAGCATCAATTGAGTGGCGATTATTATTAATGAAAACACCACTCAAATTGCCGTTTGATTCAGATTTAATATTATGAGTACTTCCCGAGTAAAAGATGTCTTTTCTGGTCATTGGCGGCACTATTATAGATCTTTGGGATGAATGTATACTTTGTCTTTTGTGGAGAACCTGTGGTAATAGCTCTTCAAGAACTGGCGGACGGATTTCAGATTTGGATCGTATCTTATTTTGCTTAGAATTAACTGAAATATAATTAATATCTAAATTGTTGGACTCATGGACTTCAATATAATCAAAATCTGTCGTTAAATTAACTCCCGATTCTCTACTATTAATTGCTTTATTTTCTAGGAGATGGTCATCCAATTGATTGATCACAATATTAAGTGGTCTCATGAGTGCTCCATAGACAGCACAGTTAAGTATAAGACCTGCGGCAAAGTTTAGTTTATATTTTTATTAATTTTATTATAAACAAAATACCTGATAATATAATTATAGCATTTTGCCAATCGTAGATTGATAATAGCCATTGACATAACGGTGCAAACAGAAAAGCACCCATACCTGAACCACAAACAGCTATACCTGTATTGAAAATATATCCTCAATTCATTTATTGATTAATAATTTTTGTGATATTTGTTAAGTAATAGCGACAAACCCGTAGCAAAGGCTCGTTTTGTTGTAAAATAATAGCCGACTGTCACTATCGCCGGTAAATAAATTAATCCGAATCCGATTCCCGCTTTTGAATTAAAAAATGTAAACTTTTTTTTGCTAAATTAAATAATAAAAAGTTTTGTTTAATTTATGAAAAATCTAACCTATCATTCCGTAAGTGATGAGCAAAATGAATATATTTGGAGCTAATGTCGATGTAATGAATGCCAGACATGATATAATGCTACCAATTATTGTAATGGGACGACACCCGTATCTATTTGTTAGGCCGCTAACAAATACTCCTAAAATTATTGTTAAAATTATATTTTATTATTTTGTATTATTTTATAAATATAAATAAATGTTTTCTAAAGTGTAATTTTGTTTTCTTATATATTTTATTGCTATAATCTATTTATACATGAAATGTGTTTGAAATTTTTATACTTTTTTGAGTTATTTGAGTACAAAAATTTAGTATTAATATTAAATGATGAGACACTAAATTATTATGATAATTTAAAATATATTGTGATTCATTATTTTTGTTAGATTTAACACTTTATAACAACATAAACAAAATGATTTTAAATTATAAAAATCAGTTGATATTTTATTGATTTCTTTTATTTACACTTTTATTTAATATAAATATTTGTTGTATTTTGCTTAAAATAAATCTAAAAATACTTAATTTTTAAGATAACGCATAAATATTTATGAGTTAATGTCTAATTGTAGTCAAAGTACAAAAATAGATACAATAATATTAAAGATAAGCATATTATCAACTTATAAGTTATTAATTGATAGGCAATTAATACAATTGAGTATTAATTATATGCGATTATAAAGTTTATAATATAATCGTAAATTTATAAAAATATAAGTCAAACCTGCAGTCATATAACAACCGCTTAGTAGAGAACCGGCTAATGCTGTCATCGCTTTACTTGAACCATAAGAATCAACAAAATGATTGAAAAACAGTCCAAATGTATAACAAATGCCATCAACAGTGAGATTACAGCAAAAAGATGCCAACACTATAACCCAACCATAGCCACCATCCGGTGCCCAATCATTGATTGTCTTCTCACTACTGCTTACTTTTGAACCATTTGTTAGCATCTCTTCGGGAATTGCATTCAAACTAACATAAGGTTGAGATGCGTGTGATATCTATAATGCATTTCTCAAACATATTATTTTTATTTTATTCAAACACTTTATAAATGATTTTTATAGAAAAAACAAGAATCATATCATATAATTTATTTATATTTATTGTGTTGAAAAAATGGGTTTTGCTTGTAATATAATAAATAAAACAAATAGTATTAATGTTGTACAATCTTTGTATTTTAGAAAATTAATGGGAATTTTACCTAAAATTATAACAAAATTTACACTTATATTTCATTTTTATTCAGATTGATATTTTCTGATAAAAGATTATAATACAAATACCACATATATAATTGTTTTTTTTTAGTTTTAATTTCTGGTATATTAAATTTAAAATTATTTATAGAAAATAATTAGCTAAATAATAATTATAATAAAATATCTAATTTACTAATAACCAATAAATTTAACGATTAATCACTTATAATAACGATCATAATAAAAATAAAACAAGATAATAGATTAAAAATTATCAAAAATTAAATTTTATGTAATATTGTATTGTATTTATATATTGTTTGGGTAGATTTACATAGAATTATAATGTATTTAATAATATCATACATTATTATATATGGTTTACATTGTTAAACATTATGTAAAAATAGATAAATTTTTACATATTGTATTTTTAATTTTTGTAACTTTATTGAGAATTTTTTTTGCTAAATCTCTATTTATCAACGCTACAGATAATACATAATATAAATCTAATATATGATTAAACAATTGAATGTGTGCTTATAAATAAATAAAAACATTTGTTATTGTTTATTAATAAATACATATTATTTATATATATTTACTAACCAAATATAAAGTATTGGTATACAACTGGTAGACTATAATTTTATTCAAATAATTATTACAATAAATTTAATGTAATTGTAAGTAAATTTCTGCTTTTATTGAGTTACTAAGATTCAGTTTGAGTGAAACATTATGTTTATAAATATATAATTATTATACAAATATTAATATTAAAATAAATAAATAAAAAAATAAATGAATGAATTGACCCAACCTTTCTAATCCTTTGAGTTGAAGGCGGTATTAAAATATTATTTTTATAATCATTGATATTTGCATCAATCGGATCTATACTATTCATAGGTAGACTGTGGCGTCTATCCATTTTTGTTATTATTATTATTTTAAAAATAAATTATTAATTATAATAAAAGTTTTCACTTTCAATTTTTGATAAAATATTAAAATTATATGCACTTGAAAAAATTTTTAATTTCCCAGTTCAATATATTCTATTAATAATACAATTGTAAATTGTATATCTATCATAATTCACAATACTTATAATTTGTTTGTTTAGTTAAAACTCTCAACAAGTTATATAAATTTATATAAAACCACTTGTAATTTAGTATCATTTAAATTATTATACTCTTATAATAAAAGTTAACGATAACAAACAAAAATAAATATTAGACAATGAATTGAAAAAAAATGTTTGCAATTAAGTAATTGATAATCATTTTATTTGATCGCTTTGTTCTTATCATCAAATATTTGCTTTAATTTACTCAACAGTTAACTGTTATTACATACAGTATATTGACTGTGTGTTCACTTGCAAGTTGTAACTAATAATCAAACAAATATATAAATAAAATTGTTTATAAATATTCAATTATTATTATTACTGTTGTATGTATTATTGATAATTTATATATATTTTTATTTGACAATTATAATGTTGATAAAACCGCTAATATAATATTTAATAGTTATTATTTGATGCAACATAAACATAAAGTATTATTATTGAAATATTCCAATTTTAATCGTAAAAAATATTTAAAAAATTATTAAAGCTTAACACAAGTACATACAGTATACCCAATGAACTAACTTAAAAGTAATGATTTTGTTTTTAATAATAATGTCTTTTATGACTGATTATTTAATCACTGCAATGGATTGAGTTAAAAAAACTACTTTTTTAAAAACATTTTTTTAAATTTATGTTGTGATAAATCAATTTATTGTCTATTTCATTACAAATTAACATTTTAATCAAAACATATAATTAAATAAATTTTTAATCAAAAATAAGTTAATATTTGGAATTAATTATAAAAAAATGAAAAATAACTACAAACTAATATTTATTGATTTATAAATTACATTACAATTTACATATTATATTTTGTTAAAATCATGATAAAATTTTTTAAACATTTTGTTTAATATAACTAAATGTCAAATTTTAAATTAAATAAAAATTTCATAACTAGATTATATTTTTTATATGGAGTAAAAACGTATATTTTATCAAATTATTGATATAATATACCAGTAAATAAAAAAATAATTGTATCTCAGCTGAAATACTTGACGGTTAGTTAAAACCAGTAATTATGATTACTTTAAAACAAATACATAATTGTTTCGATAGCGGCCATAAATAATTTTAAATTTCTGTATTTTTTTAATAAATAGAAAACTTGATTTAAATGATTATAAATAATATTTTATATGTATTTCTAAGTATATTTTAGACATTTAAACTGTATATTTATTAATATTTGAATTAAATTAATTTACTAATTAAATTAATTAAATTTTAATATAAAGTAGAACCTGAAATGTTTTGATCACTATAAATATTACAAATGTTATTATGCTATTTAATGATAAACATTGACAGGAATTTCAATATCTTATATATTGAAGGCTGAATAAAATACTAATCGATTAATTGTAAGATAATTATAGTTAGTAATTGCCTTATAGGTTGAAATTATTAAATTTAAAATTTTGTGATTACATTTAATTATATTGATTGATTTACATTATTAGATTTTATAAGCTGATTTTCAAAATAAAAGTAAACAATAATTATTAAAAAAACAGCATAAAAAATTTAACGATAAATATAATTAAATTAACCAGATATTACATTTCAATAATAACAACAATAATTATACTTAATAAGTAACATTTATCATATTAACAAGTTTTAATAATTTATCATTTAAAAAGTTTTCTTGAGTAGTTAAATCTTTTTTTTATTAAAATTAAATTATTATTTATATAAAAGTTATAAAACTTTTTATACTGTATCTACTGATAAACCAAATACTTACTGAATTATAAGTCACAATTTGTAATATAACTTTATAACATACATTACATTGAAACTTACAAATATATTTATTTATATATTTTTATTAAAGATTTCTATACAGGAGCTGTCAGTTAGAATTTATGGAAAATAGAGTTAGAGTAAACCTAAAGAGAAATTAAAAAAAATAATTAAAAAAATCTATAATATTATTAAAGAAAATTTCTTTATATGAGATCCCGATTTTAAATTTGTTTTATCAATATTTTTTATTAGATAATATTATTAGTTATATTTTAATTTTTTAATAATATATATTAAAAGTAAACAAAAGAAATATTTTGTGTGTATATTTTCTAAGTCTTTGTCATCAAATATAATTATATTATTATTGATATTATAGAAAATTAAAATTGTTAATAATAATAAATTACATAAATTATTGATATCTAAGTTGTAATGTAGGGTTTAATCTTTTAATTATACTGTATTACATATTGGCATCGCATAGTAAAATAATAAAGTAAAATTTCTATTAAATTTTATTCTTAAGAAATTATTCAAAAGAAATTTTCTTATGGAAATTTATATGTAATTTCTGCTGATCTCTTCAATAACTTACTAGTGATATAAAAAATAATTAATAATATTATGTAATTTTTGCTCATCAATTGACTCATGTGCTAATCAAAGCGTATAATAATTTAATTATAAGTATATAATTTATAAATCATTTTGTAAGGAACAACACCTGTGATGTAAATATAGTGTCAAAAATAAATAATAATCTTATGTAACACTATTCATACTTTGTCTGTATAATACTGTAGTTATACTGTATATTATGATATATATATACATTTTTTGACAAACAGTATCAGTATTAGTATACATACTGTTATACTAAATTCAGTGATATTACTCCAACAAAAATGTATTTAATACTACATTTAATATAGTATGTAATAATAAAAATATAGTTTTATTATAGTTAACATTTTAATTAAGATATAAACTAAACCAAAATAAACATTTGCCAATTATTATTGATAATTGAAGATTGATAACAACAACAAATATTACTTTTAGTGATGTAATTAATTTTTATTATATTTATACAAATTATATTCATCACTTTGTAAATAAACTTTCATTTATTTGCATATATACTAATTTATTTGTATATTAACTGTATTGTATAATAAATTTTTAAAACAAAAATAGTGATACTAAATAAATAATGAGAGTTTAATTTTGAATGAATATATAAACATACAATAATTTTGATACTTATTGTATGAAAAGATATATTTAGTTGTATTGGAAATTTATTACATAACATTAATGAATTTTATAATAGAAATTGTCAAAATACAAAATATTATTTATTAATAAACTAAAAACAATAAAACTATAATTAAAATTTTATTTATTTATATTTTTTGATATTTCAAAATTTATTTTTATTAAGTTAACAAAAATAACAAAAAAGCATTTAAACATTAAATAAATATTAAATACATACATTAGATTCTAATATATTATATATATATATTTGCTTTTATAATAGTATATCACTTAAACACTTAACAGTATGAATTTATAAATTTTAATATTTATATTAACATTTAAATTGTAACATTAATTTTGCAAACTATGTAATTAAGTTAAATAAAAATGTCTTAATTGGCCATGCTCACATTATTCACTATATGAGAAACATATACTGCTTTTGGACATAATTTTTATTTAACTTTATTTGAAATTTGGTTATTTAAATGTAAACACATCATCGCTTTATCTTATAAAACAAATTGAAATAACACAATATTTATTATTTAATAATATTTATGTATACATCAACAAAATAACAAATAATTCAGTTTCACATTACATATATTTTAAAATATGTATCGATTTCACTATTTAAGCAAATTAAAAATTTAAATAATAATAAACACAATAAATATAATTTATATTTTACTGTTTATATTATAAAATAAGAGGCGCGTTGTTTGATTGTTTTTATTATTTTTTGATATAATTTAGTTTACAATAATATCTAGAAAACAATTAGGATATCTATTAATATCTGATACCCTCCCCATTAAACGGTGACTTTTTGCTTATCGCTTGATTATCCAATGATTTATTGTCATTAATTGAGGCCGAAATTGAATCAACAAATTCATCGTTTAAGTTATTGTCATCAGAATTGTCGTTTGATTTCTTAAATCTGATCCCTTCGTCATTAAAGGGACTCTTCTTGTATCTGATGCCCTCATTAGCAAAGGCGTGACCAGACTTCTTGAATCTGATGCCCTCATCATTAAAGGGACTCTTCTTATATCTGATACCTTCACTATTAAACGGAGTTTTCTTAAAACGAATGCCTTCTCCTCTAAACTTAGACTTCTTGTCCCGAATTTCTGTTTCAATCAATTTATTATTAATTTTATAATAATAATCATAATCTATAAATTTATTTACAAGTATTAATTAATAAATATATTGTAAAAGTAATAATAATATTTATTAATTTTTATTATATCAAATGCAAAGTTTATAAATAATTTTTTATTTTATTTATATAACATTATAGTTCAATAATTTATAACTTAATTTATATTTTTTTAATTTTGATAATAAATATTAACTATAATCACATTTTATTCATATTTGATACTTTCTAATGTGATAACAAGTTATAGCAATTAAAACGTATAAAAATTAAGTCTTAATCGCATACATTCAACAATCGATGAAAAAATAATTGAATTGATATATTGTTTTAATGTGAAAACAAGACAAACTTATTTTTATATGGCTTATAGTTATAGGCAATTCTAAAATAACTATTAAAGTATCCAATGAATCAATTTTTAAAAAATATTTTAATTAAAATAAATATCATTAAAGTTCAGTTTAGATTCAGATTAATCTAATTTTGTTTACTTCATAATTTATGAGTAGAGTTGAGGTAATAGAAAATTTTTAGTAAATTTAACATGAATAAATTTCTATAGAAATTTTACTTTATTATCATACTATGCGATCCCTATATCTATAGCTATTGTAATACTATAAATATTTAATATATTAATGAAACAATACTATTGATATATACTGTATACACACATGTACTGTACATACAAATGGGATTCCTATATATAAAATTGTGGTTTTGTAGTTTTTTTAATTTTAATGTAATAAAAAAAGATTAATTTTTATTTAAATTAAAATTAAATTGAAACTTATTTTAATTAAAATAATAATAATAATAATTTGCTATTATTTGTAATCAAAATTTATTATTAAATTTAACTAATATCAAAAGAACAAAATTAACATTAACCCCCCAATAGACAGAAATATCTTTTAGAAATTTTCTAGAAATTTCTATTATTTTATAAATTTCTCTTTTTGCAAACACTATTAATGAGTCATTAATATGTTTACTGAAAAAATTGTATCTAAAACGAGAAAAATATGGTCAACTTATATCTCTTTAAATGTGTAATTTAAAAAATCCGATTAATTGATTAATGGATTAATGACTACTAGAGTACTGTTAAACCTAATCCAACAGTACTACCAAACCTAATCTAACAGATCTAGATATTACCCCATTTTAGCCTAACTAACTAACCTTTTTTATAAATATATTAATTAATTTTTTATATATTTAGTTTTTATCACGACATTAATATAATTACCGATAAAATTGTATTGAATATTAATTGCGTGACAACAAGTAAGAGTTGGACTAAACAACAGCCGATTCATAGATTGAAATATACTGTAAATGACAACCAAATCATTTGACTACTTTGTATTGTTATATAACAAATAGTTTCAAAATGCATTTATCAAATAATTTTATGAGCGATTTAATTGTCATAACGTGTTATATTGTGATTTTAATTAAAAGTGTAATAATATGTAAATACGTATCACTAATGCTGATTAAACAAAATAATGAATGTAAATATTATTTTATTAAATCACTTATTTATAATACAGATTTAATTATTTTATATTTTGTTATGCATTATTGATTACTTGATACAAAATAAAATATAAATTATATACAGGTATTATACAAATGTTTTAATATACACATTCTTTTAATGTAAAAATTAATATTAATTAAAAAATAAAAGATATATTTATGAATACTCTAAAATATCTAGTTATATAAACTATATAGCAATAAATTAAATATATAAACTATATTTCAAATAATTATCAATTTTTTAAACAGTTGTAAAATGTATTATATAAATATAAACTCAAATATATTGGTAGGTATTATATCAATATCCATAAGCTTTACTATAGCCTATAAGCCGTATAAAATAAGGTTGTCTTGTTTTCTCATTGAATTATTAAAACATATAGTAAAATACAAAAAATACAGTACCGGTATATCAATATAATAAAATATTTTTTAATAGAAGTTTCATTTTTAAATTTTTTTTGTCTTACAAATCAATTTAATAAAAATCGTTTGCAATGTTTTATTTTATCAAACTATGAAACTATCAAAAATCTAAAATAATCCATTTTTATATATTTTTGAAAAGATATAAATGCTAAATAATTTATTTTGTTAAAAATGTACTTGCTACAATAAAAATCTAATTGAATTGCAACACATTTTATAATATTATAATAAATTATAAGACAATGTATTTAAAAAAAATTAAAAAATATGTATTTAAAATTATAGTTCTATACTATTGACTGATAAGAAATTGATAAAAATAGCAAAAGCATAAAACATTAATAATAATAATAATAAAGTTATAATTTATGGTATTGAAGAGCAATACAACTTCAAAACTTTGACACAATATTATGTAATTGGTTTAAATTATCATTCAAACAAAGATAGTATTTATGACTAAAACAAAATCACACTAAAACTATTTAAACAATTTACTAATTATATAAACTTATAGTTTTTTGGTGTCAAAATTATTTATTTCTTTGATAAATAATTGTAAAAATTTATCATTTTTAATAATAATGTCTTAATAATAGACAGAAATATAATTAAATAGGTTTTCAAATAATAAATTTAAGTGTTTGTTATGACAAATAAAACTAGAAATAAAGTAAAGTCATGCCTTCATTGTCGTCCAATTGATGATAGTTTGTGGCAAATCTCTTATATCTGATGCCTTCATCAGTGAAGACACTCTTTTTAAATCTGATGCCTTCCTTTTCAAACGGATTCTTCTTGAATCTGATGCCTTCTTCATTGAATGGATTCCTCTTAAACCAACTTCTGGAGAATGGATTCCATTTGAACCAAACCTCTGAATCCAAATCATTATTACTACTCCTCAAGAATCTGATGCCTTCCTTAGTAAACGGACTCTTCTTATAGCGAATGTCTTCTTCTTTAGGACTAAAATGTCGTTTAAATCTAATGCCTTCTGAACTAAACGGAGACCTCTTTGACTCATTAAATAAATCACTAATTGTTTGTCCCTTACTTTCTACACATTTATCATATAATTTGTTTAATTCATTTAATGTTAACCCTAAGTGGTTATCTATTGGGAAGAAAAACATAAAAATTATATAATAAACAAATTAATCAAATGTTTTAATTACAAACAAATGTACATTAAATATACATTAAATGTATAGTAAAGTTATAATAAAATATAATGTAAATAATATTATATGATTATAATTAGTTAAAATATAAATTCTTGAATATTATATATATATATATATATATATATATATATTTGCATGTATATAAAAATTGTCTAATAGTATTTTTCATTATTATTTTTATAGTAAATGTTTGAAAATAATATATTGTCATTAATTTTAATACAAAAGTTATTTAAAGTTTCTTATAAAACATTAATATTTATAATATAGTAAATTTAATAGACGTTATTTAAAACTTGTATTATAAAAACATTAACTTATTACATTTTATTTTTATAAAATTTAAAACATATACCGTTTCCCATACATGTATATGAATATTATATATTTGTTACAGTAATTATTATTTATTTATTGATGAAAACATTTTTTATTTAAATTAATAAAAAGTAGCAAATTCTGGATTAACTTAAGAGCTCTATTTTTGCAATATTAAGAAAATTATATTATTTATGATAACTATGATATAAATAATATATTTTGATTAATAAGTTGCGTAAATATATAACAATAACATAAATACTTTATAATATATTTTATCGATATATATTTAGTGCAGTAATACAATTTGTTTAATGCATTTAGTAATATAATTTCAGTATATTGTATGTTAAATTTTCATAAATTTTATAAATTGTGTAATACAGGTATACTGCTTAGTAAAATCTATTTTTATAAAAAGATATTTTAGTTACAAATTTTGTATACAAAATATGTGATATTTTATAAGAAATTAACACTGACTATAAAAATTGTTTTATTTAAAATAATTTTGTATATTTAATATTTAATAATAGTATAATATTAAATACTTGCAGTACAATAATGTATGTTTACTATTTTATTAAGTATACAAACTTTGTTTATTAAAGTTTACTATTTGTATGATTAATAAAACAGTTAATTTACACACTGTATTATTACATAATATTATAATTAAATCTCATTTCAATTTCATTTTCATTAAACCTATCTTTACAATGAAAACACTGGATAATTAATTTATTAATATATTACTTATACTTGTTATATGAAAGTATATTACATAAATTGATTGAAATGCAAAAATGATGTACTCAAATATACGTTTTTATCACTTTAATTATATTTACCCGGATGTCTGTCTAAAAATTAATGTAACCAATAGAAAAACAAATAATAAATTACTCATAATTTCTTTACATATAAATACTATTTTGAGTTTTTTTCATTAATACAAGTTATTTGCAATTTTCAAATATCATTTCTAAAACATTTGCTATTGATATTTATAAGTTATAAATTATAGCTATATTACTATTATATAGTTCTATATATTGATACTTAATAATAAATAGTAGTATCACAAACATTAACTGATAAAGTAAAGTATAGATTATATGACTTATAAAAAGTATTAATATTTTGAGTTAATATTAAGTAAACTTAATATTATTAAAAATATTTAATTTCTGCGCTTATAAATTATAATTCATATTAACTTCAAAATATTTATTTTATTTATTATATATTTCATATAAATTAAGTATATACTTATTTTTAGTAATACTTATTTTTAATATAAATTATTTTGCCACTAATGGCTTTTATTTTTTATTATTAATGAATTTATCATTGTTTAACTAAAATATACTAAATAGCAAATATAGTATATTATAGTTAGATATAATGAAACATGATTTTAAAATTTTATTTATAAAATCCTAAATTTATTTTAATATACTGTAAATGTTTGCTCTGCGCTTGAATAATAAAATAAAAATTTACTATAATATTATTAATAGATTTATTAATGACTATTTATATAATTATTTTATATATTAACTATTAATTGAATACTAAATTATATTAGATAAAGATAAAATAGACTCAATTATTGTAGAATTAATTAAAATTTTAGTTTCAATGATTGTGTTATACAATTGTATAGGTATACCAAATATAAATAAAATTATTAAAATTATTTGTTAATTTTTATTTTTAGATAAATAAAATTGTTGTAAATGTCTGACATTACTTTTTTAATACATAATTATTACTTCTTTGATATTAATGTCAGAATTTTACAAAACATTAATACTATTTTTTCGTTCATTTTTAATACAGTATAATAATAATAATAATAATTAATAATATTATTATATTTACACAAATCATGGCTCATAATAGATAATAAGCTTACATTTTAAAATGTTAGTTATTTAATATGATAATTATTGAATATTATATATTATTTTGGTTGTAAAAATTTATTTGTATATTTTTAAAATTAATTGAATACAACTTATTTTAAAAGTTTTAAAACAAAATTAACAATAAGTATAATAATTCTACTTATTATACTTTATTACTGAAACATAAATTTTTATCATAAATAACTAATAATTGTTTTATAAAAAGTTTTCAACTAACGGTAGTAGCAAAAAAATTATTAAATATCGTATAACCGCTATATTAATCACAAATTTTAATCTATATAATTGTTGATCACAATTGTCTAGACCTCCCACTTATGATATTTTGAAGTCAGTGTCACGTCCTCTCTGCCCACACAACATACAAATGTGTGCTTTCATTTAGATCCATAACCCATGTCTATACTTATATCATACAAGTTATATGTATATACTTTTTTAGTTTATTATATCTAATATCTAATATACTATATAATGATATACATTGTATATTATACTGTACTATACTTTTGCAGTAAACATTGTTTTAACCAAATCTATAATTCACTATATCTTATAATTCTAACTTTTGTTTCAATGATACATTTGATTTTATTTATTTATATTTATATTTTTGTGCTTTATTTTAGCTATTATTTATAAATAATATCATATTATAATTAAATATTAAAATACAGTACTGTACATATCATATGATGTAGTGTTTTGTATACTAAATAAAAAATTTAATATAAAATATTGCACAACTTATAAGATTATAGAAAAATATTTTGTTAATATCTTACTTATATCAAAGAAAATAATTAAATATAATAATTAATTTTTAATGTTTGTAAGATACACCCAATAAATAATTACATTATATAACTAATGAAAATCTGATTTATTAATTCAACATATTTTCAAATGTAGATATATAATATTGATTTAGTTATCTAACATTTTGTAATTTATCTAAAAATTTAGCCCTACATAAAAATATTATTTAATTAAATTATAATAAAAAGATAATTAACATATAATAAAAGTTGTAATACATTAACTTAAAAATAATATAAAATTTATAAAAATAAATAACTCTATAAGACTTAATACGGTATAAGATTTTTATTACACTGATTATTCATTAATATTAAAACTTAATTATAAGTTTAATTAATATTAAATTTTTTTGAATATAAAATATATTTATTGTAAAATTTTCATAAATTCTTATGATTGGTTTAGAGTACGATATTTACTACTCTATATATATTGTAAAATAGATTTAATCAAATCTTCAGAATCAAAAACAAAACATTCAAATATATCATAAATATAATAATAAATATTAAAATATTATCAAATTAATTTATTGTTAATTATAATAGATGTAGACATTATAAAAATTAGTTAATAAATATATTTAATTATTAAAATGCTAATCGTTAATTTTATTTTTATTAAGTTTTTTAGAAATTAATCTTATTCGATAAAAATTATCTTAAATAAATAATAGAAAAGTAAAAGTTTGGGTCAGTAATCAATTTATAGCTCTGTTATAATTAAATCATCTATAAATGGAAATATAATTTTTAACAAAAAAATAAATATTTTTATAATTGCTTATATAGAAAATTTCTATTTGGAAATTCTTTTGTAGTTTTTATTTTAAAAACATTTATTATTTGAGATAAATAATATTTTAAATGATAAAAACAAGATAATAGAAAAAATTTAAAAAAGATTTTGTTTTCCTTAAGATTTTTTATTCTATTAAGTATTTATATGTAAAAACTAAAGTTAATAGACGTTATATACAAATATAGAATAACATTATTATTAAGTTTTTTATGTAATGCTTGTAATTTAACTTTGAAAATTTCATAACATGTCATGCATTAAATCTATATAATAGTATTGTATATTATTATTATTTGTTTTTTCATATGCTTATATTGATCATATTAAGTGACTTATTGCATAAACATAGAAATATTCCTATATTAAACAGATTTAAGATTATTAAATGCGGACGTTATGAGAAAATATATTTATAAGATATATTAAAGACATATATGTGACACAAAAATTCTGATTTTATTTATGTTAAGTAAGTTTTTATGAATTCAAGTGAAAATAACGTTTAATTTTTGAGAAAAAACATATCAAAGCAAATATCTAAATCGTAATTCTTTATCAATAAAAGATATATAAATGTAATTTTATTAAATAATTTCTTATATTATTTAAAGAATTTATATTAACTATAAAAGTTATTTAATGAATGCTTGAATCCGATTATAAATCACAGCATACAGTGTCTGATAATGAAAGCCACACAACGTTTGAGTGCACCGTTATGTTTGACATTATTACAATTACCTCTATATATAATTATTTATCATTCAGTTTTGAAAACAATTTTTGAATCAAATATTTAATGAAATACTTGTATCGAATCATTAACCAGATTAGTGTCTCGTTTAATAAATTCCTTGAATTGCATCACTTGAACAATAAATTAATATTTATTATTATTATAACTAATCTCTCTCTCTCTCTCTCTCTCTCTCTCTCTCTCTCTCTCTCTCTCTCTCTTTCTCTCTCTTTATATATATATATATATATATATATATTTATTTATTTATAGATATTTTATTTATTTATTTAGTTAGTTAAATTTTTATAGCTAA